CTCCAATATACTTGCCGAAGCAGGGTCGTACAAGGCAAAAATTGCTTGGAAGGATGCCACATCGCCCCCGAGTCCAGCAGCGCTGGTATTGGGGTACAGATATGTATAGGCCGCAACGTTCGAGTCAGATAGGGTGGGAAATTGTGCGAGCAGATATGCAACGCTGTCCCAGTAGGCCGTGGAGTTTGGTTGTGCTTCGATAGTAAAGTCGTATATCGCAATTTGGGTAGATGGAACCGTTCGAATAGTCACCTTCGTCAGGACTCCAAAGGTGCTCCCGCCGCCCTAAACTGTTAGGAGCATTTCTATGGATCGATAGGGGACTCAGCACTTACACCCCGGACTGCCCAAAACAGGTCTGTATTCTGACACTCGTTTGCAGTGATTATTTCTCCTGTGGGAGTCACCATCTCCACCTCATAAACCTGGTCGGAGCCTAGTCCGAAGATGTTTGAGATGGGACTGTGGCCACCACCAGTAAGATAACCGCCCATAGTGACTTCCGGTCCCATGCCGTCAACAACTGTTAGGTTGTGTTGATCCAGGTTGAAGTATATGTCACTGACGTATGACGCGGCTCCTGCGGTCACTGCCGTGGTGTTTATTCTAATGTCGCATCCCTTTGGCTTGAACTGGTCATAATATTCGTATCCTCCGACCATGTACCTAATCCAGATGGATAGAGAATATGGAGCTGCAGATCTGTTCCTCAAATCAGATATTCATCGCTTTTCAGTATTTCAAATATCGGATCATTCCACTTTATCCACGTACCGCTTGAGGTAGTCATGTCCTGAAGCTTTAACGTTCAACCTCACATTATGCTTCCTGGCAAAGTCAATTGCAAGCTTGACATCATTGGCAGACGTTGCATTGACAACGTAAACCGGGTATCCCAGACCACTACACGGCGCAGATGTGTTCGGCAGACAGGAGTCGTTGTTCATGTTGTTCCACGCCGTGCTGATGGGGTTGTCTTGGTGGAAGGCGAACGTACTCCAAGAGCTCGTGATGTTGGCGCATGTTTCGTTCGAGCTCAGGTCGGAGGAATGACAGGCTAAGGCAGGTGGAGATGGTTGTAACAAGCGCCCGGAAAGGCTTGCGTTGAGGTGATTCCATTGGAAAAGACTCGGCCAAGTTTCATCATATGGTGTCGATTTGCACGTTGTGCTCTGGGCTTGAACATGGCAGAGTGAGGAGGTATAGGTGAGTATATGGAGGAGAAGCGGTAGTAGACCTCGTCCTGCGACGCGCGTCATGATGATAAAATTAACCCTAAGCTAATATTTCAAGCTAGAAGGGACAGAAGTTTGTGCGAAATGGAAGAATACGTATCCAGGATGCACCTCGTTCGTCTTAAATAATAACTATAGGTGTGAGGCTTCTACAAATCTCCGCGGAAAATCGGGGTTTCTTGAAATCTCCGGGTGGCTCAACCGGTGGCATTGTCTGACGGTTCAATCAGAAACGTTCATAAATGAACTCATATCCACCGAGAAACCGTATGTGACAACTCAGGATTTCCATTGCTCCGATCTTGCTCGGCAGCATCACTGGTATTCGAAACCAGTGTTGGGCAAGCAAGTAGCAATTCCGCTCCCAAGTCCCTCTTCAAGATTCCTTTGGTCGGTGCTTAAAATATCTAACGGGTCGCTGCCCCAAAGCCAGCTCTCCTGGTAATTATCGTCAAGCAATGACCTATCGATCTGCTCGAACATCCATCCTGCAGCATCTTCCCTGGCTCCGGTATTGCTCTCTTGGCCTTCAACAGAGCCAAATGCTGGCCAGCCTTTTCCGGGAGCAAACCCGTCGCCACTACAACCACCATTCATTGCCGCCAGGAGGACGTTACTCCACTTCTCGATGCGGGCCTTCTTGACCCTGAGAGTCTTTGCGATCAGGTCCAGTCGGTTGTTCTCCCATTCTCGCCCGTGCGCCGCACCGATCTCCACCCTGGCGGCCGCAAACCGTGAGGCAAAGGACTCTAGAGCATTAAGCACCATGTTTTCGGTTGTCTCAGCCTCACTATTCTTGGTTGCAGGTTGCGCAGTGTCTGCGGATATGTTAGAGGAGATAGAGCTGGCACACTTGGGCTGAGCATTGACGAGCAACGATAACCGCGCCTGGCGGGCAAGCATAGTGATGGCATAGATAAGGTGACCATAACAAGGCTGCGGCATATAGAAGTAGTAGCAAACGGGTATGGCGAGCCAATTATTGACCCAGGTCCTGAGGGTAGAGGTGGCAGCGCGATAGCGATCAAATCCCTCTGTATGCATAAGCGATAGCGGGACGGAGGCGGGGGTTGTAACACTTGACGGCCCGATATCGCTTAGCAGCGGACCGAAAAGCCGTAGCTGTGCAGTGTTGTAGTGGCTCAATAGTAAATCTTGCAGTTTGTGTCAGCGACGAGTCCGCATGAGTTGGGTTGCAAAGCTGGAGAATCTCACAGTTGGCTTTGAGCTTCATGGGCAATGAGTTCTCGAGTCTATCCAACTCTGCCTGGAAAGCAGAGAGATGCACAGCGGCTGTTGTCTCTTGTAAAGCTACTCCAATCGATTCAACGGTGAACTGATCTCGGTGGTTGAATTGAAAGATCCTCTCGGTGAGGTGCTGGATGCGAATTAGCTGTACAAGGAGTTCATCTGTCTCATATTCCGCAGCGTCTTTTAATTCGTTCAGACACTGGTCATGGTGCTTCGTGTATCTTGGTGACTCTAATTTGTTGAAAGAGAGAGCAGCGCTGTGGAGTTGTCGTTAGCTTTTACGTTCGGTGCAATGACGGGCTACCCACTTCGAGCCCATGTACCAGGCACCAACCAAGACCCTTCTCTCTTCATTCGTCATCGCTCTTGGTTCTTCTGGATCCATTGCCGGGTACGGAGCCATTTCGCGCGGCCTGGTACGTCTGTCCAGGCCCATATCTCCAATCATGCTGGTTGCCAAATGCGTGAGGTTGTTGAATTGACCACGGGCCAGACAATAGTAATGGTAGTAGCCCAAAAAGACAAGAATCCCTTGGAGGAGGTCTAAAGAGCGTTCGGACCTCATGATAACGGCATCAGAAATATGCTGCATTACCGCACGACTTTGTCCCCACATTGACCGTCGACATTGGATTGAAGCTACCATTCTGATCACCTTTGCAAGGAAAGGTCGACTTTGTTGAAGCTGAGCTAAATTCACACCAGGTGGAACGACGACAAACGGAAACTGGGAACGAAGCTGATTATTGTATATCGATAATAGGATTTCATCCGACTCAATTGGGCTGAAATCCTCTTTACCAACTTCTGGCTGGCAGGTGCATGTTGGGCGTGCAAATGTGTTGAAACCAGGCAGTGAAACATTCGCAGAGGGTTCGTCTTGACGCCGCACCGGAATTTCGAAGGCGGCCGGTGATGATGGTTGTCCAGTTCGTTCAGGCGGCACTTCGGGAGATATGGAGGTACTCTCTCGCTGGCTCAAAGACTCTATGAGACTGCTCAGCCTCTCTTCTAATCGCGCAATCCGGCTTCAAAGCCTTTTCGTTAGCCCATCCCAAAAAATTCAAGACCACAGTCGCTACTCACGGCCCCTTATTCTGCCTTTTTTTTCTTGGCTTACGCTCCCTTGGCGTGCAACTCCTCTCCAAGCTCTGGCACCTGGAGACAGTTAGCATCTATTAACGGATTTCCGTGGAGAGTAGACCAAGCGGAATAACGAGCTAACCTGTCACATCTGGCCCCGGGTGTATTGTCAGAGCGCAAACATCTGGCCTTTGCTCTTGCGCAGGGATCGCATGCCGTCCCCCAACCAGTGCTGCGAGTAACTGAAGCGGGATCTTCCATGACAACTTTCAGGAAAGCAACCAAGTCAACGACGCAGAGGGCATGTTTCTGTAGTGAGTTACAGTGGAAATTATGGCCCGGGTTAGAAGCGGCCCCTTCAGACAACCCAGCCTACTTGATCGAAAACAGAAAGATCAAATATCACGACAATGGATGCTTGACCTTGTATCTGTTCAAAATGGTCACTGGGACTGGGTATGGCCGATAGATGGCCCTGCGTCAAGGGGCTGACTAACGGGTGGTTCATCACGTGACCGAAATGGAGATCTAGCCGCCAAGAAGTAGATAGGATTGGTTTCCTAGGGCCTAGAAGGAGGCAGTACTATAGTCTGAAATTACCTCTTATTCTCCCATCCCACTGAGAAATGCGGGTTCCTGACCAGTAGGTACATTTTATTGGGCAGTTTTTGTGGAAAAACACGAGGGCGTTTTGGCGGCTGAGTTCTTCCGGACAATTCGGTAAACTCCGAACTTTCCGATGACCCTGTGCATAGTCGGGAGTACCCAGAGGAGTGGGTCCAAATGGGCAGGGTACTTTCACCTAATTCCTGGGTCCTCTCAGCTGGGACTAGGTGATCTCCCAAAAAAGCGAAAGGACTGTTACTTCAGGATCCATCTCAGAAGTAACTCAAATTACGATGTCTCTGCCATGCCGGCAACGCGGGACGATAAGGTCTTGGCATCAGCGAGAAGGCATCTATTCGCGAGCGCATCATAGAAAATAAAGCTCTCCGAGGCCACCAGGCTGGACTTGAGCTTGGTCTCGCTCAACAGAGATTTCAATGTCCAATCAATTTTACTCATAAAGACTCGCCCTATAATGTACTGCCCTTCCACGGGTATAACCATTCATCTGCTGCGTTCCCCACCTGCGAACCCGCGCGGCAACTGAGAAAATGTCAAGTATTCGCGAGACGAGAAACAATGAACCAGCATCACCGTTTTGAATTTGGTTTGAAATCAACCATGTGGCTGCTAAGTCCGAACCATGTGGCCGCTAAGTCCGTCCGTCCATGAAGTTCGATCAAAATGGACGAGTTCGTATAAATAAGTCCATCGCCTCATCCTCCTCGACGAGCAAAATTCAGCATCCAGTTTAGTGATCTTCACTTGCTTCTTACTGCGAAGATAACATATAGGATATCTACATCAATTTGCAACTCGTTTAAAATGCCATCTTATGCTATTACTGGGGCCTCAAGAGGTATTGGCGTGAGTTTTCATACTTAAGCACCGACCAGATGAAGAATAACGATCATCAACCGAAATAGTGGGAGTTCCTTCGCCAACTGTCCAGCGATTCGAACAACATCGTGATCGGGCTTGTTCGTAACAAGCCTCCAACTGAGGAAAAGATGAAGCAAGAATTGCCGGAACGTACCAACATCCACATCGTGCAGGCAGACATCACCGATTATGCTGCTTTGAAGGTAAGGACCGTCAAATTTACGGAAAGCTTCTTTTGACGCATCCTTGCAGGCTGCAGTAGCCGAGACTGCAACAATCAGCGGTGGGAGGCTCGATTATCTGATCGCCAACGCTGCGCTAGTGTCCCACTTCGATGCTTACGATCCAATTGGGGTTTTGTAGGTTTCCCATGGCTTGGATTATGGGTTTTCATATTTGGTGGTCACTAACTAAGTGAATATGATTCAAACAGGGGACAACAGCCCGAAGCCCTTGAAGAAGACCTGACCAAGTGTTTCAAAGTCAACGTCGTCAGCAATATCCATCTGTTCAACTTATTCATGCCCTTGATTCTGAAAGGAGAAGCCAAGAAAGTTATCGCCATCTCCAGTGGCCAGGCTGCCCTCGATGCTATTCCTAAGTTGGGAATCGAGGTCGCCTCTGTCTACGCTATCAGTAAGGCAGGTCTGAATACTGCCGTGGCCAAGTTTAGCGCGCAGTATGCCAGAGATGGTGTCCTTTTCATGAGCATTTGTCCCGGGATGGTTGATACAGGTCACTTAGCTGACGGTATGTTCGGAGTTGACTGCCTTTTCGCTTTTTTTTTATACAGCAATCTGATCTTCTTTTAGCAACCCCGGAGCAGCTGAAGGGGTTGGAAGGAATGCTGGGTGCATTCGCCCAGTATGCACCCAGCTTCAAGGGCCCTAGTCCACCGGAGGCTGCAGTGAAGGATGTTATCTCGGTTATGAGCAAGGCTAGTGTCGAGAATGGCGACGGCGGCTCTTTCGTGTCACACTACGGCAACCAACAGTGGCTGTGAAGATCTTGTTCAAGACTTCTTTCATCCAATCCCAGGATTCGATATATGCCTTGAAATATGATGTTTAGAGTTTTTAAAGAGTGAATGATATTGCATATCATTGTACGTACATTAAGAATACGATAAATTGTTTATTGTCCATTATGGTGGATCAAGAAAGGATTGCTCTATTGGGAATTTGTCTACGCCTGTTGCATTGGAGGGATCGATATCTTTAAACATTGGTCAGCCATCAATGGTAGATTGCAAAGAACTAGGAGATTATGTGAAACAAGTTGAATTTTATCCTGACCAGACGTAGTTATGATAATGCCTTGAGTTCGCTTTGTTGCTATGAATTTATCTCAATCGATCCGGATAACTGCTTTGAAGTGTCCAACAGATGACTTTAAATTTTCTCAACTTTCTCGTCGAAATGACCAATTTTGCCTCGACACGACTACTGCAGTCTAGATAGTATAGTCATCATGATATGCAAGTGAACAGTGTGCCTTGTTTGTTTGCTTCAATTGACTTGAAGAAACCTTATGGACTGGACACAATCCATTATACAGTCAACCGGAGACATCGTCGAAGTTTTCCAGAACAAAAGTGCGACAAGAAAGCCAGACACCAGTTATAAATCTATCAGTCAGAGGAATCATCTGTCCCATAACCCTCCGCATCGGCAAAACACACCCAAAGTGACTTTCCTCCTTTCCGGTTAGACAAAAGTAGGCAAGATAGTGCAGCAGGTCAAGATGGCACTGAGCTTTTCGGTATAGACAATATGGCCTTGGGAAAGGTCATCTTGGACCCAGATGGCCTGAATCAGCTTCTTGGTTAGGAATAAGGAGCGTGATGAAGTCCGCTCCTCCGTCCTGGAAATTAGATCAAGGACAGTACACCTTTCCGCATCAGTCCGCGCTTCGCAACCCAAAATAAGCAGCGGAAATTGACGGTCACAAGAACTCAGCTGAGAAAAGATATTAAAGGCTCGTTCAATCCGTTGTTGGGTTTCAAAAGCCGGCTCAAAGGTGTTTCCAAATATTCGGCTGAGATAGACTAGCGTGGCCAACTGGAATAATTCCACGAGCGCTGCCATGTCCGATCTTCCACCGATTGTGTTGTCCGAGATTACGACAGACCGGATTCTCCACGCTAGTATTTTGAGGTAGCTTTTGAAGCTATCGGATCCTTGGGATGAAAGTACATGAGGCGGTGCGGTTGCAACTGTATTGCAGACCTCAGCCAAAAGCTTCAGAGTTGTGGTAAAAATGGATTCGGCTGAGTGTGCGATCTATCCCAATTCATTAGTGATCTGATTCCTTTAACGTTAAATGCAGAATGGTTATACCAACCTCCATACAGGGATCAGAATCTACCAGCGGCAATGGGATGTCTACGGGTTCGTCCCCGTCTATGAAAGGCGTCTCAATGGCCGGTCGGTGCCAGTGTGTAAGACTAAAACGAGATAACACATCATGGTAGTATACCCAGTCAAGCAAAGCAGTGTAGCCGCTGTCCCCTTTGAATGTGTCAAGGGGCCTGGCTTTAATAACGCTTTTGACGCCGAGAATGTAAGAACGCCACTGGCCAGAGGTGCATGAAGCCTGGTAAATCTGGGTTGACGACTATGTCAGTCTATTACACTTTTATTCAATCGTAGAGTATAGATTCAAACCTCAAATGAGCACAAGAGCATCCCCGCCGCAACATGCTGGAGTATTTCCATCGTGCCGATCTCGCGATTTAATGCGGTGCCTAGGGCTTTCAAGGCACCGATCTTGAGCTTGGCAGCCTGTAGCTGCAGTCCAGAGCGGTGCAGCGAGGACAAAGCAAGCAAAGAGCGCAGTACTGCCGCAGCAGATGGAGTGTCATTAATGAGAGCCATGCGGATAAGCATGTTGCCAACATCCGTCGGGTCATGGCCGAAGGTTGTCAGAGAGCAAGATGCGCTGCATTGAACTGCAAAACTGGTCAGTTTCATGGGCCATATTTTGGACGAAACGTTCCATGCCTCACTCACAGTATTGAAGTAAGCACTTTTCTGCAACATCCAATTTTAATGGATTCCATGGCATGGGCGATCGGAGTGTCAGCCTGTGGTACTCTACAATAGGTCAATTTTCCTGTTCCCTCGCTGTTCGCATCAACGCTCCACAGCGGAGGGCATTACCATTTGTCACTACACCTAAAAGATGACGGTGCATCTCAATGTCCCAGGTGGATATATTGACTAGTCGCGCATCAGAGAAACGGTGCCTCGTGCTCCGCTGTTGCAGCGATGAGCGAGCCACGACGGCACGTCGCTTATCATTGGCCTTCGGCCAAGACAGACGCACACCGTAGCCTTTGCAGGTGCGATTCGATTGAGAACACTGCGAGCAAACTGGGACAATCCGATCGCAGAGAATCCGGCGATCTGAAAGCGACTGTCAGCAAGTTTACATGTTGAGGCTCAGACAGGTGGGTTTCCGACGTGGAACATACCCCTACACGTCCCACAGCTTCGATTCGCCATGTTTTTGTTTTTCTCTCTTGGGCAGTGTATTACGCTCTTGGCGTGGGTAAGAGAAGATCACACGAACTTCGGCAGCTTGTCGTGGCCAGGGGGGAATAACAATGAGATTCAAAAAGATGATTCCTGGCCAGCTTGCTGACAACGAGGTTGAATGATTGGAACCGGCTGCAGCCGGCCCCCAAATAGAGACCATCAATATGGTTAATGCCATTAACCATCATAAATTGAACCAATTGACCATATACCCGCTTAATGAGAAAAGCAACCTACACAAGCGGTTGGAGTAAGTGAGATGGATGTGGTGGCATCCATATTGGTCCTCGCTCTACTACAAGGCTCACGCAACAACTTGAAGAAAGAAAATGCACTATCATCCACTCCATCACAGACCAGCCAACAGCTCCCCTAAGGAAATAGGCTTCCTGACGGCATTCGAGAAGCCCTCATGAAACGTAACCCAGACCTTCCTACCAGCCTTGGACGATTCGTCCACTGTGGAGTTCGCATTCGAGTCGCCCGTCTCCGAGGCCGGCTCCTGAATGACCCTTCCAAAGAAATCGCGCTTAACAGCGGCTTCCATGGCTTTCTGTGCAGCGTCGCTCGTGCCTGGGACTTGTTTCATGCCCCCGGATACGGCGCCCGCTTTATTCATGCTCAAGTGGTCGGACTGTTTGCGCATTGTTTCCTTGCGATACTCCTGGTCCAGGACTTGGCGGACGGCGTACCGGACGGGGCCCGCGGAAGCCATGGAACTGCCTTTGGTTTTGGAGAAGGAGACGAGAGAGTCGATTGGTCTGGGTCTTGTTAGCTCTGATATTAAATGTAGGGGATAAATAATACTTACGGCTCCATTCTGTAGACCCATCCACCGTGACTCCCACCGTCATGCTCGACTCGCACTTTCTCAAAGGTTACTTCCAGCCCGGCCATGACTCGCACGGCAGCCTGCACCAGCGCGCGCTCACTCTCCTTCCGGACGCTGGCCACGCTACGCTGATCGCCGCCACCACGAACAATCACCGGTTTGACGTCGGGAGAGAGCATGCGCATGACATGTGGAACCAATTCCGTGATCACATTCTCTGGTGAACGGAACATGCGCAGCAAGGGCGCGGAGAAGGACGAATGGAACCCGTTTAAGATCTGGCGGTTCTGCTTCTGCGCTTCGAATGCGGCATAGTCTGCCTTTGGCCCGGAGAAAGGGTGGTCTTCTTCAGCGTCATCTTCATCCGGATTCTGACCTGTCGCGTCGGTCTTCCCAGCCGCGGATGCAAAGAGGTGGTGAAATGCAACGACCGACTGGCTCAGATACGGTCCGAGCTCCCATTCGTGAGACGAGTAGACCTTAGAGGAAATCGAGTCGTGGAAATGTAGCCAGTCGTAAGCGGCGTTTGGTTTGGAGAGAAAAGTGTCGTCCTGGTACTCCTGAATGGGATATACAGCAAAACATTCCGAGACACACCGGTCATGGTCGCCGCTGGCTTCCACCATCTCCCGCAGGCGGTTGATAGCGTGTCGTTTGCGCAAATCCGCCACACCGACAGGAGTCCGAGAGTTGGGGCCGTCGTATCGGTCCTGGAATGAAGTCGTGCCCACGGGGTCATCCGAGAAGCCGGCTCCTTCGGCGAATACACGGTTGACAATCTCGCGGACGCCGCCGCGACTCAGTTCCTTGAAGAACGAGCTGCCTTCGGTCGAGGCACTGAGTACGCGTTGCTCCAGCCAGGTTCGGGTCAGTTTGGGGCTTGTTAATTCATTGCGGAGTTTATGTGCCACCCATTCGGCAGCAACGAGCACGCTGCGAATATCACCCTCGGCCGAGCCGGTGCTCTTCGAGCCGCGCTGTCTCCTGGCTGCCAGGCCCCAAGACGCTTCACAAAGCCTTCGAGCGCCGTCACTGTCACAGGGGATTCCTTCTCTGGTGAAGATATTCTTCACTCGCTGAACAACGTTCTCCAGCGGCGCGTGGCGAACATGGATCATCTCCGCGACAGAAGAAGCCCGCAGAGGCCGAAGGCTAGTGTGGTAGAGATCATTGCAGATCAGAATCAGCGGCCGCAGAAAGCGGAAGGTGTCCCCCTTGCGCTTCTTGTTGATTTTCCCATGTTGTTCTGCGGAACGCGCCGAGTTGCGTTGGTCAAGCAGAACAAGATCGATCAATGCCTTCATGAAACCACCCTCGCCGCCACTGCCAGACCCGCCTACAACACCATCCACCTCGTCCACCACAACACAGACGGGTTTCCCAGCGCGGCGGATCTTCTTCTCGCCAACTTCGACATTCATGCCCTTGACGTTCTCCGTACCCAGCGCATCACGAATCCGGCCCTTGACCACATCCTTGCTGCGGTCATCGCTGGCGTTGATTTCGAGCACTTCGTAGCCAGCCTGTTTGGCGCATACATGTGCCAGGGTCGTCTTGCCCAAACCCGGGGGTCCACTCAACAATAGAACTTTCCGGTGCATACGCTCCTCTTCCTCGTCTCCTTGAGTCTGTTTCTTCGCGCGAGCCTGAGCCTTGGCCAGACCGGGGAAGACAATGGGGTCCCACCCCTTCAGCCAGCGTAAAACGGCTCGATGAGTCCGCTCATCGCCTATCAGGTCGGTGAACTTGCGCGCACGGTACTTTTCCGTCCACATGGCATGGTCCCTCTTGCTTTGCTTGGGGTTTTCGATGGACTGCTGAACTGGCGCTGGGGGAGTCTTATCTGACGTCTGCTTCGTAGTTTTCGCGGCGTCATCCAGCAATTTATGGATTTCAATACCGTAGTAGGCCGTCTTAGCCCGCCCCGGAGCCGTCTCGGATCGACTAGCAATAATCCGCTCATAAGAAACCGGCGCATGGGCCTTTCGCGCGGACACGCTATGCGTTTTGCCGGCACATGTTTTAATCTGGAACTTCTGCGGTGCCGCCGTTTGTCTTGCGGGTAGCGGATTCAAGAGCGAGGGTGTGGTTGTAGGCGTGGGTGTTGGCTCATTCGTTGTCTCTGGTGGTTCCGCTATGATAGGTGCGGGCCCCGACTCGAGCACATACTCCTGCAGCTCAAACTGGCTCTTGAACTGCTCATCCCCCAAACCAGGCGGGATATCATCGTCCTCCTCGTCGTCATCATCATCGGCCAAAAACCCTCCCAACATGCGGGGCCGTTTCTGTTGCTCCGTCGACTGGGCGCCGTCCTCCACATCATCTACATCGGACGCTTTCCTCTTCTGCGACTCGGCACGGGCCGCGCGAGTGGGCGCCAGCGCACCAGGTGAAGAAATAAACGGCATCCTCGCGACCGGAGGGGACGACTGCAGACACGGTCTTCTATTACGAATCTGTCTCGGCGTAGATATGGACGTGGATATGGACGCGGACAGCTTCGTTGGCGTATCTGAATGAATTCCCGTCAATTCCGCGAATTATTTGACATGAACCACCAGGAACCACAACCCAGGTCTTATATCGTCGTCACTGCGGAACACATCGGCCAGATCCCACGCTCGGTGCTGGATTACGTCGCGCTTGTGCTCCAGTCGCTGCAGGTTCAGGACCTCGAGGTCGTCGGCGAAGGACTCGGAGGGTGGATGTGGTGCGATATCGTCCTGGGAGTGTAGATGCAGTGCCGGATCGAACGATGAGGGAAATGAGGGAGACGAGGGAATCATTGAGCGGTTAGTTGGTTGGGTTCAGTGTCCCCGCGGACTTGCAAAGACGCGCCTGGACGCGTTGGCACTAGACCCGATTGGGCAGGGGTGGTATAGATCAGTACCCGTAGTATAGGAGATATTTATCGTAACTACGTTATCAAATGGTTTATTCTATAGAGAATATGCTGAAAAATCGGATGGTGAAATTGGACCAGCCCTCTAATCGGTGGTATACTGTACTGGATGGTGTTGGACAAACAAGAACAAAAGAAAGAACAAGAAGATATCAGTTTATGCGTTCTTCAGCTTCTCCGTCAGCTCAGGCACCTTCTCAAACAAATCCCCAACCAGCCCGACGTCTGCGACATTGAAAATCGGAGCATCGGGGTCCTTGTTAATCGCAGCAATCACCTTGCTATCCTTCATACCGGCCAAGTGCTGAATGGCGCCCGAGATACCCGCACACAGATAAAGCTGCGGAGCCACGTTCTTACCGGTCTGACCAACCTGGAGACTGTTATCAGCGAAGCCACTGTCCACCGCAGCGCGCGAGGCACCAATAGCGGCGCCAAGCGAGTCCGCCAGCGGAAGCATGATGCGGTCGAACTCCTCCTTGGACTTGAGGCCACGACCGCCCGAGACAACGCGGGTGGCGGTCGCTAGGTCGGGCCGCTCGGACTTGGCCAGCTCCTCGGACACCCATTCCGTCTGCGCGGCGGCGTTAGGGTCGGCGCCGTCGACGATCTCGGCGGAGCCGCCCTCCGTCTCGACACCTTGGAAGGCGGTGCCACGCACGGTGAGCACTTTGATGTTGTCGCTGGATTGTACCGTGAGGATGGCGTTGCCGGCGTAGATGGGGCGGACGAAGGCTGGGTTGATGTTAGTGCGTCGTGTCGGGGAAACAGAATAGGTGGACTACGTACTGTCCTCGCTCTCAATCCCGGTAATGTCTGAGATCTGCTGCACATCCAACAGAGCAGCTACTCGGGGCAGAAGACTCTTGCCAAAGGCCGAGTGACCCGCAACGATGTGCGTGTATTCGCCCTTCTTGATATTCTCGACCAGCAGAGGAGCATAGTTCTCCGGGAGGCCCTGAAAGCACGCAACAGTCAGCAACGGATACCAACCCAGCCCAGAAAGAAACATACCTTCTCGTAAGCATCATTCTCCACAGCCACCACCTTCTCCAGACCCTTGATCTTCGCCGCCTCCGCAGCCGACGTGCCCTTCACACCACTACCAGCCAGGAAAGCCGTTACCGAGCCGCCCAGTTTCTGTGCGGCCGCAATTGCGGATAGGGACGAGTTCTGCAGCTTGCCATCGCGCTGCTCGAGGACGGCAAGGGTCGAGAGAAGCCGGGCCAGCGCCGAGGAAGCGGGCGCTCGCAGGGCGCGGGTGGGATAGAGTTGAGGGCGGGCTGCCCGCAGGACGGAGTGTCTGGCAATGGGAATCATGGCGACGGGATGTGGGATGTGGTGACTCCGTCTGCCGGGGAGAGGTGAAGGAAGTGGGAGAGAGAGTTGGAGGTTCGGCGATTCACGGTGAAGTGGGTGGTTATCGTCGGGATGCCAAGACCAGCGCCGACCTCGGTTAATCAGCAATCAGAGATCAAGACATTCATTGTCTCCGGGAATAGTTACATCTACCATGTACTGAAGGTAGATCAAATCTAGAGGAATATATTGCACTAGAATATGTACCAGACACACAGAAAGAAAACACATTTTGTACGCCACCCAGAAAAAAGCCCTGAACATGATGCAGATAGTAAAACATTATGGACCTAGGTCGACTTTCTCTTCGGTTTACCAGCCGCCTTGGGCGCTGCGACCACCGCATCGCCATCTTCCAGCGCCTTGGCCTTGAGCTGCTGCAGCTTCTGTTTCCGCGAGGATCCCTCCTCCTCAGCATCATCATCGTCGGCGGCTGGCTTGGACTTCTTCGCTTTCTTCTCCTCGGGCTTCTGGTCTGCAATCGACTTGCGCTTCTTGGAGTTCTTAGCGCCTTCGATGGCCGGGACATCTTGTCCCTCCTCCACCACATCGGCATCCTCCACCCACAACTCGCTGGCCAGCCAAATCGGCATGGCCATGGTGTTGGCGCCCTTGATGTGCAGAGCCTTGATGTTCCTCCAGCCCTTCGTCACAAACTTCTCCGTCAGCCCCTTGACCACGGCGGCGACATTCTCAGACAGTTGATCGGCGGTGAACTTGGACGATCCAACCCGAATAGCCGCTGTGGTGGCGGGCGCAAGGTGCACCGCCGCACAGTTGAGAGTGCGCTCAATTTCCTTGGCCACGATCAACGGCGCCGCAAACGCCGCGCTGCGCTCCTCCTTGGCGGGCTTCTTCTTCGGATCCTTCTTCACCCGCTTACCGTCCACCTTCTCGATCTCAGCAATGCGAATGGGAATCGGCCGCTTGCTGGACTTGTAGAAGATCTTGCCGAGCGTAGGCACCAGGCGCGTGATGATCCGGTCGTCGGCCAGGAACACATCATGCTCCGAGAATAATTGGCGTCGGCTTTCGAAGCTCTGGTAGCGCGCCTTGAGTTTCGAGAACCCGATGACTTTGTCAATGCGGGAGGAGAGTTCTTGAGGGAAGATCGGGTCGGCGATGATGTCTTTGACACCGCGCTGGGGGTCCGCGGTGATCACGCAGATGCTGAGCGAGGGCGAGGAGTTGAGGGAGTGCGGGATAGCAATTTTGCCGGGCTTCAGGCGGTTCTTGTCCACCACGTGCTTCTTGGTGGTGAGGATCAGCCAGACCGCTTCGTTGGATATCGGGCTGTCCTCGGCGTCGGAGTCCTCGTCATTGTCGCCAATCAGAGTTTTCTTGGTTGCGGACTTCTCCTTCTCCTCCTGGTTGGACTTGATGTGTCGCAGCAGCGCAGATGAAGCTCGGGCGACCTGCAAAAGTCAGTAACTGGCGAAATTCTTCTGGGAAAATTACAAACCTGAGGGTTGTCAAGCTGGTAGGGCGAGCCCGAGGCCACCTTGGAGGTGAGTGCAGTCGAAGACACCATTGTAGCGACAGACTCGACTGGTGGTTTTTTTTTCGCTACGATCGCAATCGGAGATGGAAAAAAAATCTCGGAAGGCGGTGGCAATTTGTCCGATGTTGGTGCCTGAGGCAACAACTGAGATTGTAGCCCGAGGATCGAAACTATTCACTGACGGACGCACTGGCACTTTCAATCAATCCAGAAACTCGGCCATCAGCGCAATAATAATGACTCTAGCACCACCACCAGACCGCAGATGCATCGTGATATCGGGACCATCAGGCGTTGGAAAGGGAACATTAATCCAAAAACTATTCGACGCGCACCCAGACACCTTCGCACTAAGTGTCTCCCACACAACGCGCCAGCCTCGTCCCGGCGAGCGCGAAGGTATAAACTACTTCTACATCTCTACCGCCGAGTTCTCCACCCTCGTCTCCCAGGGCGCATTTGTAGAATATACATGTTTTAGCGGCAATTACTACGGCACCAGCAAGCAGACAATTGCCGACCAGATGGCGAAGGGATTGGTTGTTGTCCTGGATATCGAGATGGATGGTGTCAAACAGATACAAGAGAATCGCGCTATTGATGCGCGGTATGTTTTTGTCCAGCCGCCCGGTTTAGAAGCCCTTGAGGCGCGTCTGAGGAGTCGCGGGACGGAGAATGAAGAACAGGTTCAGAGAAGATTGGCGCAGGCTAAGGCTGAGATGCAGTTTGCGCAGCAGGGTGTGCATGATAAGATCATTGTTAATGATGATCTTGAGAAGGCGTATCAGGAGCTGGAGGAGTTTGTATATCGGCCCGCGTCGTAGGATAGCGGAGTGATACGGGGTCGGGAGGTCTTGTTGGCATAAGCCGCAGCTAAATCAGGTGGGTAAACATTTAGAAGATGATTATAAACTGAAACGATATATTTGGCATACTGGTTCTCATTTTGTCTGTTTAAAAGTCGATGTGCTGACTTACGGAAGGATTGTCAGATATATATTTCTCCACACCTCCAAATTGATATCATATCCCGTGGCTATAATTCACAATACTGCGATTCAAGACACCCTCCCCATGAGCCAAATACCCATACAGTAGCACAATACCCGGAACATAATTAATTACCCACTGTTTCAAAATGTGTTGAGATGGATGTCCAAATGTCTCACTCGGCCGCGTTCAGACCGAGTCCAGAGCCAAGCCCCAAGCCATTCGGACCATCGTGTACGCTAGGCCACTGTATTTTTTCCCTCCCAGAATGCCCAAAAATAAACCCTTTACGCCAGCTTTATTCTACCCAGTTCTACATTCGAGTAAAGCATACACTAAGGCCTGGCTACTATTTATAGGTAATTGACCGGGCCTAACAGGATCAGGATCGTGGATCTTCACAACCTTGCCTGGATTCGAGCGGCCCCCACATACATCCACGCAGTCTGTGCATGGCTTTCCGGGTAATGTAGATGTACAGCCTCAAGCAACATCTTGTGTTATTTTCAACATATTATTATGTACCAGTGGGCTCGAGTTACATGATCGATGTATACACCTGCACATGCGGCCTTTGACTCTTCAGAGCACTCATTTGAGGACAGCAGCCCCGGGAGTAACTTCCTGTCTTAGCACCCCACTAGGTCAGGTCACTCCTAAAGAAAGAGGGATGGATGGGGGGATAAAAAGTCATCGGAGCAAACAGAATCAATACCACGTGATCTGGGTTGAAGGTCTGGCCATTCAGGTGTCAACCCCACAAAACTGCACTAAAAATCATCAACCCGAAACAATAATTATCGTTCAGTAGTTCGTTCAAGGCACGACGAACGGTTCGGTATATAGTTCCTTTCGGCTCAAGGCACGTGCCACACTGTTCGGTATTGGCGGATGGCGTCATCTGGGGCCGACTGATGCCATCCTATGTAGCGTTGGTTGTAGTTTGATCAAATTTTGCGATGGTCATCCGGTCTAGATTCAGGGGTAGAAACAGCGGTAGACCTATCCCACTATGTACGGCTGTGCTCCCAAATCCAGACTTACTTGGCCCTTGGCTCTTGGCTCTTGGCCAGCATGGCGTGAAAGCGCCTAGTCTCCACGATAGGCGGCCGCAATTTACACAGTAATGATGGATGTACCATAGAGTGTCTTTTTGTTCTCAGCCCGGGTTATATCCTAGGGGTACCGATATACTACGATCAGCTCAGCTCAATTATTCGCATGGATGTACATCCAGTGTTATACGGTCCACGTTCACGGAGGCGTCTGCCAAGAAGTTCGTTGTGGGTGGCGGATCGACGAGACCGCCCAGGCTAGCCTGTACGATCCTTCCCACATGGGGACCACTAGTGAAATGGGGATTGGCGGTATTAATCTCATCAAAAATACATACATCAGATAACTATGAGGTGCCTGCTATAGGGCATCCTCGCAGAGGATCATGGCAGGTCACCGTCGGCGGCCTAATGAAGTTGACACAGCAGCCTTAGGCATGCCAGCCGGTCTGACTGTTTGGGCATGAACCCGACACAACCGAGGTGATGTGTCGACGCCACACAGGAGAAGATTGTTATCCCCTGCTGTGCTGCCAGGAGGGTACGCAGCAGGATTGTATTATTTACCCTACGTAATACAGGAACTCGGGCCTACAGGAATTTGGGGTGTCCAGGGTTACCCCTGGCATTCGCGCCGCTGATTGGTGTGCCTGGCGCAAACCTGCATGGATCCCTGGAAACCCGCCGGGAACTAATTGGCTGGCCCCTGGGACAGCGTCAAATTGGGTCAAATGGGGGGCCACGCCAAGCTTGGTGGACAGGAAACAAGGGCGAAAATTTGACAGTCAGTGGGATGAAGCAACAGAGAGGGTGAGGGAGAGGGCGAAGGAAGGAAGAAGAAGGAGGGACCCTGCAAGATTGGTGGAGTTGAGGGACCGGGACGGAGTACACACACCCTTTTCCCGTGGCTTGCCTTTCGGTGTTTGCCAGGACTCGTACAGCGTAGCCCCTTTCGGTCATAGCCCGTTCTTCTTCTCTGCGGTCCCTCCTTTCCTTCCTCTTCTTCCCTCTCTCTCCCACACACACCCCCAGCTGTCCATCGCGTTTTCCCATCCGACCTAGAGAGATTTGTCTCTCGTCCACGCTCATTACCAGGAAAACTCGCGCCGCTCTCTCAACTTTCATACACTTTCGCTTCTTCTGCACAGACCATCTTTCAATCGTGCGACTGGTTTGCCGTTGATGTACGTACGCTTATCATACTGGGAGGATCCTTGGGCGACTCGGGACGATGCTTGATCTTCTCTCGTGCGCGCGCAACACACTTGCAATGCGATGTGCGCGGCGAAGGGCATCAGTCAGGACGCAGTGGATTGACCCCGGGACTGTTGACACGAACCGATGGCTGACAAGAACCATTCTGGATTTAGATCTACCGTTTCAAATTCACGCAAGACAGTGACTTTGATTCCCTTTGACATTCGGACGCCATGAAGTTCACCAACTCTGTTGCCCTCACCCTGGCCACCGCGGGCTCCCTGGTGGCCGCCCACGGCCACCAGCACCAGCACCGTCACCACCCCAAGCGCAACGCTGATGCCGACACCGTCGCGGTGCCCGGCCCCGTGGTGTACGACTTTGTCATCGCCGACGGCGAAAAGCTCGAGGCTGTCTCTCTGGAAAAGGCGTGCGACGGTTTGCGCGACAAGGAGTTCAAGTGGGCTGATGAGCCCGTCTGGGCCGCTTGCTCGACCAGCACCAGCACCACCACCACTACCACGTCGACTCCCACCCCGACCCCGACTCCTGCTGTGCTCCAGGAGACCTCGGCGGAAATCACCCCGACGACCACCACGACGACCACCACCACCACCACCGCTCGCCCGGCTCCCACCGCTACCTCGAGCGCCACTGGCCTTGATGCGGACTTCCCCGATGGCGAGATTGACTGCACCGACTTCCCCTCGAACTACGGTGCTATTCCTCTCGACTACCTGGGCCTGGGTGGCTGGACCGGTATCCAATACGCTTCGTGGACCGATGAGCTGATCAGCGATATCGTCACCGCCGTGGCCGGCGATGACTGCCACGAGGGTGGTATGTGCTCGTACGCTTGCCCCCCTGGTTACCAGAAGTCGCAGTGGCCCTCGAAGCAGGGCAGCACTGGCCAGTCCGTCGGCGGTCTGCAGTGCTCGGGTGGCAAGCTGTACCTCACCAACGCCGCGCTGAGCAAGAAGCTTTGCATGCCCGGTGTCGGCGGTGTCTTTGTCCGCAACGAGATGAGCAAGCAGGCCGCCGTCTGCCGTACCGACTACCCCGGTACCGAGTCCGAGACCGTCCCGCTGGCGGCCCTCGTTGGTGGTACCCACCCGCTGACCTGCCCCGACGCCAACAACTACTACAAGTGGCAGAACTCGGCCACCTCGGCCCAGTACTACGTCAACCCGGCCGGTGTCTCGACCGAGGCTGGCTGCCAGTGGGGTGACGGCTCCTCGCCCATTGGCAACTGGGCCCCGATGAACCTGGGTGTTGGCCAGACCAGCTCCGGCAAGTGGCTGTCCATGTTCCAGAACACCCCGACCACCAACGTCCCGCTTGACTTCAAGGTCAAGCTGGTCGGTGACGACCTGGGCGCCGAGTGCAAGTATGAGAACGGGCAATTCTACCAGAACGGCAGCCCCATCGACAACGGCTGCACCACCCAGGTCATGTCCGGTGACGCTACCTACGTTTTCTACGAGTAGACGTCTCCTGCATGATCGGGGTTGGGGCGAAAATTGCTCAGCGGACTTTGATGAGCATTTTTCGCCTTTCGCTCCGTCGCCCTTTGAAAGGAGGTCTGACCTCCGCGCTTCTGTCCATATCACGATTTGTTACTTGAAGGGTTGCTTTTGATTCCATGTATCTTAATTTTTTTCGTGGGGGTTTCATTTCTTGTTCGACATGTAAACCAGGGGAGAGGAGAAATCCAACACACCTTGTTGACCATGTTCGAACCATCTTTTCTTTCTCTTCGGAACGCCTCCTGCCTCCAAAACGCATGAGGCTCTACCTCCGGACACACACACCACCTTTGGCTAGATTTACTTCTGTACTTCAAGTGCTCACCAATCTTGATTCCACATCTATCCATCGTCTTGTCCTCTGGAGGATTGTTTTTTTTCCTGACTTTCTGGCAAGTTCCTTTTTTTCTTTTCTGTCCGATCATCTCCGCTTCTAATGCGAGTTCTCTCCTTGTGATCGCGTGGGTACCCTGGCGCGTTGGCTGCTTGATGCGGCCCTGGAGTTGGAGACAGCTGGGTTTGATAGGAGTTGTTGATGCATCGGGTTAGAATTTTTTTTTGTTCCCTCTTTCAATTGATGATTTCTATGTCTTATTGTCCTGTAGAATGTCTGGCATAGTTGGTCAAGGTCAGAATAATCCCTAGTGGCTCTACATTTTCTTCATACATGTCTCGCGTGTAGTCGCCGTGGGGGTGCACGTGATCTCCGACGCGTTTGTATAGCTCCGAGCTGGACAGGGAGAAGGACACTCGAGCAAGAAAAATAAAAAGATACAAACCATTGAACGCGAAAAACACACCCGGTGTTTTTCCGACTTCAATTTGGTCCCAGTACTACATACATTGTGTGAAAAACTCCAAGCGCGACTGGCAGAGTGGAGATTCTCGCCGGCGCCTATAACGCGTCTTCGTGCATTGCCCACGCTCCCGCCCCAGCACATTCATTCCACCCTCTGCCTTTTTCTTCAATACTCTCCCCTCGACTTCTTCCTCGACCTTTCCTTTCCCCTCAACACACTTTTTCCTTTTGGGTTGACTCCCTCTCTCCCTCTCTCTTCCTCTTCCTCTTCCCTCGTGTTTTGCCTTTCTTGTTAGGATACACACGGCGAGACGCGAGTCTCCCCCCAAGCCGTTTCTCGTCAGTGGGAGCTCGTGTGGACTCACCCTGTCATGGAGTCCTCTCCGTCGAGGAGCACTGTAGCTGCTCCCGCCGCCGGCATGAAGCGTCCAGCGTCCCTCCTCCCAGCCTTTGAGCCATTGAGCTCGTCCCCGTCTCTGCCACGGCCCCAAAAGCGTGTAGCACGCGAACCTCAGGTGTCCACGTATCCCACCCCGGTGCCAACCTCTTCGACGCACATTCTCTCGTCCTCTCCACCAGGGATTGCCGCGTCTCGCCCTTCAGAGCGGCGGACCTTCTCCGGAGCATTGGAACGCGCTCCCTTGTCGGCCGTACCGACTATCATGCTCCCCGACAGTGGTGAGCCCGTCCTCATGGGTCGTTCAAGTGCCTCATGCCACCACCAGCTTGCGGCGAGCCGCATGATTTCCCGCGTTCACGTCAAGGCTACCTACAAGCCGGCACCGAACCCCTTCGACCGCGATAGGGTGGAGATTATGTGCATGGGTTGGAATGGGATTAAGCTCCACTGCCAGGGCAAGACGTATGACCTGGCCAAGGGGAAAACGTTCACGTCGGACATTAAGGACGCAGATATCATGATCGATGTGCATGAGGCGCGTGTGTTGGTGCAATGGCCGCGTAACGAAGACCGCAAGGATTGTCCGTCCACGGACTCGGAGCAAACATGGGAGGAAACTACCCCGAGGCAGCGAGCTCCGTCTCGCCGAGATGCACTGCAGGAGAGCCCCGTGGTCGAGCGTCAGCGCCTGGTGTCTCCCATCTCGCCATCACCGGCGGTGCAACAGGCTCTCATCCCGCCGTCGTCGCCCTTGTTTACACCTACCCGTTCGCGTAATGCGGTGGTCGTATATGAAGACGAGGCTTCACCCGTCAAGCGCTCTCATACTGTCGGCCATGGCGTCGGCCGCGCCAGTGCTCTTCTCCAGAGCTCGCAGGGAGGTTCGCTAAGCGATCTGGGCAAGGCCGAGGAGTCCTCCGATAATGACGAGGAGAACGATCCCATCGTGCACTCCTTCGGTCCCTTCGGCGAGAACCTCCTGCCGCGCATGGCCTCGTTCCACACCGACGACTCTCCTATCCGGTCTGCCCGTTCTCCCCGGAGCCTGCTACCCACGCAGCCCCTGCAGCCCAGCCGCTCCCCCCGCCAGCCCTCCAACGCACCAGAGCACCATGTCTCCGAGGAGCCCGCAGTCAAGCTCCAGCAGCCGCTCGACGAGCACTTTGAGCGCGTGCGCAACCACGCTGCCAACCAGCTCGCCTTCTCCCGGCTCTCCTCGACCCCCTTCTCCACCATCCTGAACAACCTCCCCCGGCCTTCTGGAAGTCCGATGAGAAATCCACCACGGGCCCGTCCCGCCTGGAGATCCGCGCCATCCTCGAATCGACCAAATGTGTTGGCAAAGTCGCCCGAGAAGGCAAAGATGCCGCGGGCAAGGCCCTCGAGAGCGAGTACTACTACATCCCGGACTTTGACGAAGACGAGATGCGACGTGAGGCGGTGGTTAATGACTTGAGGAAGCCTGGGCTTCGAAATTGCCGGAAGCAGCACAAGGTTCGTGACGCTATTGTTGGACTCCATGAACCGTCAGGGCTAACCCGTTTCACAGCAATACTTCTGGCGCAAGCCCAAATAGGTTTCTCCAGTCAGACTTCCCACCTTCCTCCGTACATAGTTCGTTCTTCTTGGTCGCCCTCCCTTCGACGGTAGGGCTACCCGCATAGCGTGGCGTGTGACATACCCTGTTTTTGCTTTTCTTTTTTGCTTTGTTTCCCTGGAGTGTACGATGAGGCGTGTGGTACCCGTTTAAGCAGTGTTTCTATCGTTGATGTTGTTTTGCCTCTATTTCATCCTGTTTTTGTGTTTCTTGCTGGTTACACCCTGTCCTCGAGAGTGGTCTGCTTCTCATCCTCCGATCACTGACTTCTCCCTTCCCGTCCGTCCAATTGTCCGCTGTCGATGGTGAATGCCGTCATGACCTGTCCGTTAGCGCCCTAGGGTGTCGGGACCCTTGAAAATGTGTCCGTAGTGTCAATGCATTATTCTGTTGATTTGATTTGGTGTTGCACGGTGGCACTATCCCCGTTCATCTAGCCTCGAGGGTACTTGGTAGATCTGTTTCGCCACCTCACGTCACTCTCCCCCAACCCACTTCCTTTTCTATGCTGCAAAGCCTGGGCACTTCTCACGAACTACCTACATAACTACATTGCAGTGGCGATGCAGGGAGTGACGGTACTAAAGCATTGACTGATTCCTGACTTTCTCTCCATCCATCTATCCCCAAAATCCAAGCTATCATCTCACTTCGTCTTCAAGATGACCTCTCTCAAGAAGGGGCGCCCAAGTCCCTCCCGAGACTCCAATCATCCGACTGAGCAGACCATCCTTTCGGCTGCAACTCGCAAGCACTCTGCTCCCATCACCCATCACCCATCCGAGATCGGGCAGAAGCAGAGCGAAAAAGACCAGGAACAAGACCAATCCTGGAAACCACGTATTGACCGTCGACGGAGCTGGAGTATTGAGGACTACAAGCATGAGCAGCAGGACCACTTGGTGCAGGGGCAGCAGCCGGGGGAACAGACGGGGTTTACGGAGCGTGCAAATAGGTAGTTAACTAAGATAGTGATAGTAGTGAAGGAAGAAGTGGATCTAGCTTCGTCAAATAAAAGTTCGCGATTGTCTCATCGCCTTTCCTCTCTCTCTCTCTCTCTTTCCTTCCGCCTTCCTCTTCTTCTTGGACCTCGCCCTCTACACCTGTTCTGGTGTTCGGTCGCATTGTTACTTACCACACTACAATCTTCCCAATGTGGCGTCAATCCCACTCATGCGATTTCCTTTCAGTTGTTCAGAAAGGACTCACCCCCCACGATTGAAGACTTCCCCCCACTCCACACGACACCGCCGCGATGGATCGCACGCGGAAGAGTATGAGACACACTCCCACGGACACAAGGAACAGAAACTGACGCTTGCTTTGCTAGGGGAGCTTCGCGACGGGAATGAGAGGGCCTGGGACGGCGAGACTGGTACAGCCAACCCCCACGCTACCCTTGCCCCTCCCTCCTCTCCGGACTGACTATAGCACTGATGGATGGACAATGCTAACTCACACCGTTGTAGACGTCTTCGCTACGAACAAATCCCTCGACTCAGCCCTGAAGAAAAACACCGCTTTCATCAAGCGCCTCCGCACGGGAATCAGCGCGCCCGCCCTGTCGACCTTCCTCGCCGATATCCGCACCCTCTCCCTGCACAAGTACCTCTCCGAGATCATCTCCGCGTGCTACGAAGGCCTATGCAAGCTCAAGTCACCCGGCGAAATCGCCGCGGGAGTCGAGGTCGTCAGTGCCCTGCACCAGCGCTTTGGGCCCGCGGAATTCACTCGCCAGGTGGCGTGGCTGCTAGGGCGGGGACTGAGCACGCCGGAGAAATCGCAACTCAAGGCGCTGAGCCAGGAGCTGCGCGAACGAGAGGAGAAGGACCGGTTGTCGAGACATCGGGTTCTGCTGCGCATTGTGACGGAGCTGTGGCTGGTGGGTGTGCTGAGGACCTTGGATGATGTCGAACGGCCTGAGGATCTGGGTGCCAAGGGGAAGGATGGCATGGGAGGGAAACCGTCCGAGACACCGCTGAAGTCGAAGCCGCCCTCTGCTGCCGCGGCGGCGAAGGATCAGGAGAAACCGGCCGAGCCGTTTCCGCTGGAGGTTCTGAAGGAGCTGCTGGGTCATGATCGGGACCATTCGAATTTGCCACTTGCCGTGTTGTTTGTCAAGAGCTTTAGCTGGGATATCCTCGGGTCGAAGCTGGCGGAGGATAGCCGGAAGACTGTTGAAGCGGATGGTGCTACCACGACTGGCGCGGATGCGGCGAATGCGGACGGAGAGGGGATCGCCACCACCGAGGCCGATGCGCCGCTTACACCGGAAAAGACTCAGCAGCGATTTCGGAACATTTTGAACCGCTATCTGGAGGATGTCAAGGCCCACGTTGTGCGGGACCAGCGCGCGCTGGCAAACCAGAGCCGTCGAAATGCCGAGGCGTATGTCAAGAGCGGCGAGATCTTTGAGGATCGTCAGGCGAACTTTGAGAAGCAGACCAAATCCCTGGAGAAGCTTGTGGCCAACACCCAGGTGCTGTGTGAGGCGCTGGGGGCTGAGATGCCCGATCTGGTGGAGAAGGAGCCCACAGATGCTGCCTCGAGTGGTGGAATTGGCTTGGTCAAGACCACGGACTACCTGCGCGGACAAGGCGAAGGGGCAGGGATTTGGGAAGACGAGGAAGAGAGACGGTTCTACGAGAATCTGATGGACCTAAAGGGCAAAGTTCCGGCCGTCTTGCTGGAGGATGGCAAGAAAAAGAAGACCGAGTCCGAAGAGACCGGCAAGAAGAAGGCTGATGGGGAGACTGCCTCCGAATCCACAGAAGCTGCAGACGAAAAGGCCGCCGGGGAGGATGACCAGTCGACTGCGATCGCCAGCAAGACTGTCGGAGCGCAAGTCGATGCCCTTTTGGCCAAGCTTCCTGACCTGCATACCAAAGACCAGGTCGATCAACTGGCGCTTGACTTCTGCTTCGTCAATTCCAAGGCCTCCCGCAATCGCCTGGTCAAGGCCGTTTCAGATATCCCCAAAGGCCGCTCTGACCTCTTGCCCCTGTACTCTCGCCTGGTGGCCACTCTCGGCCAGTACCTGCCGGACATCCCGCAGGGGATCACGACGTATCTCGACGAAGAGTTCCGCAGCCTCCAGCGGCGCAAGTCCAAGGAGTTTCTGGGGCAGGTGCGCATGAGCAATGTGCGCTATCTGGCCGAACTGACTAAATTCGGCGTCGTGCCCGAACACATCATCTTCCATTGTTTCAAGGTTTCGCTGGATGATTTCTCGCGCATGAATATTGAAATTATCGGCAATCTTCTGGAGAACTGCGGCCGCTACTTGCTGCGCAACCCGGAGACCTCGCCACGGATGGCTTCGTTTCTGGAGACGCTCAGCCGGAAGAAGACCGTGCAGCACTTGGGGCAGCAGGAGCGCATGGTCATTGAAAATGCCATCTACTACGTCGACCCGCCTCCTCGTCCGGCTATCCAGCAGAAGGAACGCACGCCCATGGAGCAGTATATCAGACGCCTGATCTACCTGGATATGAACAAGCGCAACTACACTAAGATTCTCAAAACAATTCGGAAACTCCACTGGGAGGAGCAGGAGGTGGTCGATATTCTTGAGCGGGTCTTCAGCAAGCCCGTCAAGGTGAAATACGGCAGCATTCATCTCCTGGCTATTCTGGTCAGCGCTCTGTACCGGTATCACCAGGATTTCGTGATCGGTGTCGTGGACAACATCCTGGAGCAGATTACTCTGGGCCTCGAGCAGAATGATTTTAAGTTCAACCAGAAGCGCATCGCGGAGGTGAAGTACCTGGGCGAATTGTACAACTACAAGATGATTGACTCGCCAGTCATCTTTGACACCCTATACCGTATCATCACATTTGGTCACGAAGGCGGCACCCCCGTCCCGGGCAAGATTAATGTCTTGGACATGCCAGACGATTTCTTCCGTCTCCGTCTCGCCTGTACTCTCCTCGACACGTGTGGTCACTGCTTCGATCGGGGCTCCCCGAAAAAGAAGCTGGATTTTTTCCTGTGCTTCTTCCAGTACTACATCTTCACGAAAGACCCGTTACCCATGGATGTCGACTTCCTGGTCCAGGATACCTACTCCGCCATTCGTCCGCAGTGGAAACTAGCCACCGAACCGGAAGAAGCGACGCGCGTTTTCAGCGAGGCCGTTTCGCAGAACTACAAGCTGCAGGACTCCGAGAGGCCCGTCGACCCGGAGCTGGAGGATGAAGAGGCAGAAAGCAGTTCGTCCGATGATGGGCTGGAGGACTTTGCCATGCCCGAGATCGATGATGAGCAGGAGCAAGAGTCTAGCGAGGAGGGAGAGGGAGAGGCATCTGGTGCCAATGCCGACGCAAACGGCGAGAGCGACGACGAGTCAGAAGATGAGCAGATCGTTGTCACGCGACAGGAAGAGGAGCGCGACCCTGAAGCCGAGGCGGATTTTGATCGTGAATTCGAGAAGATGATGGCCGAGAGCATGGATTCGCGCCGCTTCGAGCGGAAAGCTGTTTTCGATATCCCGCTCCCCATGAAACGCCTCACGCGTGAGACTGCATCCTCGGAATCTGGTCCTGGCCCTGCTCCTGGCCCTGCTCCTGTAAATGAGGCCCCGGTTCCAGAGCCCGCTGCAGAACCCGCTGCAGCACCTGCAGCACCTGCACCTCCCAAGACAATGGCGTTTTCGTTGATGACCAAGAAGGGGAACAAACAGCAGGTCAGTATTACTTCTTTCCCGTACGCTTAGACCCCCATTAATAATTGTATAGACACGAACCATCGACCTGCCCTCGGACTCCAGCTTCGCCGTCGCCATGCGCAGCCAACAGCAAGCAGACCGCGAGGAACAGCAGCGCATCAAGAGCCTAGTCCTGAACTACGAGGCCTCGACCGAACCAGAGCCAGGCGAGGGCGAATCTTATCCAGGTATTTCCTTTTCCCCTGCCTCAATGGCCAATTCTTTTCGGGAGTAAATACTAATTCGAAATGGAAACAGCACTACCTGAAAAGCGCGCCCCGCAGAGAATGGATAAGTCCAGCGCCAATCGCGCCGCGTTCCGCTCCAGGAAACTCCAGCTTAGTGATGTTAATTGGTAGTGTGGCTGGTGGGTTTGAATGGTTTGTACGGATTGTACCGACATGCACAAGTTACCCAGCAAGCTCGGGTGGGCGTCGGCGAACTGGGTCGCGCTGTGCTTGCTGCTCAGAGACAACATTACGGGTTGTGTCTAATCTGGGCAGTTTCTGGCTTGATGGCATGTGTGCAATATTCTCGGTTCATCCACCGGGATGGGAGTGGCGTGTCTCAATTTCCTTCCTGTTCGTGTGTTGATGATTCACTGTGTGTGAGATGAGCACGAAAGGAGAGCGAAGAGACTCGACCCACCTTAAAATCCGATTGCCACATCCTCTGAGAAACATAACAACCCCGTGAGGTGCAGGTTTTCTTTCTGGTTGCACGGTGTTGGTTGGGGTGGGTTGTCCGCTCTATCTATTTTTCAACACAAGATATCGGATCCATCCCATCCCATCTCATCCTTCTGGCATCGTTGATCATAGGCCCAGATTGGACCCGATGAGGTGATATGATATGATATGGTATGATTCCCTTCCCTCTCAATTGTCCCTGCGCGGAGTCAGAGTCCCAGAGAAGAAGAGGGGAGGGGGTGATTGGTTGATGCATGGCATGATAGAAGAAGTATCATGGTGATTTTACTTGAGTAGAATGGACTCGACGGGCGAGTGGGTGCAGTGCAGCAGTTAAGCAATTAAAGAAGGAGAAGCTGTGTGAACTGGAGGGAAGAGATAACAACATAGCAACTAATACTTTTGCTGAGGCATCTTTCTTGTAGTTGTCACTCTTATCATTTCCTGACGCAGTTCAAGGGCAATGTTAATAGAGAATGCAACAGGTCTATTCTATTCCCCCTCTTTTGCTATCCATCCACATCAGACAGAGCATACCAATACACTAAGTTACACATCAAGAGAGGCAGAACAAAAGGAAAGAGAAACACAGGCGCGCAGAAGAGGGATATGCTGGGCAGGACATGAGGGGCCGGGTTCAACAGAAATAAAAGAGAAGAGAGATGGCGAGAAGAGGGGTTCTATATCATACACACACACACCCGGATTTCCCAATCCATGACTCGCTTTTGCTTTTGCAGCGAGTCTTCTTCCTTCTCATATCCAAATAGACAAGCCTCGGCGTGTCTCAATCTCGATCTCACGGCGTCATAACAAAGGAAAAGATGTAATCAAGGCATGGCGATGAGCAGCGTTTATTTCTCCGTCTTCAGGACTGCCTCGTTCTTCTCCTCGGTGTCGTGCACGGCCTTGGGTAGGAGTTCGCTATCAGTTTGCTCGCCCTTCTCAGCGGCCTCGGTCTTCATTTGAGTGTGGACCTCCTTGGCGCGAGCACGCTTCTCCTCGGAGTCGGCTGTGGCTTCTCCTTCAACAGCGGGGGCAGCGGTATCGGGAGAGGGAGCCGGGGCAGCACCCTCAATCTCCTCATCGTCTTCCAGTTCGGCGCCGTAGACGTCAGGGTGTTGACGGAAGCAATCTTGCATGCCCCTATGGGAAGGAAAAAAAAAGGTCAGCTAATCACCAGTAAACACTCATGGGAGAACCGTACTTGAACTTCTCAATGCACTCAATCCCCTTTGGCTCCTCCTGCGAGTACACAAAGCAGCTAAACGCAGCCTTGAACTCCTCTCCGCACGGGCCGTGGGCCATCCCGCCCAGGCACGGGCAATCCCAGTTGATTTCGCCGGTCTCCGGGTTGAATGCGGCTTCCTGGCCGGCTTCTTCCTCCAGCTCTTGTGGGTTCACGCCTCCTTCGAATGCGGCGGCCCGCTGCTGCTGCTGCCGTTCTTCCCGGATCTTGGGGGTGATGGAGTCGAGGGTTTGGGTGGAGTGTTCATTTTCAGAGTCATTTTGGGGACTTGGGCGGAGGGAGACTATGTAGATTATTGAATCAGCATGCTGTACCATGTGTTGGACTGCCAATGCATTGCCAATGGACTCATCCGGGACTGGTCGCATTCGCCGCAGCCACTTTCGGACATCAGGGCAAAGAAAAACCGCGTCAACTTACACGTCGGCTCCTGAGCAAACACACTGCTCGTGTTGTAGTAATAGACCGCGCCAGCCGCCAAACCCAACCGCACAGCCGTGCTCTTCCAAGACCTCGACTTCGGCGCCGGGCCTGTGCTTATCAATCGCGAGCCAGCCGCACCACGACCTGCGACAGCAGGCGCGCGGCGAACGAGCGCTCTGGCGGCGGGACGGAACATTATGTCTGTCTTCAAATTGGCGGAAGTGAGGGAGGGGGAGGGGAGAGGGAAGTGCCGGGAGCAGGGCGAGCGAGTGTCAGGGCGAAAGTCGAGGCGGAAGAGAAGAAGTGGATTTCGGCCTGAGGCTGGCCAGTCACGTTGCAGCGCCGGGCCGAACATCCTAGTTCTTAACTAACTACCTTAACCTAAACAGGTATCCTCCCTCACGACAATATAATATCTTACTGTCCGAAATCATGGAGTGGCATCCAAGCCGCTTTTTTGAGCGCAAGGGCAGTCCCTCGCCGTATGCGCTGCTGGTGCTCAACCAGCCGATCAATGACAGGGCGTTTGCTGCTCTCAGCCAGCACGGTGGGTTGGAATGATCTCCCATTCTACGCTTTGCTGATGATCTCTTCAGCGTCCTACATAATCTGTGCGGATGGCGGTGCCAATAGACTGTATGATATGTTGCGAGGCAGGGAGGACGAAGCTGCGAATGTAGGGCACAGATCCCACTGTCTTCTTCTTGAGCATGAAGTCTCAATTGATATGGAAAATGACTATTGACTATTCAAACAGCTCCCAAATGCAATAGTCGGCGACCTCGACTCCATCCGCCCAGCAGTACGAGAGTACTACTCTCAGCGCGGTGTTCCGGTTCTAGAAGACCCAGACCAATATTCCACGGACTTCACCAAATGTCTAAAGTACATCAATTCACATGCCGCAGAGATCCTCGCATCTCCACGACAAGAAAAGGCAGCCTCCTCTTTCACCGGAGAGACCACGCTCGAGATCCTAATTCTCGGCGGGCTAGGCGGCCGCGTCGACCAGGCGTTCTCGCAGATCCACCATCTGTACTTGATGACGCAGACGCAGTGGCAGCTGCACCAGACGACACAACCTGACCAGACTGCCGTAGGCGGGGATCTCTATCTTGTCTCTGAAGAAAGTATTACCTTTATTCTGCAGAGAGGGAAGAATGTTATCTACACCCCTGGGACACGACGGCCAGATATTCCACGTGCATCCTCAACAGCACAGGCAGGAGAAGAAGAGAAGAAGTTCTTTTTTGAAGAAAACATTGGCATCATTCCCCTCTCCGCACCAGCCTCGATCACAACCCAGGGCTTCGAATGGGATGTAGCAGACTGGCACACCGAGATCGGGGGGCAAATATCGACAAGCAACCACATCCGCGCAGAAAAAGTAGAAGTCTCGACCTCGGTGCCGGTGTTATTCACAATGGAGTTGGCAGCAAGGTTAAAGAGGACGTCATGAAATGAAGTCAAAATGAAGTCAAAATAATAGAACGAGGAATGAACTCCTTCTTTTTGCGGTCGATCTAGCTCGTCATAATACAGCTTTAGCGGAAGATAGGTCTGGAGGTTAGGGAAATTCCGCCGTTCTTAGAACTCGAAGTTGGCTGCCATCGACGTCTGAGGACATAACTAGAACCGAGGAATGAAAACCTCCACGAATTTTCTACGGGCATGGCACCCCAATCATCGATTGACTGCCTTTGCAACGAATCATATCTGTGAAGAGCGAAGCCTCTGTCTCGCAAAAACCGACCATCATCTGGGTAGGATATATTACCTAGTAGGTTCTTCAGGGCCTATTCCGTGGTTCGACTTGAGTTTTATCACCCGGGCCATCCTGAAGGGGTTTGACCAAACTGGGGCCATCTTGGTAGGAGTTAGTCTGTTTTAAGTAGTGGTCTATGGCTAGAAGATGTCATAAAACGGTCATATCTCAACTTTATAAAGATCCCTCAGCCTGTGTTTTCTTTCTGTCTTTAAGTATTCGGTATTCTTTTCCAGAATATTGACAGAGATTTACCGTGACGGAGCCATCTGTCAAGACCATCGCCAACGCCTTCCCGGGTATTACTCCCAATAACCGCAAGATGCCTCGAGCAAAAGGCCATTTTAAAGCTCATACAGATAGGGCCCACAGGAACTATGGCGACCAACTATCATATGGGTCTTCCAAAAGCCCCTCCAGCGTATTTACTGGCATTATAGTGGCCGAGAACGGGCTTCGACAAATTTCTCAGCGGCAAGAAACCTTGGAAGCAAGAATCCAGGAACTAGCCAATGCGGCAAATACCGAAGATCAGAAGAAACAGCTCAGTGAATGGGACAAGGAGCTAAAGATCTTGCTGAGGAGATTTTATATCCAGGAGCGGACCCTCTACCTAAAGGAAGCCCTCATTCCCGAGGACTTGCGCCAGATCTATGAGTCAATGAGAAAGGATCCAAGATGGTATCTCCGACAGGAACTAGTTGAAGACTGTGCTGCGAGAGGTGGGTGTTGCGCTCGGAGCTGCGGCTGCTGCGAGCAGCGCGTGTCCAATGAAGAAAGAAAAAGAAGCATTGGGCATTGTTCAGTGAATTGTGGGTGTTGTTCAGTTCATCGAGGATTTGATTTCACGCCGAATGAAAAGCAGAATATGGCCGTGCGGCTTGAGGAGGCGCTCAAAAGCAGAAATCCCGCCTTTCTTCTCAGGATGGCGGATGCTTATTTCTCGAAGCCCAAGCGTGCTCCCAAATCCGCTTCCACCCGGAACGACGAAATGCCTCCTACTTACAGCCCTAAAGATCTGGATCCTCCCGCCACCAAGTCAGTCCCAGAACCGAAGACGCAGACGGTATCTAGATGGAGACGACTATTGAGCCTTGTCGGATGAAACTGGCGATGTTATCTAGTTGCTATGACCGTCAAAACTAGTTGCTGCTGTTTGTCAGTAACGAATACTTTGCTCTATCAAGAAATGGCATCAGAAAATAAAACGAGGAATGAAAACTTTCACGTTTACTATACTACTGCTCCTCCTCTTTCTCTCTCACACTCATTCCAATACACTCCTCATATTCACTTTCCTCCCGACAAAATCATTAGACAAGACAAAAAAAGGCAGAAAACAGAAACAACATCACACAAGCAGCAATAGGTAATAACCAGAACAAGAATCCAACCCAGGCGCCTCCTCTGGCTGAAGCGAGAGACCAAGAAGTAGAAGAAAAGACCAAAAAACCCGACATCACGTATGGCATCAATACGTACTCAAACCCATAACCCACAAGAAGAAACAGAGGATATCATCCAAAAGCGACCAAAGTAGCACGCACGATAGGGGAGGAATGGAAAGGGGAAGAACAGGGAGTTTGAAACAACAACGTAAGGAACAGCAACTATCGCCTCATATCATCTGGGTCCAGCTAGAGTATCTGTACAGGCAGAAGCAGACGCAAATCCTCTAGTGTCGCAGGATGGCCTCGTACAGGGCACCGATCACACCGATGGCCGTGCCAGTAAGCATGCCAGACCATTCACCAGGGACGGAGACGTTGACCTTCTGGACGGTGTAGTAGCTGAAGACATCCCAGAAATTAAAGTTGCCCGCATAGACAATGTAGACCAGGAGTGCCTTGGCAATGTTGAAGGTCAGCGGGTCGAAGCTAGCGCGCGACGAGGCAGCGCGAGTGCGACGCGCCGAGGTGCCTCCGCTGAGGTTGAAGAAGTATGCAGCGACAAGGGGCAAGACCAAGCCGGTCAAGGCCCACAGGATAAATGGAGCCCAAAAGGCGCCGCTGACGAGCACAAACAGGTCAGGGACCTTGATTGGGAGCGATGGGATATGCGCGGCTGACACTTCCGGCGTGGTGGTGAGATAACGCCATGGGATCAGCTCCTTGAGCACGCTGCCGCCCTCCAGGGCCAGAACAATGGTCTCAACGGCCTTGAGGCTGCTCAGGCAGGCGCGCAGCGCGTTGGATCGCTCCAGGACACCTGATGAGGTCCATGCCTGTTCGATGCCTTCGCGCACCTTTGCCGTCTGCCGGTCAATGGCCTGGGACACGACGGCGGGAGACGGAGGCAGCGCAGACTCGACATGCAGCGCGGACCGCACAGCACGCGCTGAAGAGCGCGCGGGGGTTCTGGCGGGAGTTTCGGCTTCGCTGCGACGCGCCGGGTCAGTTCTTGACGCGACGATGAGCGTATAGCAACGCGTTAATGAGATCAAAGACATACGCAGCTTCCTCCTCCTTTTGCTTGGTCGGTTTCCGGCCAGGCTTCTTCTTCTCTGTCACAGGGGTCTCGGCAGACTCGCGCTTCACGGGCGAACTTCCACGCGCCGGCGCGGCCAGACGCTTGTAGTAGTCGGCGAGCTTCTTGTCACCAGAGAAGATGGACTTGTTGTCGCGCAGATGCTTATCCAACGCGACGGCCAGCTCGTTCTTAGTGTAGTCGAGATAACTAGGAGTAGACACAAATCAGCCTCTGGGAACGTGCGCCAGGACACGGATGGGCGCAGGGACAAAGAGAAAGACCACGGTGAGGGAAACATACTCGCGCAGATCGGTCTTCTCGGCGAATTCGACCAGTTCTGGCTTGCGCAGCTTGTTGAGGTAAGGAAGACCCGACATTTTGTCTTGGATGAGCCAGTTCACGATCTGGGGGTGGGGAGATGAAAGAGTAAGGAGGAGGAGGAGGGGGGAAGTTGCGATCGATAAAACTAAGTCGAGTTGTTTACATTGCAGATCGCCAAAACAAACCATTTCACTGTTAGCGCGTTTGCGCCCCTTGGGTTCTGCAATATGATTCGTCCATAATGTACTGGAGAACAATAAAATAAATTACATAGGATGGTAATCAGAGTAGTTGATAAATATTGTACACGGCCAAGGGCCAAAGTCTATGGCTGTCTATGAGAGAGTAGGGTACACGGTATACACAGAGGAAATCAAAACACCCCAACGCCATGCCACCCCAATGCATGCATAACATAAGAAAATCACAGAGGTGCCGCTTCCAATGCCTGGTAGGCCTCGAGCTGCTTGAGCAGATACTGGTACATCACCAGCATCGTGCCGCTCTGGATGCTGGTCCACACGCCGCGGGGGCCCACGCCGCGGAACCAGCCCGCAAGCCCCTCGGTGCGGTAGATCATCTTGAGGCCCGTGAACACCGACGATGTGTCCAAGCGCGGCGTGCCTGGTGGTGCGACTGACGTAGAGGGTGATGATGTCGAGATGGGACGCGAGTGCGCCCGCGAAGTGTGTGATTGTGACGGTGCCGGCGCATGCGGCCGAGGGCTGTCCTTGGGCGCGTGTTCGCCAGGTTTGGAGGAATGCGAGCTGTGCCCGGATGACTCGGGCAGGTTTTGTTGGGTCTGGATGCGCGTCTTGACAACATCTAACGGGCAGGTAATCACGCCGGCCATACCGCCAGCAGTCGCGGCAGTTAGGATCTCCAGGTGCAGCCCAATATCCCGCTGGCCAACCCACCGCTTAGCTAGAGCCTGCTCCTGCTCGTAGAACGCGAACTGCAGCGCCGAGAACGGCAGGTCCCGGAAGATGGTCGCCTTGTAGCCATGAAAGAGCGCCGAGACGCCTTCCTGGCGGACAATGGTTCGGAACGCATCCCCCATATTGCGGTAGTTGTATCCAGAGTGGAAGAACGGGTTGTTGTACCGGCCCTGCAACTGCAGCCGGGTTTTGAGGACTTCGGACGGCACGTAAACGATCGAGGCGGCCAAATCCGCGAAGAAACCTCCGGACAAGTATGCAACGTTGGCATTAATCCCCGAATCCAGCATTTGTCGCTTGGTGAGCTCATACACGCCGAAGAAGATCACGGTCCCCGGGAACGAGCCCAACAACGCCGGTGTCACACCGCTATACAAGCCACGCATCAATCCTTCTTGCCGATAGATGGTCGCATATGAAGAGGTCATCGAGGCGTATCTCGGGGGAAAGTTTGGGTCGCCTTGTTGTCGAGTCTTGACTGTATCGAGCGAATGCATCAACATGTCACCGCATGTTCCTCCGGTTCCGCCCGCCAGCATGGCCTACGGACACCGTAGTTAGAATCTGAAGTGAAGAAGAAGATATCCAGGGCAATCAATCATACATGTAGGTACGGTGGCCGAGGCTCCTCCTCCTCTGTCACCGACAACACACCATCCTTCGCGCTGTGCGGGATTTCATGGTGACACCCACTGGTAGGTGCTGCCACCGACGTCTCTGTAGGTGTGGTCTTCGAGTCCGAGGTCGCTGTTGTCGAGAACAGGCCGAACACTCGCTGGGTCAGGCTCATGGCAAGAAAGATGACCAAAAGACCGCAACCCCGAACGATGCCGGTCGGGGGACCAGGCCACGAAACTGGGGGTTGCGTAGGGGGGAGGGAGACTCCAAAAAAAAATTCAAAAAGAATGCTAGTATGCGCAAATAATATCCACCACCCGCAACAAAAAGAGTGAAAGAAAGATGGAGGAGCTATTCGCACGAGTGGCTGACTTGGGCCAAAATTCTGCTGTTTTTCTCTCAGCGGCCAAGACCGATTAGTGCCTGAGGCATAAATGACGTTGGGGCTAGGCACCAATCAGGCATCTTCAAGCATCAATCTCGGGATTAGGGCAAGGGTGAATGCGTTCAGCTATAGAGAGACCAGAACTAAACCTGAACTTTTACCGCACCAACAGATTAGACAAGGACAATTTGATTCGGACTTATTGAAAGAGACATGCGAAACGAAACCATCCGAAACTAAACACAGCAGAAGATACAGGAAAACAATGCACCGCAGAACTCTAGGAATAGTGAACATGGCATCGCGTATAGCATCATCAATGGCGTGGTGTCCTCCACATCCGCCGATTTTCTACAATCATGGGGATACGCTTCACATCCTCCTTGGTCGTACCACCACACACTCTCTGTCTCTCTCCATCCACCCATGGAAACACGCGGGAAGTCCAAGACAGGACCAAAACCCGAGATCATGGCCATCCATCCAGGTTACACCGACATTGTCATGGATATCACCGCACTGCACAAGCTGAGGTCATGCCATCATGAGTCCTCAGAAAGGCTCACGTCAGGAGACATACCTGCCAGCATAATCCCATCTCGCCTTTACTGAGGCTTCTTGTTGGCGGCGGTAGGGGGGCCCATATAGCGGCTAATATCGGTAGCTTCGTAGGCCTGGCGCACGATTCCCTTGAAGGTCTCCCAGCCGCCACGCACCTGAGGCGGAGTGCTCTGGTGGGAGAGGGAGGCGTCGGCGCGGGCAGTGATCTGGCGAACGGCCTGCTGGACGAAGGTGCTCTGGGCGTAGCGCGCGCGGAAGAAACCCAGGTAGACGATCAGCAGCACCCAGCTGCCCTTGGAGAAGGTGATGGCGGAGAGCAACAGGCGGCCCAGAAGGAGGATCTCGAGCGTTGCAACAACACCCATGCTAGCGTCATAGTACTGCTTGATGAAGCGGCCAATGGTCTCGGCGAGGGGCGACTGCTTGGCAGTGGACTTGGAATTCGGGGAGGTGGGCTTTGCGTCGGCCGGCGGCGGCTGCAGGGTCGGGATCAGGTACATGCGGCTGTAGGTCGCGACGTGGAAGACCGAGTACACGCTGAAGGGCAGGAGAGCCAGGATGATCTGGCGCGAGTACAGCCAGACAAGGGCCATGCCTACAGAATTATCACATCAGCCGCTGGTCGCCGGAGGCCACCTGGCACCGAGGGGAACTTACATAGATACTGCACATTCTCGTCGGAGACGAGCTTCATCAGGACTGAAGGGATATTGCCCTGGACACCGCGGGCGAAGTGGCCCTTGTACACCACAATTCCATAGGTCACGGCGGCTGAGATGAAAGCCAGGCGATATGCGATGCGGGCCGAGGATGAGTAGTAGTTGAAGAAGATAAAGGACAGGGTGTAGCGGAGGACGGAAACGAGCAGGGTCAGGTGTCTGCAAGGTCAGCAAGAAGGTCTTGAGTTGATCGACGACGGTTGACCTTACCCAACAAACCATGCGAACCTATGAGGGAGCTTTGCGTCAGTACTGGGGGGAGCTTCCAGCGGTGTGGATCACGTACTGCAGCGTCTGGGCCAGGGCCTTGAGTCGCTCAGCCAGAGGCAGGGTGGCAGGAGGAGGAGGAGCCATGGGGGGTGGGTTGGTAGGAGGTAAATCGTGCGAAGCGATGTGGGAAAGAGTGATGAGGTAAAAGCAGCGAGATCAAGGAAGAGAGGACTTCGGGGAGGCTGGGAAGGTGCGGGCGGGGGGGACAAACTGTTTGGTTCGTTGTGTGGACGGGACTATGAACGAACACCGCCTGCCCATGACGTCGCTGACTTACTATACAATGATTAATTATTCTTAGCTATTATACCATACGGGAATGTCATTTCGCTCCTTATAATGGGCTACCGAGGCTAGAGAATGATTATGATTATGGTTATCGCTGCTTGTGAACACGTCAACTGGACACATCACCGGGTCTTATCGCGTGCGAGAGGATGCTAGTGTGCCGTGTCCACCAAAGTATATATTCCGAGTCAATATTTGATCTGTCAGTCTAAACTATGATCTACGATATACAAGCACTACAAAGGTTCTAGTCCAGACTAGAAGACTGGCAAAGGTATGACTGATTAACTTTGTGCTGGAGTATATAGTTAACCTACTCATCTGCTGAATGTATATTCATGCAGGTCGGACCTATTCTCAAGAGGAGATAAAAAGCAGGGGAACAAACAACCTTAACTAAACCATGTTATAAATCACATAGTCCCTTCTATATCGAAGTTTTCGAGTTGCATAGAACCATCGTAGACCTGCGAAGCATACGCGGCATTGGCCCAGTTTATCAAAACCAGGAATGACACCATGCAAGCCAACGTCAGATATTGTGAGTACTAAAGAGAATTCCAATCGGTCTGTTCGAAAATATTGACTGTAACTTCAAAGGCTGCCCATGCATAGAAGTACCTGATATAACACATGAGCTCATGAGACAGCTATGACGGCGGGTGCAGTTTTCGTTGGAGACGGGCGACTGGCAGACTGTGAGAAGGAACGTAAGAAGAAGTTTCTACAATCAAAACCAACAAATTACAAAGAGCCTGGTCGGGTACGAAGATACAGTAAGGGAAGATCGCGGCGTGTTCTAGAACGGGAGAAGAGTCGAGAGAACTAGATTGCACATATTCGGGGAGTGATAAGAGTCAATGATATACATAGACAAAGTCTTGATAACCAATACTTCTACAAGAAAGAAACCAAGAGTAGTAGACAAGCCGAAGCGCTGCAATTGAAACTAACACATGGACAGACAGTCAAAAAAGACCGACCTGCCCCTAAAGAGCAGACACAGAGGGCGAGGAGAGAAACAAAATGAGAGAGGCAGAGAGCGCGCATACGGGTAATAGGGCACACAGAAAGAGGTTGGGGTTCTCCGGAACAAAAACAAGATATGGCGTAGCAAAAAAAGTACATCACAAGAAAGAAAGGTAATCCCAGGCGACTTGTTGAACCCCCCTTTAACCCAATCGGCAGATAAGACAGGCAGGAACAATCCCCGTCTTCTGAACAGGATGAGATATTAAATAATCTTGCTTTCATAGGAAAAGACCTTTTTTTTGGGTCCGTGGGCCCACCCAGCGAAAAACAAAGCAAGTGCGTAGGTTAGTGGAGGAGAGAAGGAGAGTCGAGGGAGTGGATGGGAGTCAAAAAACACAGAATATAAGGAAAAATGAAAAGAACGGGAGGGGTTGTTGCGAGTTTTTGTCAAAACATATTGCAAAGAGACAAGCAAGACAGTCACCAATCATGAGCCAAATGAAACAGGCATCGGAGGACCACCATGCGTGCTTCATCACTAAACAGCAGCGAGGCACAACTTAGCGAAGAGAGAAACCCTTGCGCTTGCCTTTTTCTTCGAGCGGGCGGCCGCTCTCGAGGCGATTTTTCTTTTCCTCCAGCTCGCTGCGCTGCCGGTCTAGCTGATCCTTCATCTCGCGATGCCGGGCGTACAGCTCGTCCTCGCTTTGTTTCAGCTTGCTTTCCTTCTCGGCCACCTTCTGCTGGAAGACCATCTTCATCTCTGTCTCCATCTTGGCGAGCTTCTGCTCGTGCAGGGCACGCTCCTCCTCCTGCTTGACGGCCGGGTTGACCTCCTTGAACACGCTCGGGTCCTGAGCGACACCCATCAGGGTGAGCTTGTCCGAGCGGTAGTTCTCGTACAGGAAGTTGTTGGTGTGCTCCTTGAGCTCCTCCATGTGGGTGCGGATGAGCATCTGGCGCAGCTTGACGAAGTCGCAGTGCTCCTCGTTGTCCACCTCGATGATACCCCACGGGTAGCTACGGCCACGCACGCGACGGCCATCCGCGGCGGTAACCTCCGAGTTGGCACCGACAACGGCAAAGGGAACCTTGGACATGATCTCCTGGTTCTCGGCGATGGTCTCCTCATCGTCCAGCTCGTAGCGAGGGCCCTCGAAGATCTGGATCGAGTGGGCCTGGATGTCGGCCAGGATGCGCTGCTTGAAGAGCGCCACCTCCTCATCGGTCAGGGTATCCGCCTTGGCAATGACGGGGATCAGGTTGACCTTGGTGTGCAGACGGCGCATCACCTCAATATCCAGGGGCTTCAGGGAGTGGCCGGTGGGCTGAATGAAGTACACGCAGGCGTGGATGCGGTTGTCGACAATGTTGCTGCGGTTGACCTTGTTCTCGGCCTCCAGGTAGGTATCGAAGCGCTGCTCGATGTTCTCCACAATGGGGCGCCACGAGTCGTCGTTGTTGACAAAGTCGCCAAATCCGGGAGTGTCAATGACGCTCAGGCGCAGACGCACGCCGTTCTCCTCGATGTCGGCGCTGGTCGACTGGATCGACACGGTCTTGGGGATGATGTCGGCATTGGGCCCGGTGCGCTCCTTGGGCGGGTACAGGGAGGTGTTGAACAGGGTGTTGACAAGGGTCGACTTTCCGAGTCCAGATTCACCTGTTTCCCCCGTCAGTATACAGCTTTCCCAAAGTCTCCGGAGTTTACTTACCAACAACCATGACGTTGAAGTTGAAACCCTTGCGAACACTCTTGCGGTGCCACTGGTTGGGCAGGTTGGCAAAGCCAACGTAACCAGTCAGCTTGCGGCGGACGACGTTCTTCATGTCGGTAGCGGCCTGAGCGACGGCCTTGGGGTCGCGAGAGCTGACGGTCTGGGCAATGCCCGAGCCCATGGGGTTGCTGCGCTCAACAAAAGGCGACTCCTTGCCGCTGCTGGGCGTGGGCGAGTCCCGGGACGCGACCGGGGATCCATTCGCAGTCGGCGAAGCTAGAGAGTATTCCGAGTTAGCGCGGTGGTGGTGATGAGGATGATGATGACCGAGTGGCAGTCTCGTCGATCGAGCAGGATAAGGCTCAGTGTAAGAGCCAGCAGAATTGAACAGCAGAGGACGACTCATTGTGGACAATGGTGGGTGGTTGTGGTAGTTGGGAAAGGAAATTGGGAAAACAAGTCCGCAGTCAGGAGCTTACCCATTGCGAAAGTTGGTCGTGTTCGAAAGGTTGGGAAACGTCGTGGACTTCTGAATCAACCGATAATGCTGTCAGCACAACCGATGCAGGCCAGAGCGGGGTCTCCTTCCAAGGGGGTGTGTTCAAAATGCAAGTTCCGGAAGATCCCCAATGCCAGGGATGCTCTCATACCTGAACGCTGGGGGAAAAAAAGGGGGGAGGGGGGCGAGATCTGCGCGTCAGAAGCGGGAGGACAGAGAGGAAGAAAAAAAAACCCCCAAGCAGAAAAGATGCTGGGAATTAAGCAGAGAGAAAAAGAGCAAAAAGAGCGAAGACGAGAAGAGGGTTGGGAAGGAGGAAGGAGAGTGAGTTCCAGTCTGGGAAAGAAAGGGGGGCCCAAAAGACTGGATTGGCCTATGCTGGGTTGGGTTTGGATCGACCCGCTTGGGAGTGCGATGTATCTACTACTACTTACGTGTTGGACTGCACTAGACACGGAGAAGACGATTCTAGGATTGTGCAGGCCCTGAATTCGGTGAATTGATGTGAATCCGCATCATACAATACTTCTCATCACGATTGTTGTGCCAGAATCAATGTGTTCGTCTCCAACGGTTGGTCGCAGCCAGGGGTAACCCGGCCGGGGGGCCAATCACCGCCCACGTGAGCGATTGGCCCACTGGAAGTATAGGATGGCAGAAATTCACTCTTGGATGGATGAGAAAGAAAAAGAATTAGATGTACAGATCACCCCGTCTTGCTCTTCTTTTTCGGTCGGTCAGCCTCTTCATCCGACCCATCCTCCATCTCTACATCGCTGTCCTCATCGCCACTGGTGTCATGCGCCGAGTCAAACTCCTCCGCCACATCCGAGTCCGAAGAAGCATCAAAGTCCTCATCTGGCGACTCGTCATCTTCATCCGCTGAGCCACGGTCAGCTCGGGCACCCTCGTCTCCACTGGATTCCATGTCGTCGTTGTCCAGAGCCGCGGCAATGAGACCCGAAGTCTACCAAAACAGTTAGAACGAGACTACTAGATAACCCATGTCACAACTTACATCCTCGGTCATCTCATTCTTCAGGCGGATGCTCTTGGCTTTGAAGAAGTCCTCCAGGGACTGTTGTTCCTCCCGGTTGATGTTGCTGAACTGGTGTTCGCCCAATCCGGCCTTCAAACTAACTGTGATATCAAAGGTCCGGCTGGCCGAGACCGCACCGCCCACCCGCGACATCGTCACCACGGCAATATTTTCCAGTTGGACGTAGGTAGCGGGCTTGGGAACAAAGATGAGACTCTTGTCCAGGAAGTACAGAGACCCTTCGTTGGCCTTGATGGAACACTTGACTCCATGGTGGCCGTGGTGGCTGCGAATGGTCAGAAAAGAATCCTACACAACGGATACCGTCTACTAACCTGGTGAAATCCTTGGACGGCATAATCACCTTCTTCCCGGACAACCCGCGGAAGATCTTGGTAACCACCTGGTGAATCGGCTCTTCGTAGCGTGGTTGCAGCTTATCCTTGTACTGGGTTTCCAATAGCTCACTGCGTCCTTGTCAGCAACATTCCAGAAGTGGCCGGGTGGAAACCAACTTTGTCATATTCAGCTCCAGGCTGATCTCTTCATCCAGTTTCAGTTGCATCACCAAGAAAGGATAACGGGTCTGTCCCTGACGGAGAGGAGGGTCCAAGCCCAGCACGATGAGCGTGTGGGTATCATCGTTCTTGGGGAGCAGGAAGAACTTCTTGAGCGAAGAGTATTGGATCTTGTAGTCATAAGTCTTGCCGCGTAGCCGGAAGGACGACTCGTACATGTCGATATCGAAGCGACCACGGGGAGTGAGATGAAGCACATCCAAGAAGGTGGCAAAAGTGTCTCCTGCAACGTCTCCAATCTCCGCCTTGTCCATGAGTGTCTCGTAGAAGAGGTTGGCTGCATTCTGCTCCTCAACTTCTTCCTCATTCTCCTCCTCTTCGCCTTCGGCACCTTCTGTCTTCTCCTTCTTCACAGCTGTTCCGGGAATGTAGAATCGCATCTCGACCAACTCGTCCGGGCCCGCGGCTGCCTTTCGGCCCCGGTTCTTGGTGCTGCCCGCCGGCTGTCCATTGGCTCCGTTCCCATCAGTGGCGGAGAGCGCAAACTCCACAGCCACCTCATTCTTGCCCGCCAGGTTGGTATTGGAGATCTCGGAGTAGGGAACTTCAAAGGCCGGTCGGTTCTGCACGTTAAAGGCCAGCTCTGCTTTGGTAAATTCCGCCTTCCCCCAGTTCCACCCTCGGAGGGCGTGTTCGCGGTTTTCGATGTTGATGCCGTACCAGATCTTGAAGGCCTTGCTCAGGCGCTCAAAGTCCTACCAGCCAGCCTCCGTCAGTGACCTGTTGATCACAGGGCTCAGCGCACGTTACCTCTTGGTCAAATCCGTCCAGCTGAATCACTCCTGACGACCGCGACAGGATCTTCAGTTCAAACCCTTTCGCCGCTCGACTCCATTGGGCTGCGCCGAGGTTGCTGCTGTCCAGGGTGAAGGTGTCGCCTCCGCCGGACGGCCGCCAGCCCAGACCGCTTTCTGCCAGCTTGCATTTTCCTGGTTGCTTGGACAGGTCCAAGTAGATGTTGTCGAAGCTCTCCCTGTGCAGTGGTCAGCGACGGTCGCATTGAGCGTGGGCCAATGGAGCTTACATGACGGAGGAGCTCTCAAAGTGTTGGGTTTTTTTCGGTTGTTGTGGTCAGGGATGCGTTGAGGATGGAATGAGGGACAGAAGAGGAAAAGAGATGATGAAAAGAGGCAATTCCAGCTCCAGCCGAGATGGGGGAGAGAGACAAAAGTAGGAGTCGGTTGTTGGAAGCTGGGAAGTTCAGAGTTCGCGTTGCGCGTGAGTGAACCAGTCAAGGCGCGGTCGGGTGGCACTTCCCACCTGATGGGGTTTAGCGTTGGTGTCTGAGGCAGTCAGGCATCCCTCAATTTCTATATTCTCTCTCTGCGGGAGGTGAGGGAAGATGAACAGGTCGATTCATCGGAAAGCGTTCATCCTGATTGATCTCTTTCCCCTGATCCTGTGCTTCAAGGCTAGATGGTGTTCGAGTGGAACGATACCACTACCTGATGCCAGGGGGTTCCAACTATATATTTTCATCCCGTGAAGACTTGCTACATCACATCCCATGGTCCACGGCTGCAGTGAAACAGGATTCCACTTCGAATCCGGTCGGGAAATAGCATCTTTCCGTTAGGCTCCCATGCCCGACACCAAGTCCTGACTGACAGCCTTGACCCCGAGTCGGCCAACCATCCAGGCCCAGGCAACCATGAAATATGAGACCTGCACCGATGCTATAAATCCCGACCGTTCATAGGTAAATAAATGATGGCCAAAGAGCCTACAGGAAGTCAACGGCCAACCCGATAGGAGGTCGCATTGGCATTTGCCCTGTTGGCCAAGGTCTGTACCACGCCGTACACACTAGCGCTGAAGCGGGCAGCTAATCATACCGTTAGCAGATCCTCATACAACTAACTCCAAGCGATGTCATCATCACAGCCCCCGTCATGCCGATAAGGAATGCCTTCTCTAGAAACCGCAAATAATTGCAAGTCATATGAATTAATCCAAAATAATCCTAAGAGGGTACTCCTACCACCACCACCACCACCAGATCTTGCCACTATGATTGCGGGTAATAATATCAAGGGTGGGCTGGGGCGGGATGGTATCGGGGGGCTTGGAGTTAGCGGTAATGCCGTCCGTCACCACAGCGTATCCCGTGTCTCATCTTCTCCCTCCCCTGTTTCGTTCCCACTCTCTCAATTCACTCAACTCACCACCGTCAGTCATTCGTTCTTTTTGCGTTCTGCCTTTGCAACGAGGCTTCGGTCTCCCAGCATGATTCATTCTTTTACATTCCCTCGTTTCTAAGAATTTTTCCATGCCACATTCTTGTCACTCCTTTCTTTCATTTTGACTGGCCCACGCGTCTGCGCGGCCTCCTGAATTCTTAACCCGACGACTCATCGTCTCCCACCCGACTTTCGTTCTTGAGTTTTTTTGTTTTTCCTCATCTGCTACACTTCAGTGGATCTCTGCCAGTCGTCGCGCCCGAGACAATGAGGGTTCCCTCACTGTTTGGGCCTGCGGCGGCCAGCCTGTTGGCGTTCTCATCAACAGTCCGCTCCCTGACGTTCACCGAGGTCTCAATTCCGGAATTGGACCTCTCCACGCTCGGTCGCGTCACCATCACCGGCGATTTCGACGGCGTCTCCCTCTACTCGTACGAAGGCCAGACCGAAAACACCAAAACCAATGGCCCGCAGTCGATCCTCACCCCTCTCCCGAACGGCGTCCTCACCAACATCTCGGCCTCCGATGGCCAGATCACGACCATGTGCTCCTTCACCCAGGAAGATGGAACGTTCGCAGGGATCTTTGTTGGCGGGAACTTCACCACCTTGGGTGGTGTTGACACCCCCGGCGCCGCTCTCTTCAACCCGAACACAACCCAGGTCACGGCCCTACCAGGCCTCTCCGGGTCTGTGGCGGCCGCGGCATGCGATCAGGCAACGAACCGTATCTACGTTGGTGGCGATCTGAAGCACGACAATACGACCAACGCGCTCGCCTGGGTTCCTGGTCAAGGTTGGGAGGCTCTTCCCTTCGATGGCCTCAATGGCCCCGTGACTTCGATTCTACAGGCAGGAAATGGTCACATCATCTTTGGAGGCTCATTTAACGGCATCGGAAACTCGTCCTCGTCCTCATCGCACGGCATGCAAGTGGTGAACCTTCAGACTGCCGACATCTCCTCCAACGACGTGTCCACCTTGAATGGCTACAAAGATCCTCGCAACGTGGTCTGCTCGACAAGCGGTGTCGCTGGTGAAGGCCAAACCTGGCTCCTTTATGATACGTCTCCCGGGTACTGGCGGGCGTATTTCGACTATGAAATCCAGCCGGCCAAGATCCGCCTGTACAACACCCAGTTGGATGGACGAGGCACCAAGAGCTTCCTGCTCCAGCGACTTCCTGATGACGGCATCATGAACCTGACCTATACCGATAGCAACGGCAACAAGGCCTATTGCGATCAGTCCTGCCCGCTTTCCCACACCGAAAAGTACCAGGATTTCGAACTAGTGAACCCTGTCACTACGGGAGGATTCGAGCTTCAGATCCTGGATTGGTACGGACAGGGGGCCGGTCTCAATGGTATCGAGGTCTTCTCGAATAGCATCAACAGCTACGCCATTGACAACTACAACGAACCCACCTGTGCTGGAGACTTTCCTTCCAAGTCAACGCGGACAGGATCCTGGACTGTCGAGTCAGGGTACCTCTCTGCATCGGTGACCAGCTCTGATTCTTCCGATACCGCCGTCACCTTTGTCCCCGACATCAAAGAATCGGGAAAATACAACGTTCTTCTCTATACGCCTGGTTGCGATGATGATGGCAGTTGCAGCTCCCGTGGTATTGTCCAAGTCGACGCCGATCTCAGCAGCGGCTCTGGTTCACTGGCTCCTGTCTTCCTCTACCAGACCAATGCCGATGACAAGTACGACACGATCTATACCGGCTACGTCGACGCCAGCAGCGACTCCTTCCGCCCCAAGGTGACACTGAAAGCCAAACCTGGCTCAGGTGCCCAGACTGTGGTTGCCTCAAGTGTCCAGTTCGTACCGCTCTTCAACACTGCCAATTCGGACAGCTCCAGCAGCTCAAGCAGCTCAAGCGGTGGCTCAAGCGGCCTGAATGGGTTGTACGACTTTGATCCAAATTCCGTAAAGGCGGACACCACACATTTGAAGCAGGATACCATCAACAAGGCCGGCGATCAGCTGGGCCATTCGGCTTCGATCTTGAGCATGGCTGAGTCTAATGATGTGATCTACGTCGGTGGGAATTTTTCCGACTCGACATTTGGTCATGTCATGTCCATCACTGATGGAAAGGCAACAGCGATGCCCGATGGTGGTCTGAACTCGGAGGTCTCGGCCATGGCCACGTTGGACGATGTTTTGTACGTTGGCGGTCAGTTTACCAAAACCGCCAATGGAGGTGTGGATGGCCTACAATACGTTGCGTCCTATTCATCCTCCTCCAACTCTTGGTCTCCCTTGGGAGCTGGACTGAACGGGCCCGTGGACTCGATCTACCCCATTCAGCTGAATGTTTCTACGGCGATCAACGAGACCACTATCGCCGTGAGCGGTGATTTCACTCAGATCGCTGCCTTTAACAGCTATCCCGCGGTGGCTGTGACTGGGTTTGCCATTTGGGTTCCCTCCCACAAGGCTTGGCTGCAGAACCTCAATGTCACACAGATGGAATTCGCTGGCCATCTGTCGGCGGTTGCCTCTGTGAACAATACCAGCATCCTAGCTGGCAACGTCGCCACTGATGGCTTGGTTTCTGGTGGCGCAGTGTCGCTGCAGAATCCTACTGACCTGAGCCTTGTTCCTCTGTCGATGCAAATCGAGGACGCCAAATCTCCTTCGAGCAAAGGATTGGTCAATGGTGTATACGATACCAGCTCTGGTCGCAATCTCACCATCCTGGGTGGACACTTCGTCGCTCAGAGCACCAATGGATCCACGATCGAAAACCTCGTTTTCCTCGACGGTACCGATGAGACTCTCTCCGGCCTGCCGCAGGGAATCAACAGCCACTCGACATTCATCTCCATGATTGTGTCCAACAATACCCTATGGGCGGCTGGAAATGTCACTGGATCTGTCGGCTCTTCTACAATCGGTGGACTGGTGGCCTACGATCTCAATGATGGTGTCTTTGTCAGCACTCAACCCGCGGCGCTCGATGGGGTCGTTAATACAGTTGTTACCCGCCCAGGTTCCTCTGACATTTACGTCGGAGGTGACTTCCATGCAGCCGGAGTGGTCCCCTGCGCGGCGGTCTGCTCCTACGACCCGACCCAGGGCGTATGGAGCTGGCCGGGTGTCAATATTGGCGGCACTGTGCTGGCACTTGAATGGACTGGCAAGGATGGTATGATCGCCATTGGAGATCTGGATGTCGGTGGAAATGAGACTGTGGTGGCTACCTGGAGCTCGAAGACCGCCGGTTGGGCCTCCTTCCCGGGTGCCTCCACCTCGGACATCCCCGGCAACGTTACTGCCTTTACTCCTGCCAGCGAGGATATCTCGACCTTCTGGCTGGGGGGTACCGCCACCAATGGCTCGGCTTTCCTCCTGAGCTATGATGGCAAAAACTTCAACTCCCCCGGCAGTTTGTTCTCCCAGGGCACGGTCATCCGCGGTCTGGAGGTCCTCCCTGTGGTTCAGAATCACGACAGTGTTTCGACTATGAACGATGATCAGACGCTGTTGGTCATGGGCGAACTCAAGCTTCCGGGCTTCGGTGACGCATCCGCTGCCCTGTTCAACGGCACGGCGGTCACGCCCTTCATCCTGTCCACGCAGGCGAACGGCCAGCCGGGTAGCATGTCGCGACTGTTCTCCGAGATGCAGAACCCGTACTCCAATAGCAGTAAGTTCCACCCCCTGCCCTGAAACCACGAATCCTCATGCTAACGTGAACCTCAGCTGGACACCACTCCAACGGCATCGTGGTCCTGGTCGCCTTCTGCTGCGCATTGGGCTGCGTTTTCCTCATCGTCGTCGCCGGCGTCATCCTGAACAAGATCCAGCGTCGCCGCCAGGGCTACACGGCCGCTCCGCAAAGCTTCGGCACTGACCGACCCACCGACATGCAACGCGTGCCTCCGGAGTATCTCTTCAACTCGCTGCATCATCCACAACCCGGTGCCCCGGCCGTTTAATATTTTGTCTCCTCTCCCGATTGACTCCTTTTGAAAAATCCGCGTTCTTCGGAAGCAACTGCTGCTCTCCCATGGATACCCCCCACCCGCTTAATGTCTTACTATTTGCTCCCTCATCTTGCGTTTTTTCTGTTTCGCAATAGTTCGCGCTGGTCTTCTCCGTGATCTCTCTCTCTCCCTCTCTCCCTCTCTCCCTCTTCGAGATTTCTTATTCTTTGTTCCTGTCAGCCTCTGCTTACCGTCTCTGCGTGCGGACACTTATATTCCGTTGTGAATACGTTCCTCTGTTGGATTGGATGTACAATAGCCGAGGTTTTAACATGTAGATAGCTACGCGAGCGTGGCAATGGATGATATTAGTCTATTCTATTAAGCGAAACCTAGTAACCCCGTAGTTAGTAACTCCATACATCGTAACCGCAGTGGACCTCGTGTGTTGGGGGCCGAGCCCCGGGTCACCTGGTTTCCCCGCAATCTCCAGTTCTGGCGCGCCCCAAAGGGGGCTGCTTTTTTTCTTCGGCTGTCTGTCTTTTTCTGTTTCTCACCCACCCCTCTTCTTCCCACCCGGACATCCAGCCTCTGATTATCTCAGATGCTGCTGCTGCTTCGCTTTTGTTCGTGACCCGGCATGCGATCCCGAACTGGCTGGTGAGTGTATCTCTGTCTTGTTGCGACGAATCTAACAGCCGCATCCTCTAGTTTGACGTGCCGGACTCGCAAGCTGAAATGTAAGCCGATCCCAACCTTGTCCATCGTTCCCACAGAGACTGACAGGGGCTCATCTTAGGTGACGAGCAAAAACCCCAGTGCTCCCAATGCGCCAAAGGCGCGCGCGAATGCCGGTGGGGTGAGGGTGTCGTGTTCCGTCATCAACAGAATGCCTCGATGAACGATGGGAGCGGGGACGGGAATCTCAAGGGATTCTACTCGTACAAGAACACATTCCACAAGGACAGCGTGTGGCTCAGTATCCCCAAAGATGGTATGGGTTCTTCCCTTCAAATTAGTTAGTGGGTTGGGCGCTGACCGGGTTCTTTTTTGGCGATCTAGTCATCTTCGTCGACAACTCCGATCCCTACGCAGACGACCTCGAGGCCTCGCTCGCAGAACCAGGACAGAGCCAGCGTCGATGGGGCAGCGTGACGACAGATTCCCGACCGTCAGACGCAGAAACACACGGCCTGGAAGCCCTGTCTGCGGCGGTCGCGAGCCATGATCACCGTTTTCCGTATTCGCCGTTAGACCACCACTCCGTCTCGGCAGATAGTCCGTCGTATCATTCTCCGAATCAGACCCGAGCCATGCCTCCGCCGGCTTCGCCGTCCATTTCGCTTCCCTCCAACAGCAGCACTACCAATCATAATAGCAACAGTAACCTCAACTTCCTGCTCAACCCATCGCATTCGATGTCGCCGCCGATTGATCCGAGTATTGCTGATCGTGCAAGTTCCACCTTGCCGTCGCGGCCGGCGGCAACGTCGCGGGGTATTGCTGAGAATGCTGGAGAGTCGGATTTCGAGGTGGCCTTTCTGCTGCGGCATTATAGTGAAGTGCCGGGGTTATGGTACGTTCTTCTCTTTTTCTTTTTGGCTGACACCGTCACTGACCCTCTTTCAGGATGGATTTGTTCGACCTAGGAACGTACTTCGCATCATACGTTCCCGCGAGAGCGCAGTCCAACCCTCTGCTCAAGTACGCGGCCTGCGCATACGCCGCGAAACAACTGGGCCGAGTCAAAGGTGCCAAGACTGCCATGGGTGGTGTATGCTCACGGCAAGCCACGATGGAAGTATGGCCCGAAAAGAAGGAGGACTGGACCTGGTGCGGGGCCAAGTACTATGAAAAGGCCATTCAGCTGTTGATGAAAGAGCTGCAACCAGACGCGGAGGGTCCGCCGCCTTTAAGCACACCCGAGGCATTTGGGCAATGGCAGGCGGCTGAACTTTGTGGAAACCCTGAAAACCCGCGTAAGCGCAGACGACGCGTCTCGAATAGTAGGCTTTCTCATGGGCGCCATTCGGACGAGATCCTGGCTGCCACGGCAATCTTGTCGGTGTATGAGTTTCTGGATGCAACTGGTCCGGCGTGGAATCGGCATTTGAGTGGCGTCAAGTCGTTGCTGGATGTCGCTGAAGTGGGCATGATGCCTCTTGAACAACTCGCGTCACCGGGGGATAAGTCATATCAGCCGCAAAAGAAGTCTGGGCTTTCCAAAGCGAGAAAGGCGACGTTCTGGAATTTTGCGAGACAAGATTATTTGGCTGCCTGTGAGTTTTTTCTTGGGGTTTGTATTTCTTATCGACGCTGACAGAGGGTTGCAGTTATCAATGAGAGCCGCACGAGACTGAACCCGGATGATCTCCTATTGTGGACTGAAGCCGGGTTGCACATCGACAGTATGGGCTTTATTTGTCCAAGCAACACCAATGCAACTGGATACCCCGAAGGCGACGACGTCATGAAAGAGGACCTGATCTGCAATGCGCTCATCTGGATCGGGTCCAAGATAGTCAACTTCATCAGCGCGGGCGACAGCATGCTGAGCGGCCAGTCCGCCCAGTCCGGTCCCCTCGGAGTCTCACAGCAAGTCCTCCTTGAGCGATGGTACCGTCTAGAAAACGAGCTGGACAACTGGTACAACGGCCTCCCGGCAACATTCCAACCCAGCGCACGAATTGACCCCACGCGGGTTGCGAAACACAAGCCCAGCGAGGAACTAGAAGATCTAGCCACGCTCCAGGAAATATGGTTCAGTCTGGCCATGTGTGCATCAAGCATGCAGCATTACCACATGGCACGGATTCTGCTGCTGATCAATAAACCGCACGAATCCACCAGCCGCAGAGCCACGATCACAAACAGACTCAATTCGTACCGCTCCATCGAAAATGAGATCCGTCTTCATAGTCGTGAGATTCTGGGGATTGGCCTTGCTCGTCCGGAGGGCAGCGTGCGCATTAATTCGCTGCAGCCTCTCTTCGTGGCGGGCCAGTGCCTGACTGATCCGCGCGAGCGGAGGACGACCATCCGGCTGTTACGCGCTATCGACGCTGATCTGGGCTGGGCGACTGAGTATCGTGTCAAGCAGCTGCTCAAGGAATGGGGCTGGAACGAGGGGGTGTCTCATTTGTCCGAGACATGAGCTGTGTTGTCTGTCGCCGGAGTAAGAAACACACTCGAGTGGGTTCTCTTTCTGGAGATGGAGAAACAGAACAAACCACACACGATGGACTAGTCCAGAAGCTTTGTTTGGATCAAGCTTGTGACGGACTCTCCCTGGCGAAAACCCGTCCTCCGCTCGCCAGCGCTACAAAGCCGTGAAAACCTCAGTAGCAAATCGGAGAAAGAGATCAAAGAGCACAGGCTTCTTGCTCAAGATCTGTCATGGCCGACCGCGCACGAAACACGGTGACGAAGGACTGAAGGTTACCTCTGAAACCGGACACCCTCGCGCTAAGAAGCGAAAGTGCCTCTCTTTCGAGTTTATCAATCTTGACCAACAAGAACGTCGAACCCTACCCCCCCCCCAGATTGCGCCGAGTACGCCGTTCCCCGGCGCCCAGACGATGAGTCTTCGTAACTGCTGTCATGTGAAGAACCCCAGTGTGTGTATTGTACAGGACAATGCTCTGCACTGGGTTAGAACACGTTGGCAACAGCAACGAAAGACCTAACGACGTGACGATCCCACTTGTACAGATTAGTTAATTCAATTCAATCAAATCATATACCCAGGTAGCTTGCGGTGGGAGGGTCAGGATAGGGGGAAACGGCATCTATGAAATGTTTAGAGACCCCAGAATGACGAATTGAACCATCATACTATTTAAGCTAGCCTTGTCTTCGATCATTCTCTTCAGTGGGTACCATAATCGGGTTACCTCCTCCTTTTGTGATTCCGAATCCACTTTCGGGTTGGTCTCGGCCGCGTGGCGGACTTGCAGTAGATGGTGGAGTTAATGCAGTAGTGTACATAGTCTGCTTCTTATTTTATTTCTCTTGCTTTGCTTATCCTCTGCAGGTTCTCACTTTCTATACATCTGTCGTGCTGATATTGCCTCAAGGTCTTGCGGTGGAAGGTTAACCGACGGCGTTCCTTCTTCCCTTTAATTCTCCTCTTCTTCTACCTTCCAGGATAAGAAGAGAGTGTGAAACGTAGTCAACTTGCCATTTTAAGCACCTCTCTCTCGATCAATACTTTCCGCCATGAAACATGGAGAGCAAGTATAGCGAACACCTAAGGCGATCTTGCCAAGCACACGGTGGGTCACCATCGTCACTCACTGGCTGTCTGTCTTGTGGATGTGATGTCAGTTCACGATTGATAACTTGCTCGGCTTGTAGATCATTTACTGATATGCACAGTGGTATCCTGTAGGACCTAGCTCCACATGAAGCTGCAGACATGGGCGCATATCTGCTAACGTTGCCTGCCGTTCACTACAGCGATATTCGAAATCAAATATACCAACATCCTCACACGAATTGATTCCCAAACCCTAACCTGAAACACGCTAATCTAATTTTTATTTCTACCTTAGCAAGTCCCTGCTGAAACGTATCGTATTTCCTGATACTGATCGGTGAGCCATTGTTCTAATACCATATCGCTCTATAGAATCGGATAGAAGCTTCCGCGTAAATAGTCCCGGTAGAGCGAGAGTTACTGTGTGGAGGGGTCAACCAATACCGTGCCTGTTTCTATTTCTCTTGGTTGCAGTTGGCCTTTGCCTATGCTCGTATTACATACAATATAGGACACTTTGCTAGTGCTAGCGAGAACCAACCGTGGTAGGAGATTATGCTTACTTTACTATGGTTCCTGTTCCTTTCTACGATGTTCTTTCGCTATCAGCACATTTCGTTCACTAGATATGAGGATAAAATGGCCGAGTGATTTCATACTCTTATCGAACGGCATCTGACGTTGTAGATGCAAGAGATTAGTGCGCCAAAGGCTATTTCCGGCATGTACTGTGTAGGCATGTGCGGTGTAGGCATGATCATTTCGATCGAGAAAAGCAAGATATCGCGCTGGAAGCAGTTCCTCGAGGAAGCAAGCGAAGGGAAGCTTTGGAAAGCAGCTACGTACATGAAACCGCGAGACTCCTAGAGCTACATCCCCGCCTTCAAGGTCGGCGACAGAGAGATGACCGATAATAGGGAGAAGGCTCGAGACTTCATGGACTCTTTCTTCCCAGCGGTGGCAGCCGAAATCCCGTGGCAACCAATCTCCAAAGATGAAATTTATCAATCCCTCAAAGCTGCTAGGAGCTCTACAGATTCACTGAAGGCTGATTCGCCACGACGAAAGGTGGCCGGTTGGTTGACCAAGTCGGAAGGCGCTCTACAGTCGTTCTTGAAATCGGCTTGACTAATACACACATTATAACTATTTTCTGGACGGACCGACAATAAATGGAAGCCTAATGCAATAATAATAAATATCAGAAACCATCACACTGCCGAGGCAGTATCTTCTGTCCGAGAATTATACCATAGCTAGCTTAGATTCCTCCGCCGAACACCCCGCATGTACTTGACTTGGACCGAAGAAATGTCTCGAACGCCATATGTTGGCATTGTTTCAATAATTTGTCTGATTCTGCAGTGTATAATAGTGGTGATTGCACCCCTCAGGCTTAACAGACCAACAACTAAGCTGCCTTTGCCACCGCTGTCACTCTTCACGGTAGTTGCATAGGTCGTCGGTTTAACTGGTGCCTTTTTTGGTTTCCATATTAGAGGTCGTTGGCACCGCGAAAGAAAAGGCCTCGCCTTGCCAGATCTGCATTTTTGTTCCAACGTGAATCGGGATGCGGATTTTCTTGCTAGACTTGCTCGAAGCAAAACAGACGGTGTCCAACGTCGTGCAAGATCTCAACCGAGTCAGTCGTGTGCCGTCGCGGGCATCTTAGTCTTCATGGAACTGGCCGTCTTGAACCTGTGCAGCTCAACCTTCCTCTTTGCACATCTCAAGTTTTGAACAGGCAAGTTAGGTTCCTTCATATTCATCCTTATGCTCATCATAGCAAAGATTGTTTGGAACAATCCATGCTGACTTGAACAAGCACTGTTCAAAATCTTCTCTTTGCTCATCCTTGCCCACTCGTAGATACGTAAAACCGAATCTAGCTTCCATGGTTTCATCCCGATATCCATCCAGCCCGTTTGGCTTCAACACCCGCTCTCGACCTCGGCCTCTTCATCACCTAATTCATCTGGATACCATTTTCATACCTGCACCCATGTTTGTACTCGAACCTTCCCTCGAACTCATCGTCGACATTACACAGTCATTCGACTCGGTGTTCCTTTACCAATCCTCATCTCCATTTAGCCATTTACGTCTTTTCCTTTTCGTTCCACTTCTTGTTCTATACCTCCTTCTCCTAACTGTCGCCCTTCAATCCAGTTCAGCTCGAGATCCGCTCATCGTGCCAATCCGGGACCTTGATCTCTGTATGTTTGCATCACTTCTCACGCCCCCAAATCCTCATATCTCCAGCTCTTAACCATTTTCATTATCTTTCCACTCAGCCATATCCCATACTAACATTCAACCTTCAATTCAGCTCGACACTCATCATTCCACTCAACCTTCTTCCTCCTCTTGTGAGTTACACCTATCTTTTCCCTTGTCTTTTCAGTTATCCCCACTACCCAGTCATTCATATCAAAATTCACTTTTCCATCATCCTTTACATTCATCTTTCTTCGTCTCCAGATAATCATCCTTTACCTCAGCTCAACATCCGTCATCGTACTCACTTCACCTGGCCTTGGTCTTTCTGCATGGTGGATCAGTCCTCACACCCCAGTCTTCATCCTTCCAGTCCCTTTCATATACCTGCACCCAGCCATATCCCCTTACTAACGGCCAATCTTTACCTCAGCTCGACCTTCATCGTTCCAGTAAACCTCCTTCATCCGTTTGTGAGTTATACCTATCCTGTACCTTGTTTTTCCACTTATCCGCCTTTGCCTCCTTTACCCGCATCCAAACTCAGACCTACCTCCAATCCCCTGAGCACGACCAAACTCGAATCTTTATCCATCCGTGGTCAGAAGCCGATATTCTGACATTGACAAAAACAGGCACTTCCGTCACCCTACTTCTTTCAAAGATCTCTACGACCTTATTCTCTTCGACTTCACTTACCTTCACTCTCTTGGGCTCAAACATTCACAGTGACCCTTAACCACGAATTTGTTAGTATCTCCGTTTCTGGTTTTGTTTTTGCTCTCACCTCTATACTCCCACACCTTTCCACACTTCCGTGGATCAAACCCTACATTCTTCTCACGCTGCATCTCTTCCACTTTCTATCCGTCTCGCACTGCCTCTTCCAGAGCTTATCCAATCTTACAGGCAAAAACTCGGACCAAGTCTTCTATCAGCAAGGCAAAAAAGAAATCTCACGGTTCCAAGTTCAGCTCTATTACCCACCAAGATGCCAGCCAATACCAACAAAAGAAAAAGCGAGGAGGCTGTTAGCGCCAGACCCCCTAAGGTAAGAGACAAATTCCTCTCCTCCCTTCCTCAAATACTAACGCAGTATAGATTCGACACGGCGCGAAAAAGCACGGGAAAAGGCAGCTCCATGAAGAACCGGGAGATCCAGAATCCTGTGATACCTTTCTACAATGCAAAGGCAATGAGCAGAAAACTGCCGCATATCTGGGGTTCTATCATACCAAGGATCTGAGACTCTTTGCTATTTCTTGGCCAGTCCTCAAGGCATACATTCACGGACACAATATCATGTCCGGGAAGAACCAGGAAATCCCGAGACGACAGGTCCTCGAAGTGATCAAAGGGGACGAAGCCAGGATCTCAAAGGCAGATCCTGCAAAAGACTGGAACCTCAACGATAAAAGTGAGACAGAAGAGCGTCGGAAACTGATGAAAACTCGGCATCTCGCATATCATCTGTTGATTTTGGAAGCAGATGTGGAGAAGTACCAGACCAACTCGTTCCAACGCAACAAAGACCTGGATGCTCAATATAGGACCCAGTTCAACGAGCTGAGTAAAGCCAGAGTGCCTTATGAGAAGTTTAAACTTCGCAAACCCCCAGGACTTGTTCGTTATCCGGGAAAAGAAAGTCGGCTGGAGAGCATTAACCGGTGCTACACACTACTGCAATACTTGAAGCACAGCCTGGATTATGCCCATATTTGGAATGGAAAAATGGATTCTCTCGAATCAATTCGGAACGGTGTTCACGTGAGCATCAGCCATGTCCCCGGATGGATGCAAGTTGAAGAGGATGAGACAGGAGTGCCGTTTCCTCCTGACGACGTCTCTGACGACGTCTCTGATGACGATACTGATTACAAGCCCATCTCAGTCAAGGTCGTTTGGTATCAAGATAAAATGCTTCCCGGACATGAAGATCTGGAAGCCGCAATTTCGAACGGCAAATCATGCGATTTCAAAATACCACCATCTGATCAGTCTCTTTCCAAGAACCCTAGGCTTTACAAGTCTGGCGACGTGTTTAGGGATATGATTCGCAAGATGTTTAACTGTCAAGAACTACGTCTGAACATTCGAGACCTCGAACTGCGTTATACATCGGCAGCACACGGATTTGGAGTCTCGAAAGATCTCCTAAGTGGTGAATGGGAGGAATGCAAAGCCGTCTTTGCGAGTGACGAGAACAGCAACTTCGTCATCAAACTTGTGCTTTATGCAGTCGAAGACCCCAGCGCTGACATTCTTGAAAATTACAACTTGCAGCCAGAGTTGGAGATGATGGTCAATGATGATGAAAACGCCGGTGAGGCATCCCAAGCAGGTCCTGAGAAGGCTAATGCTTCCTCAATCTGTGGAATCTTCGGATTAAGGGGCTTTGCTGGCCACTATGGCATTGGCAGGGCGCCAAAGCCGCGCAATTTTAGTGAAAGAGAACGGTCTCTGGAATATTATGGCGGTTTTGATGTGACATCTGAATCAGGTCGCAGAGGCTGGCAAAAGTCAATGCTGCATGATGTGGCAAGGACGGTTCCGCCTAATTGTGTCAAGCGTGACAAGCCACCGCGTGACTTTACGTCCTCCGAAAAAGCTGCAGTCACAGAAGCTGAGTATCAGGCAGAGCGTCTAAGGGCTGAGGATCAGAGCGAGCCTAAGGTAAATGTACTAAAGCCTGACTGCCAGTTTTACCACTAATTTCATTTCTAGACCAAGAAGGACGTTGAATACTATACTCAACAAAAGGCTTTCTCGGGAACGGAAAATCGGGTTGGACCCTTCGTGAATTTGTGCTTGGATCTTCTACTCTGTGAGCCGGATGGCGATCGATACCGAGCGACGTTGTTTCAGGCATTTACCCACAACATCACATTCTACCATTACCAGATCTCTGGTGCGGTTGGACTTATACTCAAGCAATATGGCGAGATAGATGCAACCAAGATCATCGCCAGTGCGGGACTCGACTCAAATGACCGTCGTGCTGAGAAAGTCAAACATGCCGCCAAGCAGCTAACTGATCTTAGAACTCATTGCGTTATCTTAGCCGACGAGACCGGCTTTGGAAAGACAATAACATGGCTTCTCATGCTCCTGATGCGCACTATGCTTACCGAGATCATGAAACCCACACTGCTTGTGGTTCCTGCCACGGTCATTGGCCAGTGGTTGACTGAAATTCGTGGACATTGGCCTTGCTTCCGCCCGGTTCTCTCCTACAACGATAGCGAATGGGAAGACGCTCTTGGGCTCGACTCTATTCCAGCGCAGGCGATGCGTGACCCAGAACACAACCTGCCTCCTAGCTTGAAATGGCTCTTTGATGAGGATAACCCCGAGACCTCGAAAGCAATTGTTGTCACCACCTACAACACTCACCTTTGTCGATCCCTGTGCCGAGAGAAAAGTGATTATATCGACGAAGGAACCACTTGCAAACCCCAGTCAGCCGAGAAAAAGCGCTTCCAAACACGCTGCGAAGGAAAATTCGGCCTTCTCATAGCCGATGAGGCCCAGCGCTTCAAGAACCAAGCCTCGGCAACCTGGGCTATGCTCTTTGCTCACCGATTTGAGAAGGCTGTGGCTGTGACAGCTACTCCAATGTTCAACTCGATCAAGGTAATATCTTGGACTGACGGCTTTAACATGGATGTTTCCCCCGCTCATACTTCTATATAGGATATTCTCGGCTTTATTGAGCAATTTTGGCAGCTTGTCAAGCCCGAGTTGGAATTTCGGAAGACACAAAATGACTGGAGAGAAGATGAGCTTCTTCAGGAAAAGCAGCCCCTCAAAATCCAGATGCAGAGGTTTGCTGGACTTGAGCGCCTGGATCCGAGACGCCTCAAACTTCTAAAACCAGAACTGATTCGTCGCGTTTTGGAAAGTAAGAGGGACAAGCACAAACGGGTAGCGGAATATGTTGGTCTGCTATTTGACTTGGTCATGATTCAACGTGGTCATGCCTCTGTGCTTCCTCAAGAGTCTGGCGAAGGAATCTCGTTCAAGGACATGGTCCCAAAATCGGAGTGGAGCACGGCAGAGGTGAAGCTTTTGTCTCATGAAGTACAGGAGTATCAAGTCTTTCATCGGTTGGCTGCAAGGTCAGTCAGTTCATTTGGGGAATCTCCGATTTGGTTCGGTCTTTTGCTGACCTTGATTGATATCTAGCCTTTATACTTCTGAATTCATCAGGCGGAGCCGCACCAATTCGATCCTCGCCCTGCGTCAGTTCAGTATTATCGGCTTTTCAATCATAGGCGCTAGGCTCAACCGGCTCATGGAGGCAACTGGACGCAACACGTATGTGCGCCAACTTGCTCACTGGCGTATGCAGTTCAGGGCGGGTGAATTCATTCACAAAATGACGCGCAGAAAGGGTGACATAGGCAGAATCAAGTTTGCCCGGGACCTTATCAAGCATCTTGCGTACGGATCTCCAGCAATTCGATTGGTTTGCAAACAGATACTCGAGATCCGAGCAGTGGAAGCACTGCAAAAACATTCTCGCAGATATCAGAGGCTTCTTATTGGAGAATCTCATCCATTCAACGCATGGTTTTTGGAGGCTTTTCTGCGAGAAATGTTGATCGATGCTCGAGTCTTCCATTCAGGTCTGGACAACTCGGAGAGAGCAAAGTTGGTCAAGGAGTTTAATGATCCCGAAAGCTCCATTCAGTGCCTCATAATGACCTACAATGTTGGGGCCATCGGGCTAAACCTTCATGAGGCTTGCAAGAGAGTCGTCATCACTTCAATCGGGATCAATCGTGCCCAAGAGTCACAGCTTGCTGGTCGAGTCTTACGATTAAGTTTTTCTTTTTGAATATTTAGAGATCCTCGCATTTGCTAATCTATGATATAGATCAGATCCAAATTCCCGGCCACCGTGGTTCGGCGTATGACTCTGAACTCGCACGATCAGTTCCGAAGCGCTCGCCAGATCGAAAAGGCGTCCTTACAGCTAGCTGTTAATGCCAAATGCCCCGACATCAGCAACCTCATGGTTAAGCTCCTTAACGAACTGCAACCGGACGTCGACCACTGTCATGCTTCCCAGGAAGGCAGGAAGCTTTTCACTGAAGCCCAGGGGAGTGGTAGGCAGACAGGCGGGAAGCAGCCGCCAATGAACCAGGCTCCTGAAGAGCCTATCCACGCCCACGAAGAAATGCAGACAGAGGTGCAGACGGAGGAAGGGACCAGAATCACTGACAGGCCCACTGAAGAGGTAGCAGGGCCAGAAGAGTTCGATAATTTCGACAATGTTCTCAATCGGGTTAAGGAAGATGACACATCTGAGGAAGCTGATTCGAATTATGACACCGAGGATGACTACGAAGGCTGTGAGTTCTCAGATGCCGATCTCGACTCGGAAATCGGCGAACCCGGAACCTCTGAGACAGATGAAATTCGCCCATACAAGGCATGCCGGAGATTCGCAGAGATCAGACAGCCAAGCGAGGAGGAGGGCTATCGCCTCGCTCTTCTTGCACTGCCACCGAGGAAGATCTGGACAGTTCAAGATCTAGAAAAAGAACACTTTCTCCACATGGGTCTCCGGTTGCTATACAACAGGATCCATGGGATCAAGAGACTGTCCCTCGGAAAGAATATTCACATCAACTACGATAATCTTCCCAAGCTCCTTCTCAATCAAATCAGCAAGACACTTACAGAGAGGGAAAGGAAGAGGATCCAGCATCTTTTGACAAAGTGATAAACATTCAGGGGCCGAAATTGGGGGTCGTGCTGTGGGCAGTGGGTGGAGGTAACTTTGGTGTCGGTGATCATGGACGGTCATTGATACTAGAAGGGGAGAATTTAATGGGAGAGTGATGGATTGCGATTTTGAAAGGTCAGTTTGATGGGAAACGGAGGAAATGGAAACCGAAATAGCTAGCTAGTTAGAAAATGGATGGAATTTGGGGGAGAAAAGAAAAGACATATCGTTTTGTTGAGTAGTGCCTGCTCGTGAAACCCCCGTCTAGTAGTACTATTGGAAGATGAATCAACCAAACCCGGAATCTCAGCGCATGTATATCTCACTCAATGAGAAGCACTCGGCCAAGGCATTCAGTCAATTTCCCTGGCCCTCCCTGTTCGCTTATTTACTTTCGACACTTCGACGTCCTTATGGTATACTCTTTTCCATCAAGAGGTGGTTGCTTCATGGAATATGCTCCGTAACCCACCAACTTAACTTTTCCCTCGTGAAAGTCTGGAAATCCCACTCCGCTTCCTCAAGCCTCTCTCTTCCTGCCACCCACACATAAGCCATAGCAGAGACCTCGTTTGTGGCTTCCGCGGTATTAAACGCATGCAGCAGATTCATGTCTGCGCTGGCCTTCTCTCCAGGAGAGGCCGAACCAGGTAATTTATCCGCCGTTCGCACCATTATTTGTTCCCGCACATACTCATTGCCCTCATAGTCATCAAGAAGGCGAATATCGCTGTCTGTTAGGCCTGACACGAGAGTACCTAGAACAGATGTCTCCCTATGCCCAACAGTGTCTGCATCCCCTGTTTCTGTTGCAGCTACAATTCCCGGGTAGTCTTCGTCTCGTACATGATATCGTCGATATCCGTGTAGCACCGCCGGCTGAAACCTAGGCGGCGTCTTGTTGTTGGGGTCAAGATCAGAACACCCGTAGATAACGCGGTGTAGTACCTGAGGGGCCATCAATGTCCCTAGGCTCAGGAGCGTTAGTCTTAACAGCATGCAATTTAGTTGGCTGGAAGCACCGTAACAAAACAGGACGTGGTCGCCCATGTTTATTATGTATATCAAGGGTAATTTTGAGTCTGTTATTCTCCGTATCTAAGGCCTGGCGGAGATATTTATGTCGGGCGAACGAATTCCATCCATCTAGAGGAGACTAAAATTACATCGGGCCGATGAAAGGGCAATCTTAGGTATGATCGGTACGGTCCGCCTTTCTGAGAAGCTATTATGACCACTTCTGGTAATTAGGGGGTCCGGTTCTTCCTTTGTTTGGAGATGGCGTCGGGATCTCTCCCCCGAAAGAATGGCTACCCCACAATGGGTTGACTTTCAGGGTGCACCTCCCTAAATAAGGAATCTAAGCGCGGATTGATTCCTTCCAATATGCCTAGAATTGGGGTTAGAAGTAACATGTTGGTCACGGAGAGGGAGATACCTCTGTCTGTCGAGAGAGAGATGTTCAACCAAAGTACACTTAATGATAACGGGTGTTGGAAGTCTTCCGTGGGTATACATACAATCAGGAAACGTTGTGTGCTAGAGACCATTGGCGAATTCCCCTGATTTTGTGGGGGTGGGTTATGTACCCCGCAAATTGGAGGAGATTTTGATGGTCGTCTTAAGACAGTAACTAGCCAGTCGCTAAAATGGCAGCGAAGGTTGGTGCTTCGGTTAGACCTGCCGAGGGAAGCATATAAAGTACAAGCCTAGAGCTGTGTCTTTGCTAGTTATCCACACTGTGGTTGGGATTTTGTCGACTTCATCTCCAAAGTGAATTCTATCACCGATTAAAGTAGCCAAATATGACTGCTTTCGAAGGGGAGGATAGCGACCAAATTGGAGATGTGATCGCACCAGCCGCTGATTTGGATAATACAGCTGCATCTTATGATGAAGCAGCTGATAAGGAGCTCGGCCAGCCCCCGGCCCTAAAACGCGACCTTCAAAGTCGCCATATGCAGATGATTGCCATTGGTTAGTAGCCCAAGGAAAAGTCCGAGACCAAAAAAAACCTTGTGAGAGCGTTTACGAACTAATCAATCCTCGAAGGTGGTGCCATCGGAGCTGGTCTGTTCGTGGGGACTGGAGGTGCGCTTCAAGAGGGAGGGCCTGGGGCTTTAGTAAGTTGTATTGTGGCCGGACCTGCAAACGCCTTGAATACTAATTATGCCGTCTCAAAGCTCATTGCCTACATGATTGTTGGTGTTATGGTTCTGCTTACCGTCCAAGCTCTCGGGGAGCTTGCGGTACTCTACCCAGTGAATGGGGCTTTTTTCGACTACTGCGTCCGGTTCATTTCTCCAGCATGGTTAGACTCTCGCCATTACTCAATATAAAGGGATGAAATTTGCTGATTCCAAAGATAACAGGGGATTTGCAATGGGCTGGGATTACGCCATCGGCTGGCTCGTTATCCTCCCATTCGAGCTTACAGCTGCGAGTATAACTATCCAATACTGGCGGGATGACCTGAACATGGGTATATGGGTAGCGGTTTTCCTGGCAGTACTATCTGTCATCCAAATATTTGGTATCCGTGGCTACGGAGAGGGTAATATGAATTGATCTCTATACAATTTTTACCCTTACTGTCGATGCTAACGGTGGCATTAGTTGAATTCATTCTTGGTATAATCAAGATCACGACAATAGTTGGATTTATAATACTTGGAATTGTGATTGACTGTGGCGGCGCCCCGAAAGGTGGTTATATTGGAGCCCACTACTGGCATAGTCCCGGCGCATTCACCACTTTACCGGCTTCTGCTCTGTTTTTGTCACGGCGGCAGTTTCCTTTACTGGTACTGAGCTGACGGGGTTAGCTGCTGCCGAGTCCAAAAACCCTGGCAAGGCTATCCCTAAGGCGACTAAGCAAGTTTTCTGGCGGATTACGATCTTCTATCTCTTGGCAACCTTTATAATAGGACTTATTGTGCCATATGATTCTAAATGGCTTCTAGGTTCTACTGGCGCTAACACTAAGGCCTCACCCTTTGTTGTGTCTATTCAGAACGCCGGTATCTCGGGTCTGCCGTCAGTGATGAACGCAGTCATCACAATTTCTGTTATCAGCGTTGCCAACTCAGCAACATTTGCCTCGAGTCGGACCTTACAGGCCCTAGCAGAGCAGAGGATGGCCCCTCAGATATTTGCCTATATCGACAAGGCTGGGCGGCCGCTCTACTGTGTTCTACTACAGATTGCGTTTGGCTTCCTGGCATTTATTAACGAGGCATCATCAACGGGAAATGCCATTTTCGACTGGCTCCTGGCCTTGTCAGGGGTGTCGCAGTTCATGCTCTGGGGCAGTATCTGTCTCGCTCATATCCGCTTCCGCAAAGCTTGGGCATATAATGGGCGCGACTTTAAGGAACTCGCCTACTACGCACCATTTGGTGAAATTGGCAGCTGGGTCGGCCTCTGGCTCAATGTGCTATGCCTGATCGCCGAGTTATACGTGTCTGTGATATCAAAAAGCGCAATGCTCTTCTTCGAGAACTACCTCGCGTTTCCGCTCACCATCGCCCTCTTCCTAATCTGGATTGTCTACCTCAAATTTTTGAAAAGAATCTCGCTTGGACTCCGAGGATTGTTCCTCCTGAAGGTGCAAGATATTGATGTCCTGAGCAATATCCGCGATTGTGCTCTCGACGTCAATCTGCAGCCTAAGGTTGAATATGACACTTGGGGAGAATGGATCAAGGCGGCGCCGACACGCATTTTGCACTCATTTCTTTGAGCATACTGATGATAAAGAAATCTCTTGGAGATCTTGTTATTAGTTCGGTTAGTAGATTGTAGAGACTAGAACTTGTACGATACCAGGGTTCATATCTTGGCTGTACTAATTTATCGCTCGAATCTTCTTATATCTCACCTGTATTTGACCCGCGGTCCCCCGCAATTATGCCATTCTGTATATCGCTTACTTTCAAGCGGTGCAGTGCATCAATGTCGCAGGACGATGCGCAGTAGACCGAACGATAGATCAAAGGATCCCTCAAATACATGCGTACTGCCGTGCTGTGCGCAGCATTATCCTGACACGGATTGTTAGATTCGTAGCTTAGTATTCCAAGCCCAGTCCAATACGAGTCGAAATCTTCGTCTTTAAAGCAATGGCTGTTCGTCGCACAGTGACAAGTCACACCGAGCAGCCCTATCAGCATGAGCAGTCCACGTTCCGGCTACAAAGCAGGGAAAATATCCCATTGGACACATTTACAACGAATGTCGATGGCGATCACGAGAGGAGTCGGGATAGAGACGGTGATTGGACGAATTTAGCGCGTTCAGGATCGGGCGTACCTCCGCAGGATTTGCCCTGGGCCCTGGATCCTTGACGAGGAACGTTATTATTTGCTGTGATACTTGTCGGCGGAATCGATCAGTCATATCATATTCTGATTCTGGCTATACTTCACCAGTTGTGGACCTTTTCAGCTGTCATGTTGACCTCACCTCACTATGTAGTTAGCCTGCGCCGATCGGAACATCCGTCTGACTGCATTATTTGGGATCAGGGGCAAATTCTCCGACCGCCGCCACCAAATCGTACGTCCGATCTGAACACAGCAAAAACCCACGCGAGCTTGCAATAATCATACGCGAGGCTGTTAGGCTCCACCGCGGATGATAAGTTCTAGGCTCAGGGAGGTGTTTCCCGTTGAACATTAGGCGATCCACTGGTGGCTGAGGCTAACGATGACTCGTCCCGTCTCGCACTAAGAAATCCTTCCAGTCGCTATGTACTGTGCACACATTCCCATTGTCCTCTCAGTAGGGTCGCAGTATGATGATTCATAGGCGACACAGGTGACTGTCGTACAGCGTCAGGGGAATAATAGCGCGGCGATCCGGAAGAAATCCAAAGAAAAAAGAGAAGATAAAAAAATAAAATAAAAATAAAAAGGGGCAGAGCAGAACAGGTACGCCGTCTGCTTACCCCTGGCTCCTGAATTCGACTCCGTACTGTGGAAATGTGAGGGTCCTGGATCGGCGGTCGGCAGTTTTTTTTCTGGTACGAACAGAGCCAGGTGCTCTATCCAACATAGTGCGACGGGGGGACGGTGGGACGGCGCAAACCGTCACGGCTATTGATCCTGACCCAGCGACGATCTATACTCGAAAAATGTCCGCTGATCGTTGGCCGGTCGCTTCCACAGCGTGTTGGCCTCGGCGTTTTCGCACCAACCCTAAATGCTCCCGTGCTATTATCCTCCCCCCTCCCCGCTAGGCCCAAGGTTCCAGCACCCCTGGAGCCAAGGACGGTTCTTGAACGGAGGACCGTGTGCTACCAACCCCTTACCACGTCCTCGTGTCTACCGTGGGGCACTCGGTGAACGGGCCCTGCCATTCGTAGGCCGCCCGTACTTAGCTTATACATATACTATTGCTTGTCCTCCCCACTACGTTTTCTCTCTTCCTTTTTTCCCCCCAGATACCACTCTGCTGGATCTCTAGATCTTTCCCTCGCTTTTCTTTTATCCCCTCATTTTTCCTCGTCCGGCGCTCTTGCGTGCGGTATTTTCGCGCTGGCGCGTTTTGTCTCTGGCTATGACGGATGTGCCTGAGCGCTTCTTGACATCATGTCGTCCCAGGACCTGAACGGGCATTGCCCCCCTCCCTTCCTTCAAGAGACTTATTTCCCCTCGTCCGGTGGCTTTATTGGAGGCCGTTATTGTGAATCAATCCCACTTGGCCCTGGCGGCAGCAATGTCTCGTGCTGTCTTCCCTGTCCCCTCTCCGAGTGGAGATACGGTGACGGTAAGTCAATCTGCAAGATGTGTGTGTGTTTGTGTGTGTGGTTGGTCTAACCAATTGATAGATGTGGTCCCAAATGTCCGGATTGCCAGCTGGATCAGTGTCGGCATCCTGCCGCTTTGTATTTTCCTACTCATTTCCTACGCTGTCCTCCCCGCCAAATGGACGCACCGCCACTACCTAAGCATTTGCTTTACCCTGGGAATCTGCTGTATGGAGATTGCTTTTATCATCCCCCTCGGTGCTAACCCGGACCAATGTCATAACCCCATCACGCCCAATGACATGTACTCGGATCTCTCATGCGCCTTTTCTGGTACATTGCTCTTATTCGGTGGCTGGTTGGTTATTATATGGAGTTTTATCCGCACGGTTGCCTTTCACCTCCAGGTGTGCTGGGAAGTGGTATTGGGGCCCAAGTTCATGTGGGGAGCGTTTCTGTGCGGATTTGGCATCCCGGGGGCCATGATCACAGTCATGCTCATCTTGACCGGCGTGTCGTTCCGGTTCGGCGAAATTTGCCATATCAATGTGCAAAACGGCGTCCAAGACTATTGGGCCCCCATCATGGCTTTTGCGGTCGCTGCCTTGATTCTTCAGTTGACAACTATGGCATACTGCATCCACATCTACGTCCGCTCCCTCTTCGACAACTCCAACAATACAAGCACCAACAACAGCTCTGGTCTGCCCTCCTATAATGCGAGCGTGCACACCGTGACCGCGCGCCAGGCTTACAAACGTATTCGCCGTGTTCTACAGCTCCAGTGGCGCGGCGTGGCCCTGGTGCTGATTATCATCGGAAATGTTTTCTTCTTCGCCATCGTCTTCATCAAGCTAGACAACGCCGTCGAGCCCAATGCCACCAACTTTGCCATTGCCCAGCCCTGGCTCACATGCCTTGCCTTCTCCGGCGGCGACAGAACAGCCTGCCAGAAGGAAGCTGCAGCTATTGGTCCTAACGAGGGCACTTTGCTAGCACTCGTGATTCTTTTGTCCCTAGTGGGCATTTGGAACTTCGTCCTGTTTGCACGCCCGTCCATGTTCGCCGGCTGGCTGGACCTATTCCGCCGCACTTTTACCCGACACAACGAGTTCATCTCCACTGATGCTCGCAAACGCTACGAAGACTCCAAGGGGTTCGAGATGCTCACGGGCCCTGGCACAAAGACCCCCGAGACTTTCATGAGATCGCCTACCCCTCAAATGGCCAGCCACAGTCCCATGGCCAGCCCTAGTCCAACCTTTGACAGGACTGTGCAAATCGGCCGCGGCTCAGAAGCCCGATACGTGCGCCCGTCTCTGAGTTTCTCGGGTCCCCGCCCGCCTAGCTCGTCACAGACCGGCCGGGATTGGGATCCACAGGCTACATTTGCAGCAGCAGGGTATAGGAATTGATCCTCCGGGTCAGTCTTGTGCATTATTTCCAGAAAAACTCAAAATTGAAACTTTCTATGCTGGTGTTGCGGACTTAATTCTAGTCTTCTGGCGTGGCGTCGGAGGTTCTGGAAGGATCAAAACAGCAAGGGCACTACTGTAAAGTGGCGGGATGGCTTGTTTCACATTTCTCGAAACCACGATTATTCATGACCTTTTTCCCTTTATTATTATTCCATAATGTCTCAATATTTCATGTGAGCAGCATGTGTTACAAATAGATACATTTTCCTTGCAGATGCAGATCTAACATCAGGGGCATCGACATGCCCGTTTCTGCGAGGACTTTCCAATCCGACCACATACTTTCAATAATTGACCCCCTCTGCCTCCCCCTTCTGAAAGCTAAGACTAGAGTGGGCCTGGATCATCATGGAAGTTTTCTTTTCGCTTTTAGTATGCACTTAGTAGTGTAGATCTGCTCTCGAACAATTAGGGCACCCGACCGCGTGTGAGTTTTTCCGTCCTCCCCACAACGGTGATTCGTCCCAAAACAGACTACGGTTTTTTGGGTCCAACCCGCACATGGCAGGTACGCCGTCCGCGCGGCCCACTAGCATGTACGCCATGGCTACAGGGATCGGGGTAGGATCCTTGCTAGTTCTGTACTTCGGATGAGGACACATGATGTGAGAACTACTGTAGAAATGGAACTGGTGTTTGAAGTTTATTAGATTGAGTTACATCACAGCTTGACGGGGTTTATGCGTTTCCTTTTTGCTTTGCGAGCCGATGGTGATTCTGTATAATCAATCAAGAGCTCGGCGGGAGGAAGATTAAAATGAAGCTGTAGTTACGTATGTTCTTTTCTATTCCGGATTCATTCCGGTGTACCTAATATTAATTACCTTAAAGTTCAAATTTTCTAAGCGAGTCCCCCGCAGTGAACTGTATGGACCCTGGTTCGCTGCAGCCGTTGAACCAAACTTGAACATGTGCGGTTTGCCAAGAACTCTCCATCTAAAGACTATACCGATGCATCACATGGTCAGAAAGTTCGTCTTCCCCATGGGGTTTCCCTTGTGAGTGCGAGGCTGTCCGAAGCAGGCAGAAAGATATCATCTCGATAATCCCCGCCGATCTGTATCTGAAGCGAAGGATCAAACTGCCTGATTGAGATTCTCCTGTTGGCATATGAGGCATTATCCACCCGAGACGCTACTAGTTAGTAGTTTAAGTGGAGAAGCCGGCATGAATAGAGTTGCTCCGACTTGTCGCCAGTCCGCACTAGCTACAGCCTCATCGGCCCGTCGTACGTAAACCGTGCTTGCGGCCGTTTGGCCGAGGCACATGTGATCGATTTTTTTCTTCTCTTTCACAATAGCGTGGAAACACAATTATCGTGATTGATTGTTTGGAATCTGACAAACTGATGTAAGATTGATTGACTACATTACAAGACAAATCGACGAATTCTTATATAACCCCCCTTCTCGGCAAACAAACCGGACCAGCCTCTCATCAGTCATTCTTACTGAACCCCCGATATACTCCTCGGGTAACGGCCAGGGACACCTATCAAAAACAAGACGCAGCGCATACTTGTGCGCGAAGTCTCCGAATGACTTCACACCACCGTGGTCTTCCATAAAAGGCTTGGCGAAGGTGCCGCTCTCAATGCGGACAGTGAAGGTCCTGGGTTGGAACGCGCTCTCCTTAAAGCTTGACCTACTCATCCTGATCCGTTCGAGGGTTTTCTCGTCAAAATTCCAGCCCTTGGGACAGGGGCAGCGGCGATCTGTCAAGGTGATTTCCAGACTGATGTGGGCCAGGGTCTTGGGAGTCGCCCCCTGAGTGATGGTCGGCTGCTCATCTAGCACTGTGGGGTTCAGAGCTTTCCAGTCGAAACAGGCGCCTAGTATAAATGCTGTCTCGTGGCCGTCCCATATCTGCTGGTGTTGAGCGTATGCCTTTTGCGATAAGGGGTTTATGACGTACCTCGCCTGTGCCGTCAGTGTAGAACTTGACACATCGCCGGTCTTCGTCGTAGTACCATGGCTCTGCGGCCAGGATGGACTTGATGTCTTGTAGTTGCGACATGATGAGTCTGGATGGGTGGCTGTCTACACGAGGAGTTGTTCAAATAAGTGAAGAACCAAGACAATGCTGAGCCTCACGATCGACACGTGGCCGAGTTGCATTGGGGGCCTAACTTTGTTCAAACAAAGACAATATAATTAGTTAAATAATAGGCAACAAGAAAAATGGAGGTTTTTAAAAGATTCGACACTCAACATTGTAATTAGTGGTAGGGGTGGAAATCATAATACGTCACACTATTGATGTCACAAATGGGGTTAGTAATATCCCTACTAGCTGTACATAGAGAAGCACTTTCCAAGTTCCATTCCATTTCCTCCTTCCATCCTTCATAAACAGAGTGCGAAACTACGACTACAAGTTTCCAAAGATTCCAAACAGAGCCGCTATCCACGTGGAATCTAAGAACTCTTCCTACGATGCCACACCTCGTGTCGAACCACCAGTCGCTGAAGGAAATATTGTAGTTATGTGGAAGATGAATAAATTGCCATTATACTGGTAAAACCACGTTGGATAATTGCAGAAAATTCACCACATCCCGCCGATCGTCAACTTTGAAACTTGCGGTGTGGATGCTCCCGGGATTCAAGTCACTATAGCTGAAGTCTTGAAAATCCAGAAGCTAGAGCGCGACGACCACGGCGTAAATGACCATAATGTATTCCTGAATAATGCAGTGCCCGAAATTCTTCACCATTTTCAAGTTTGCGGCGAATGACTTATCTAACAGCTCATCTTGTCAACCGGGATCGAGCGGAAGAAGCTTTCGGTTCGCCCCGGCCCAAATCCATCGTGGCTGGCCTAGAGCAGTCTACCGCAACGCACGTTCTGAAAAAAGGGCACAACGAACGATGGGAATTAAAACCCCACCTTTTTGCGCGCCCCTCTTTTCCAATGGACTTTTATCTTGATTCTAGCAACAATATCCTTATTATTATGGCAAAATCGACGAGTGTTGAGACCCAGCTGTGGGAGCGACAATAACAGGAGAATCCAAGACTAAGCGCTTTGCTCACTCAGAAAAAATTACAGGGAGAGTTGCGAAAAAAAGAATAAAACCCCGTTCAAAATGCCTTTGGATCAAGAACACGATATTCGGGAGCTCCCGCCAGATCAACGAATTCTCGCAGGCCAGCGGTATCGGAAGTCCCTCATTTTTGTCGCGCAGTTGGCAATATGGATCGGTTATCTTTATTTCACTGCGCGTTTGTTACTGATCCTGATTTACTCCCGACGAACTTGGCAAATGTGGCTAATGTTGCTAGTGGAAGCTATATTCTCTCGTGAGTTTTTTTTTCCTAGACCATGATCTACGAGGACTCTGACCGAATGTCTAGATTTGTCTCGAAAAGAACAACTCCTGGTTGTGGCTGCAAGTAAAGTTCCTAGAGGTGGTCCCCGCAAGAGGCTGCGACTTCAAGGCACGAAAAACCTGCCCAGTGTGGACATCTTGCTACCTTGCTGCGGAGAGCCGGTCGACGTGATCATGGATACAGTGCGAGCAGCATGTACCCTGGACTATCCTGCATCACACTTTCGAGTCTTGGTGCTAGATGATGGTGACTCAACCGTTCTGAAAAAGGCCGTGTCTACGTTGCAGTCTCAGTGGCCTCACCTGTCATATCATTCTCGCGGCAGACAGTCCGGTCAGGTGTTTGCAAAATCTGGAAATCTGAATTATGCCTTGATGACTCTGCAGCGAGAGATCCAGCCAGAGTTCTGTGCCATTCTAGATGCCGACTCTATCCCGACACGGGATTTCCTTCGAGGAACTCTGCCGCATTTGCTTCAAAACCCTGAATCGGCGTTGGTCTCTACCCGACAATATTTCTCCAATCTTCCCAAAGGCGACCCGCTTTCTCAAGCACGGTCTCATTTCTATACCTGCCAAAATGCAGAGCTGGATATCTTGGGAAAAGCCATAGATGCTGGGTCTGGTGCAGTTTTCCGGCGGAAATCCATCGTCGAAGTCGGTCTCTATCCCACTTACTCTTTCTCTGAGGACTGGCAGCTCTCACTGGTATTACACGGCCTCGGACACCGCACTATGCAGGTACAGGAGCCTCTTCAATTTGGGCTTGTCCCAACTTCTCTCACTGGACATATTGCTCAAAGAAATCGCTGGTATATCGGACATGCCCAGCAAATCATGGCGGTGCTCTCTCGGAAGATTCAAACTCTTCCAAAGCACTTGCAGTGGAACATTGCCCTCAATGGCGTGGGAATTATCGCAGCAGAACTAGGTTGTTTCGTTGGCTTCTGTGCTGTTCCATGCCTTCTGCTTTCTGGACAGCTGATCCCGGTCAGCTCTCCCTTCATGACCAAGCTTCAACTTTTACTTGCCGCGTCACAAGTCCTCATGACTTGGCTCTATGAACATGCTCAGGCTGCACATACAGGCTTCCGGAGTGTGCCATTCGCTCACCTGGAGAACAAGTGGCTTGCTGGCGGTGAGTTCACAAAGCCTTCTTGTAGCGACTTTCGAGGCTAATCTGAATTGTAGGGAACATCTGTAGCATCCTCAAGTTCTATTTGTTTTCCAGCAAACCTAAAGGCTCATTTGTGACAGGAAGCACAGCAAATTCCTGGAACCGCATCTCGACCACCTCGCTGTACACGAAGCTACACCGAGACCTATGGCAGAATTGCGTCTGGCTCAATGTACTCACGCTTTTTGCAATACTTGGTGCTCTTTTCTACTCCGTGACTGCAGTGGTATCTACGAGCGACGAGGGCTTGGCCTGTCGGCTGCTCACAACTGTCACCTGGCCACCGTTGCTGCATTTGTGCTACCTGGCTGTATTGAGCAACTGGGTGCCGATAGCTTATCTCTTGAATCCTCCGAATAATTCTGATCAGAACTCGGAGCCATGTGAAGCGAAGTCTCGAGTCTTTACCCTTGGTTCTGAGAAGAGGGCTTTGCCACGATTCAAGCGCGATATAAGCAAGGTCGGGAGGGATATGCTCCATCTAGGAAGCATAGTAGAAATTGGAGACGAAAGTGAATTGTAGGACTGTCAAGGTTAGAGGGGCAATGTTTGAAAGATGAATATAATGATATCAATAATACAAAATCTTGGGACACCACCATGTCTCCTTTATATCTACCAGTCGACAGCCGCGTGTCTATCTACGGAGAAGACGCTTTCTATTTTTTCTGCTTGATATTTTACTATCAGCAGGTATGAATAATGCAATTATCTTCATATTCACTCCTAGTAAATGAGAGAAAAGCCAAGATCCGAGTACGAATACTGAATATGTGTATAGAGACCTTCTGCATGACCTCCGAGCGCCATTGAACGCCAACAAGAAATACCCATAATCATCTTAAAGCATCAACACTTTTCAAACAAGATCTCCCCCGTTACTCCGAGTCCTTCTTCGCATCCCCCGCACCGCCTTCGAGTTCATTGCTCTTTTGAAGTAGGAATTCGCCCAGTACGCGCAGTGGATTAGAGGGTCTAAGATAAGCAATTATATAAGTATCACACGACCCAAGGTTCAGAACGTCGTGCTTACTGGTCCTTAGCAACGGACTTCATGCCCTCGAGGAGATGCGGCACAATCTTCTCGTTCAGATACACGCGGGCCGGAGCGCCGCCAGGACGCACCTGCGTTGCGGCGGTAGCGTTGGATAGATCGTGGAGAGGCGTGCTGGACGTGCCGGCGCCGTTGGTCTCGCCCATGGTGGTGTGAATCGTGGTTTGGAGGAGAGTTGAACTGGAGGTGCTGATAATCACCGTGCAAACACAACAAACACCCAATCGAGTATTATAGGTCAGGTGATCTCGTGTTTCTCTCGCGCCTTGTTTCTTCGTGTTCGTCTGTCTACCCGATGTCTGCAAGATCCCTACCAGCATGTCCCTGCTGGACTACTGGGAGACCCGGCGCGGAAAGCGCAGAAAGGTGTCTGGCGAATCCCCCAATGGGTCCCCTGCCGTTGACCAAGAAGCCCCACTGAGTCCCAGTCCGTCGGTGGAAGTGGCAGATACGCCCGCTCCCGCATATGAAGATGCAGAAACTCAGATTCCTCCGAGTAGCCAGACAGATCTGGAGACATCCCTCCCTCCGATTAAGACTGATGATCAGGCTATCGAGGAGTACGAAGCCTCTCACGCAGCAAAGCAGGAGGATGACGCTGAGCCAGGTCTCCACGTGAGGCTTCGAGACGGGGTCTGGCAGAAAGGACGAAGCTCGATCTATGTCGATGCCTTCAATCTCGCTTTGGATACGGTGCTAGCTGAGGAAGCACATCTCTTTGACGAGGCAGAGATGGAGGTTTTCAAGCAGTGGAGAGAGCTGTCCTATCAATCCCAGTATCTGTATGTTTTTGCTTTCTAGTCAATTCACTGGTCTGTTTAGTTAACGATCCCGAGATATGTACGACTATTCCTTCGCAAATCGTCTGCTTGGCATCGTCTCAGCCGACTCGGCTCCTACTCTGATGTTTCAGACTTGTCCGCAGTGGCTGCTGACCTGCAGCGGGTCCAGTGCTTGCCAAAGTCAGAGGATAGAACCTCAGATCTGGGCTCTTCGTTCAGGTTTGCAGATGGCACAGAGGAAATTACCACGCTGGAAGAAGCCTCGTCGTTGCTTTTGCTGGAGGAACTGAAGGTCTTTGCCAAGGAAGCCAAAGTCCAGGGCAAGAGCAAGAAAGAGCTGGTGGCAGCTCTGCTTCAATCCAGCCAGACTCAAGCTGGACTTGGGTGGAAGGGAAACGAAACACCCAGTAACAGAGACAGTCATTTTGTTCAGAAGATCGTGGACTACACCGGAGACTGTATCAGGCTTGCAGCAGGCCCTCGGGCACTCTTCGAACGGGTGCATTTAGTGTTCTATCGGTCGACCGAATGGACCGAAAAGTCTCTCACCACCATCATCCTCGCGAAGATATCCCGGAGGAACTTCCCCGAGTACATTGTCTGCCGGTCCAACTCAATTTTCCCATCCAGAGCAACGTTGCTAGAGTTTGAGTCCGCAATTCGGACGCAATACGCCGTCGATAATATTCTCGAGTTTGGCGGACCCCCAACAACAGAGTCATTACAAGAAATAATTGATCTCGCAGACAAGTTCCACCCGCGATGGACAGAACTAGTGGAACAGGAGCAGAAGAAAGAAGATTCCATCTACGAAAGCGGAGAGGGCGCATATCTCCGTCGCTTCTCGCCGGCCTGGGTGTATACGAGGATCATTCACAAGAGTCTGCATTCACTCGGCCGGTTCAAGGAGCATAAGAGAGAGCATGAGGTTCTCTGCGAGCTTCTCGCTCAGCGTCTTTTCCACGCTGCTCGGCGCGGAGCATGGTATCAGCGCAAAGCATTGCTGGAAGAGCACTACATGTGGGCACTCATGCCATCCAACGGCCAGAGTGAAGAGCAACAGCGCAAGTTATGGAAACGAAATGCCCTGCGGACATGCGAGGAAGGTCTGGAAGACCCGCTCTGCCACCTGATCTACCATTATGACCTGCAGAAGCGGATCACTAAGCTCGAGAAAGCATTGAAGGTTGTGAAGAGGGAACAGCATGATTTCGGGCATGTCATGTTGACCAAGCCCGCCGAGCGCACTATTGAAGGTATTCGCATCGAGCGTGAGGACTCGCCTACCCGAACACCAGATCCGCTCTCCAAGCGCGGCCGGCCGACGATCTGGATTGATGAGCGAGATGGAGGCGCCGAGTGTCGGGTAGAAAGCATGTGTCTGAGTTGGTACCGGGACCATGGCTGGAAAGGATACCATTCTGAGGGCGGCATAGTGAGGACATTGGTATGCGCATTCTTATTCCCCTTGCTCACAATCAGATACTGATCAAGAACGCAGTTCGGCTACCTCTTCTATGACATCCTCTTCACCTACGTCCCAAACGTTTTCCAGACCCCCTTCCAAACCTGTCCTCTCGACCTACACACAGACGTCTTCTACCCATCCCGCGCATCCGAAATCAACCACCGGCTCGTGGAAATCACCAACGGCGCCGCCGAGCGCATTATTCGCGACATTCATGAGCGCGAATTTGCCGCCCAACCCTGCGCTATTGGCATCGACTGGTCGTTTGAGCTAGATGACCTGGTAGAGATCGCCCAGTGCTTCCGGGGTGAGGCCCTCGCTGCCATCTGCAAGGTTATGGCGCAGGAATACCAGCAACGCGGTGGAGGCATCCCGGACTTGTTCTTGTGGAATATGGAGAGGCGTGAGGTCATGTTCGCTGAAGTCAAGTCGGAGAATGATCGGCTGAGTGATACGCAGCGCCTGTGGATTCATATTCTCATGGGTGCGGGCGTGCAAGTCGAGCTGTGCAATGCCGTTGCGAAGGAGGTGCGAGTTGTTGAGTGAGGATTCTGTAAATAGCATGCCCGTACATACTGCATTCGCACATATCACGAATCTACACTACGAGTTGTTGCGAGACGATCTATGTACCGCCGGAGCAGAAACGGCACGTAAGGACATTATGAAGATGTTAGGTATCGTAATATTCTTTTTTGACTAACATATCTAAATCCATAAGAAGAGATGCGGAATGGCACATCTCATCCCAGACCCAGACACGGCCACCCAGTCAAAAGCCTTCGACAAAGGGTGCGGGAATGGTTACCCTTCGTAAACATCACAGACCCCCAAAAAACTGCAACTCCACGCAAGCACACATTTCTGACGACACAAAACAAGCACATATAAATGCATTTATGCGACCAGGGTGCTGGCGGTGGCGCTCTCGTAGCGCCAGGTGGGGGGCAGGACACCGACGGTCTTGTAGTAACGCGACAGACGGTGGATGCGGGACTCGATCAGAATCAGGCGGAACTTGCTGTCCTTGTCCTTGCGGTTGCGCTCGAGGTGCTTGCGGACGGCGACAGCCTGAAAGCAACAGGATTAGCCGGAGAGGTAGACAGAAAAGAACCAAGAAAAAAAAACCCACCTTCTTGATCAGGAAGTAAAGGTCCTCGGGGAGTTCGGGAGCGAGGCCTGTATTTCAAATCTCTCTGTCAGTCTAGTTCGGGACCAAGCAGAGGCATAATAGTATTATAAACCGGCGCACAATTGTGCAGTCCGGCAAGGGTATGTCGAGCCATTGCACATTTCTCGAAATGCACAGTCACTGACTGTCCCTTTTTCATCCGAAGGAAACGGGGGGAATGCTGGCGAGTGAGGAGTTCGTACCGCTCGACTTCAAGATACGGAGGATCTTGTTACCTATTTCACACACAATCGTTAGCATCTCCATCACCACTTTTCTTCAAGTTTTTTGAGGAAATCGTACCGGTGACAATCTTGACCTGGGCAACACCGTGGCTGTCACGGAGGACAACACCGATCTGGGAGGGAGTGGCACCCTTCTTGGCCAGCTTGCAGATGTGGTCCACGACCTGGTCGGGGGTGACCTTGAGCCACGCCGGGGGGCGCGGGAGTAGGGGATGGCAGAGGAGGCAATGCCCTTGCCCTTGCTGTGAAGGCGACCCATTTTTGCTGGTGATGTGGTGGTCCGAAAGGATGTCGGGGTGCTGGTCGGATGGTCGGTCGAGAAGATCGAAATGTTGCCGGCAAGAATTTGGCGAGTGGATGTGTGTGGGTCACGTGCGCGACAAGTCAGGTGACACGCTCGCTAATTTTGTTACGGGAAAATTTAATCTCCTCGTTGTTTGGTTTCACCTCAACCTCAAATTATAATGTTGGCTAACCCAAGTACAAGGTCAGTTCCTGCTGTTTACTTCATATATCCCTCTCTCATGATGATACTCCTATTTTACTTTTTCTGGTACCTCTTATGTCAGGGGGCGTGTCTTCGGACGCACCTCCGATGATCTAACTGGACTTCTGATCTTGCCTTCTCTTGCTCTGGAACATTTACGCTCCCATTGTGACAGTCTTACTGACTGCCGCTCAGACGTTAGGCTATGCAAGACCCTGAATGACCGAATATCATGGATTTATGCTGGCTAACAAGGTACACTGGATCAATCAATGGTATCTGAAAAATGCAAAATAATCATGTCACATCAATCGCAATGTAATCAGCCACTGCGTAGTCGTTTCGACACTCTCCTCGTCTCTGTAGTCTGAGAAGCATGGACGACGGCATTAGGCTTCTTTCGTTTCTTGCTGTTCTTCGCCGTGCCTCCCTCTGCGTCCTCGACTTTCACCGGGGCATCCCCTTCTTTCTGTAATTTCAATGCCACGGCCGTTTCTACTTCCGTCTTGATCTCCACCTCTTCCTCGTTCTTGACATCTTTCACTTCGACCTTAACCTTCTTCGTAGCCTCGAGCCGATCCGCAAAGGATCGTAGGTCCGCCGTGAAGAGCACGCTATGAGCCCAGCCAGCCTCTTTGCCCCAGAGGTTGCGGAAGTGGTTGCCAACAGCGTCGTAGGTCGCCTTGGTCAAGGATTTGTTCGATCCCTTACCAAAACGGTAATCTCTCTGCGCAATTTGCCAGACTACCCATTCGATTAGCCTGGACTTTCCAAAGCAATGCTGACATGCTTACCGTGCGTATCCACTGGCACGGACTCTCCCCAGCCCAGACCCATCAGGGACACACAGTCAGCAACCTTCGGCCCGACGCCCTGCAAATCGAGGAGCCTCTCATGGGCATCGCGATATCCCTGGCGTCCCTCTGGTTTCATTTCATCTGCCGGTCTGGGTTCCACGCCAAGTGCAGGCGACTCGGGGTTGCTCAAGCTATCTAGCCAGCCCTCAGGCCGGTCCGCGCTCACCATTGAAGCAGTCTGCCAGATATATTTTGCTCGATATCCAAATCCCAGGGTGCGAAGATTGCCTTCTACCTCTTTGCCAGCCAACGCTTCGGGGACTGGGAAGTCGTGATAGGCATGCTCATCGACTGTTGCAACATATGGGCCATAATTGGTGCATAATTTTGCCACCATCTGCGAAATGCGCGCGATATTGTTGTTGCTGCTGCAGATAAACGAGACGAGCGCCTCCCATGCATTTTGGCGTAGGATTCGGATCCCAGTGAACTGGGCTGCCTTCTTCTTGAAATTGGGGTCTTGGGATGACCATTGGGAGTACAGGTCACTCAGATTGATGGAAAGGTTGAAATAATGCTTGATAATGTGCAAAATATGGTCTTCATCCTCAGTCTTGCGGGAAACAGTAACGCTATCACTGTCTGACTCTGCCCGGGAAGGAATCTGGGATGCAGGTGGAGTTGGAAGATGGGTGCCTCGTGGTGGTGACTTGAAGGTTCGATAGTAGAGGTAGCTTGAGTCCTGCTTCAGTGAGAGAAGATGGCCATAGAGAACGCATCGCCATTCCTCGCTCTCGGGGATGTGATGCCATCTGCCAGGAAGTCAGTGCACATTCAAGGTGGTTCGCTCGGATGCATACCTGAAGGACTGTCCACACCGGAGAGTAGTGTTAATACACAGCTCTCCCAAGCTTATGGGTAGCCGTTTCCACTCTGTGAATGCCATGATGATTGGGAGCGTCAATAATGCCTGTCCGATGGAAAAGGGCATATTCTGCCCCTTTATGCTCAAGGCGGTGATTACTTCACCGCCCAGACCCAAGCTCTGGATCCGCAAGTTTTCCCCTTCCGAGCGACTCTTTGCAGTCCCCATCTCTCTCTGCCGTGACACAGTACTCGACCATTCGGATCTCTGGGTGAGGTTTCTGCCTTTTAAACCGCCATTTTCAGAGAACAGCACTGGAATTTTCAAGGCTGCCATCATGAACGGTGACACCTATTCTTCCAGAGGTACGGACCCCATGCGTGTGGATGCGACTGGAGCTTCTACTAACTCGAGATTAGATACTGGGCGCTCGCGCGATCACTTTGTGAGTTTGGAACTTGTGGCGACTTGTTATTTGTTGCATTCAACTAACCTAACCCCCAGCGCGACGAGCGACGGGAGCGCGACAGAGGCGAAAGAAGACGGTCACGATCCCCTCACCACGGACGGGGGCCGCGTCGGGAGCAGGAACAGAATTCATACTCGTCCAGCCGTGACTACCGTGCCAGAGAACGCGAAGACCGCTACTCCAGTCGCAGGGATGACCGGGAATGGGATCGAGGAGATCGAGGTGATCGTGGTGACCGTGGTGATCGTGGCGGTGGTGATCGTGGAGACCGTCGCCGCCGGGATTTCGATGACAGACCTCCTCGACGGGATTTGTTCGAGGACCGCCCTCGGCGCGGTGACCGCGGCGGCGACCGGTTTGACCGTGGCGACCGGGGCGATCGCGATCGAGGAGGGGACAGACGCGAGCGCAGGAGAAGCGCCACACCCCCACGGAAAAAGGAACCTACCCCCGATCTGACAGATATTCCCTCGATCCTGGAGCGGAAACGTCGCCTGAACCAGTGGGACATCAAGCCCCCGGGCTACGAGAATGTAACTGCGGAGCAAGCGAAACTTTCTGGTATGTGCCTCTCACCCATTGATAAATGTATGTGTCTGACTCTTCTATAGGAATGTTCCCTCTGCCTGGTGCACCCCGACAGCAGCCCATGGATCCCAGCCGTCTACAGGCGTTTATGAACCAGCCGGGTGGCTCGGCGGACAACGCGGCTCTCCGGCCTTCCAACTCGCGCCAATCCAAGCGTCTCTTTGTGTACAACATCCCTTCCAGCGTGACAGGGGACAGTTTGGCATCTTTCTTCAATCTCCAACTGAACGGCCTCAATGTTATCGAAAGTGTCGACCCATGCATCTCGGCTCAGGTGTCCGAGGACCACTCCTTTGCGCTCCTAGAGTTCAAGTCGGCCAATGACGCAACAGTCGCACTGGCCTTTGACGGCGTCACCATGTCGGAGCATGAAGGCGGCGATGGCAAAGGATTCGAAGTACGGCGACCAAAGGACTACATCGTCCCCAATGGAAGTGCCGACCAGGAATACCAGGAGGGCACGCTGCTGACCGAGGTTCCGGACTCGCCGAACAAGATCTGTGTCTCGAACATTCCGGCATATATTCCCGAGGAGCCCGTCACGATGCTGCTCAAGTCCTTTGGCGAGCTAAAATCTTTTGTCTTGGTGAAGGATGCTTCTACGGAAGAGTCGAGAGGAATTGCTTTTTGCGAGTATGTTGATCCGACTGCCACCTCTATCGCCGTGGAGGGATTGAATGGCATGGAATTGGGTGACCGTCACCTCAAGGTCGTGCGCGCCAGTATTGGAACTACCCAGGCCGCCGGGCTGGACATGGGTGTCAATGCCATGTCCATGTTTGCCAAGACCACATCCCAGGACCTCGAGAGCAGCCGAGTGCTACAGCTTCTGAACATGGTTACTGCTGAAGAATTGATGGATCCCGAGGACTACGACGAAATCTGTGACGATGTCCGCGAGGAATGCTCCAAGTATGGCCGTATCTTGAGCCTGAAGATCCCCCGTCCGTCAGGCGGCAGCAAGCAGTCGGCCGGTGTGGGCAAGATCTTCGTCAAATTCGAAACCGTCGAGGGAGCTACCAATGCTTTGAAGGCGCTGGCGGGACGGAAATTCTCTGACCGCACGGTGGTGACCACCTACTATGGGGAGGTAAGTCTTTTCTTTTCCCATTTCTTGTCTTTGACAAATACTGATGTTATCGCAGGAAAACTTTGACGTGGACGCTTGGTAAGAAAGAAAAGAAAACACTGTCCTTCCATACTTTATGTTTTTTCTTGTCTTTCCTCGGGGACCAAGTGCTTGGAGCAAGGAGGGTTCGGGATGTACTACCCATGGATGTACCATAGCAAATATCAACTTGTGCTGTCCAGCTTTCTTTCCTTTTAGAGACTTCCGACAATGCGCATTGTATTAATGACGGAATCAGGCCTCTATCTTACTGGCTCGCAGGCAACGATTTAAGCCACTTACTTCTTCTTTCTCCCCACCTGCATTGGTCATTGACTGTTACGGAACGCTGTTAACAACGAATGTCCATTCTGGAAGGAGTCCGGAACAACCCCGACACTAGCTGTGACTGCGTCGCGAGTCCCACAAAGCTTCCGGTGATTGCCCAATCATTTCGGGGGCATGGTTTTCAACTAGTCAGCTACACCTCCTGTGGTGGTGGTGGGTGGATGACAACTGCAGAATCCAATGAGAAGAGTCTTCATCCTGCCGAACTAAAAAGATAATAGCAAGATGCACCGAAGTGTGTGACATCGCGAACTTTTGAATGACTTGGCCGACACTGCTTCTTCTGGATCTAGCCACTTGAACTCATCCTGCCGTGCTGAAAAAAATCTTCAATGCTTTCCAAATTCGTGAACCAGTCTGAGAAGTCTTCTGACAAGCCACTCGCATTAAGTGCATTAACCCAGCTTTCACCTAAGCAGTCCTGTTGAAAGTCAAATGGATGAGCTTCCAAGAATTCCTGCATGTCACCCGCTGGGTCTAAACTCCGATCAGGTGCATAATTCGGGTGCACGTCTGGGCTAAATGTAGATGGTTCATTCCTCATAGCCGTTGGGTGGAAATCCAAGTCTTTTGAAGGTTCGTGCTGTCTAGATGCCGTAGTCATTTTGATTGGGACTTGTTCCGAATGATGCTTCAATGCATGTTCTCGATTCCACGCAGCGGCTGCTGAAGTTGAGATGACCTGACCAGGACTGGTTTGGGACCGCAGTGAAAAAGCCACTGATGCCAGCCAGGCAGTGTAATGATCAGGACTTAATTCGGCTCGAACCGGATCAAAGACCTCTCCGTCCATTCGCAAAATCTTTTCCCGCAGGTCTCGGAGGCGCGTTGGAAAACTCGAGATCAGGATCTTTACTAGTTTCTTAGAGAAGACACAGATATACATCCAAAGAGTCCACTCACCAAGAATATGTTTTTCGACCGATTAACAGTGAAGCTGAGCTTTGCAAGATGATCTAAGAGCTTCCTCCCTGTTACCAAACTCCCAAAAAGGTATTCCGCTTCGTATTCGGCTTCACATGATTCTGGACAAGCAACGAGATAATACAAAATGGTTAGTATGGCGCTGAAGATTATGCGTGTCACGGGCCAGAGATCCCCGTTGAGAAGACCCCGTCGATACATATCCTCAGACAGCGCGAGAATAACTTCGCTAGCTTGTATTGACGCAGTTGCAGAGGGAGAACCATTTCCTGAAGGAAACCGTCGCCTGTCGCGCCTGATTGCATAATGTAAAAACGGCCGAGAAAGATAAAGTTGAACATAAGCATATGACAGTGCCAAAATGAATTGGGCCCTAGAGAAAATTAGACCGGATCAATGGGACGTGGAGAAGAAAAAGAAATGCACCTGATGAGTTTTGTTTCAGTGAAATATGTGCCTAGCCGGTACCCAATGGGTATGCCTCTTACCCAACGTTCGAGATCATCTTCAATTTCACGTATGAATCCCAAGTTGATAACGTGGGTCGACGTGTTTGCTTTTCTGGTGCTCTTGGTTCTCGTTTCATAGATGAACTTGGACACCTTGTCTCGTATCATGTAGAGGCGGATGTACTCGTTTGCCCCAGAAGCGTAGCATATCTGGTCCCGAGGTTGTGGATCGATTCGGTTCTTTTCAATGAACGTGTCACTTACTTCTATAGGAAGTCCTTGATCAATGTCTTCGTCACTGAGCAGCTTCGGCAACCCACAACAAGCGGCAACATCATTGGCAAGAAATCTCAGCGCCCAGAATAACCGTTTACTCTGTTCTTGGGAGACAAAGTCTTGGTTCGCTTTGAGAGTCCGATGAAGTCCCATTCGTAGGGCAATAGACAGACAGGAACTCAGATATGTGTAGCAAGTCGAGATTCGCGTCGATGAAAGAAGAAAAAGATTCATGAAGACGATGGCTTGGAGAGAAGTAATGTCTTTGCTGTCTGCGATATTTTGAAGTTGCCTGCTTTTGGCATAGAATTTCGCACTGTCTGAAAGTGAGTAAAGCGGAGTAAACAAGTGAAACTGAGCATGGAAGTACCCTGAAGAAACAACTTTCTCGTGCCCAGCTTCTTCCGGTCGAGCATCAACGAACAGACAGCCGTATGCGAGAACAGCGTAAAGGAGGGATAAGAATCTCTTTTCTTCGGCACCATGGTCCTGCAAATCAACCGAGTAGATGAAGTTGAGAGAAGCTTCAAACGTCGGCCGATGTATGATATTAAGTAATATTTGAGCATCGAAGGCTGCCTGCACGAGCTTGTCTGCAAAGCACCTTTCGGGCAAAGGATCCACTTCGTCGGTTTGTCTACCAAGCTCGAAGAGCCCTGGCACGGATACTCCAAGAGGAAGCCTTCGGCTAGTCATATCACCGGTCTGCGAGTCCCATATCTCCTTCTTGAGAAGCTCCATAAAGGCCCGTTCCCCAGACTGTCCCTGGAACTCAACTTCCTCATGATCCACGGTGTGATACACTGGACTAGATTTTTCAATCTCTGAGGGCACGGTCTGGCCACTCGACCTAACCTGTAGTGGCGAATCTGGAGCACGGATCTCATTGTAGTAAGTCCCGTCACTGGCCGCTGGCTGGCTGGCTGCATTGGCCGGTGTAATTGATGATTCCATCGCTTCAAGCCTGGACTCAAGCCAGTCTATTCGCTCTTGATAATCCTTTCGCTTCCGTTTCCTGCGAGGCTCGGAGTACGAGCAGTCTTTTCGAGAGATGAGCTCTCTATTCAAGATCATGTATTTCAGGATGGGTTTTGCGCCATACCATGGAACGATGATATGCATTGGCTGCATGGAATCTGTTTATCACATTTGATTTTCCGCTGCCGACAGGGATTGCAAGATATTTTTCGAGCATTGTGGAAAGTCTGTTGCTGAAATTCGGGGGTAGATGTTGAAGCACCAGCCACTGTTGACTCGCACTTGGTTGAAGGATGTCTTGGGGGATGATCGGGGGTGGGCGGATGGGCAGTGCCCTGAAAAACATGTCTTGAGGGTACACCACTTGCCATAGAGATAGCGTTGGTGGTAATTTGCCTCTACGTATCTCTGGATTATGAAAGGTGACTTGTCGCCCGAGTAGTGGGAACCTTGGAACCTTTATAATGTCAACGCGTATGTGCCTTCCAACTATGAAGAATCCTGACTAAGCACGGTTGTCGAACCTAAGTCCGCTCCGTATTTTGTACAGTGGCTACTCGGGAACTATTACTGAATATATATGCCTATCTAGTCATCGAATCTTCGAATAAATGGAGCCATTGCGTTCAATATTTCAGTGTGATTCAAGCACGAACTTTTTTCTAAGTGAGCCCCCAAATCGCTTGAAAATAGCTGGCATAGGGATCATCGCCAAGGTTATGAAACCTAGCAACGAATTTCCCCAGCCATAACCAAGGCGTTGGTACATGGATGGCCCGGCGAGCGGTAGAAGAGCACCGAACAAAGAGCGGCAGATGGTTATTGCAGCGATTCCAGACGCAGCATGAAGAGGATACGAATCGATAACGTATGTCTGCAGAGTCCCAAAAATCCCAACAAAGCCGAACGCAAATGGAACCAGGCCAATTATGGGAACAATCCAATGAGTTTTGGCTTCCACCGCCCAGCCATACCAGAAAAATGATATGGGAACGAAGAATGCGAACACTATTGACAGAGGTAGACGCATCTCTGGTTCAAATACTCCCGCATTTCGAGATTTGAGGCGCAGAATTATCTTGTCACTGAGGAGACCGAAAACCGATTGTCCGGTTATAAATCCTAAGCCCAATCCAATATAGGATAGGCCGCTGATCTGAAGGCTCCAGCCATAGGTATCTTGAAAGACATCTGTGACCGTCGTGAAAAGGAGGTATAAGCAACCATAGATAAAGGCAATATATAGCGCCAGCATAGACACTATCGGAGAACGAAAGAGGAGTCGAAGTGGAGTTGTCAAACTATGCAGAAGCTGATATGTGTTTGACATGGAACGGAAGTTGCTTTTTGCCGTATAGTAGCTACGCAGATCTGGGCGATTGTATTCCTTTTGCAATCGCACAGTCTTGCGGCTAATAAGTACCACCGGATTTGTTTCCCGGTTAAATATCATAACCAAAGACGTCATGGTGCCACCTGAAATTGTGAGCACCCAGAAAACCTAAATAAATTAGCGCTCTGGGAGAAATGTAGAAGACTGCAACGATACTGACCCATCTCCATCCTGCACCTTGGGCAATAAATCCACCACAAATAGGCCCGAGCACGGGGCCCATCAAAGGTCCAAAAGAGAAGATAGACATTGCCAGCCCCCGTTCCTCCGCGATGAATAGATCAGATATCACTCCGCCGCCGATTGTCAAGCACGCGGAACCACCGATGCCGGTAAGAAGCCTAAAGACGATCAATGAGGAAAGGCTCGGCGCAAGCGCACAACCGATCTGAAACAGGACGAAGAAACAAGTTGACATGTTCAGGGTGAGTCTCCGTCCGTACAATTCGCTCAACGGCGAAAGAAACAATGGGCCAGCCTGGATATTCGATTAGAAATGTTATGAAGATCAGCAGAGTCACGGAAGCTTCCTCTTACACTATATCCAAACAAATAACTCGTGACTGCAATTTCCCCCAATATAGATGATTTGTTACCAAATTCTCGATTGGCATCTTTGACAGCAGGCGCAAAGACCGAGGATGCAAATGGACTAAGGGAGGAGAAGGGTCAAAAATTTCACTCCAAACATTCAAAGCCAGAATCACTTACCTTATTAAGGTAATAGCACTAACAAGTGCAAGAAGAAACCACTTCCGCGGCTTCGGGAAATTTCTATTAGAAGGATGAGAATGACACAGGCAAACAGGTTGATGTTCAGAGAGACTGACCGTGGATTTAAAGGGTCATCCTGGTCCTCCCAACCAACGATTCCTTCGTCCAGGTCCGTTATAGGATACAAGTCTTGTGCTGGCTCAACCTGAGACTATCATTAGCATTGAATCAATGTGTGAATACCGAACTCACATTTGCTTCTTCCTTTGTGTCACTAGTGGGTGACATTTTTTGGCGGGAATATTTAGTTAAGGGAACTGGAGGGAGAGAAGGAGGAAAAGAATGCAAATAGTGGTCAAGAATCCCGGGAATTATAAAGTGCCATGGTGCAGTAGTAGTAGAATGGTTCAACTGTATGTCATGGCGTGGCCCTTATACCATTTCTAATCATTTAATTGGTTCGGGACCAGTAAACTCCGCATTTTGGGTTAGCGCCAGATTTCGGTGCCAACGAGGCCGCTTTTTGGGTTAGCCTGGCAGATCCGTTGACCCACTTGTCGCATCAATACCTACCGTCGGCATGTTGGATAAAAGAATATACAGTTCGTCCCGAAACTGGTGCGACTACCTACACTCTTCGATTGATCCTCTACCATAATGCCAAGACATACTAATCTACATTAGGAATGGAGTCAATATTCCTGTATCTGTACCAATACACCCTCTGCCACTTCCCATGTCCAAGTAACAATTTGGAGGGTTTGTACTTGGTACTAGAAATTGTAAATAGTGACATCCATTACCTTGCATACCTGCAGACTACTCGCGAATCTGCTTATCATACTCCCCAGCCTGTCAGCCACATAGATTACCCTCATTTATTTTAGGAATTGCAGCGAAATATTGATAATTCATGCTAGTCAAGGGCTGTTGGAGGAGAATCTCTGAATCCTGCGAATCCTATTTGTATTCCACGGCTAACACGATCATAACTCGTCTGAGATAGATCCCCATAGTCCTTTTGTCCGGTTCTTAGGAAGACGCAGCGTTTTTAAGATCTCTTGTGCGGCAGCATTCTGGCCGGGAGAAGTTTGGAGCATAGAACTAACCTCCTTAGCTTGCTGCGAGATGCGAACCCCTTCGTGATCTTGATTCAGTACGCTCAGAATTGCAGGTATCAGCTCCCCCTGGGCTATAAACGGAGCGTGGGCTCTGTTTGCCCATCTGCCAACGCCTAGCCACTCAGCCTGAACTGCGTAGTCGTAATCGCTTTGCCATTTAGGTAAAAGTAACTGGGGCACACCTGATCTATTACAAAGGTTATTGTTAGTAAACTGGCTTATAGGAAAATATTCCTCCTCGTACTCACGTTAGAGCATCATGGAAGAGGCCCGTCTCGCCGCGGTGCACAATACAAGAGACGGCCTCACTAGTCAATAATGACGCGATGCCTGCCGGATGCAGTTGCGACTTCCGCGTCCGATGATGCGATATAAGAGATATTGCGTCAATCACTGAATGGACATAATCTGTTCTAGAGTCTTCCGTTTGGTTATTGATATTCCAGAGAACATGGAGATGCTTGTATTCCAATAATATGAAAACGAGAGTCTGCGCGATCTCACGTGCATCGGCTTCTGTGAGACTTTGCAGGTCGATTAGGAGTATAGGATGTCGGAAATCGTGTCGCGGGCATTCTAAGTAGTCTTTCCAGAGTTGGTCTTGACTGGTCAGTGGCGGCGCTAGCTGTACAATTGGGCCACATGCTATGACGTTCGGGGGAACAGATATAGGATACTCGATCTCGAGCGAAGAAGTGATAAGCACTGTGACCTCGCCTCTGTACCAATCGACAAGATTGACGGGGTTGGCCACGCCATGACGTTGTCGGCATGATTTCAATCTGTGTAAATGCGATGAGAACACCGTTGTAAACGCCCTTTGCAGCCACAGGTACGCATTATACGGAACAATGTACCATGGCAAAGGGGACGAGAGTCCAGAGCCAATGCTTTAGCTGCGTTAGCGCTAGACTTTAAGTGCATGAGTATGTGGTACCCACGCGGGAAACTCCCGAATCATTTTGCCCGCTGGCTGCTGTGTTATAAGCACGTCGCGTAAATTCCTCGTAGATAGAACCATGTATTGATAGCCCAGCTGCAGCACTGCGTCATTTGCTTGTCTCAACATTGGGTCGATCACAACCAATGTTGGATCGACCGCCTTGATCACGTCGAGTATACTGCGATACATTTCTAGGTACTCGGTGCCATTCCACGGTACCTGCGAGGTCGGGAAATCTTTTCGCGAAGCTGGAGCGCCGCGGTATCCAGGGGAGTGTGAAAAAGGTGATAATCGATACTCTTCCAATTCAAGCCGCTTCGCATAAGGGGTTCCCTTAATAGGATGGAAACTGACTCGGGACGGGCCCGGAGGTAAATTCGATACCTCATCTTTCAGCTCTGTGAAAGACGCGAGATGGATATCTACGAAGGGATGTTGAGTAAGGGATTGGCATGTCGCTAAAAAGGCCTTGGACTGCTCGTGATCAGAATTGGTAAGGAAGAGCACTTTCTGGCCGGCGATTGGATAGTAAACGTCCGAACCCGACGAGGAAGGAGGTTCTATACAAAAAGCAAGTTTGATAAAGTTGAGAAGAAGAAAAGATATAACGAGACAGGACTTCATATCGTGCACAGTCGATCGAGACAAGTCTGGTGATTCTAAGGAATGCCGTGGCTGTCAATTATTGAGAGGCCTGTGAGGCTTAGACTTTGTCAGCACATATGTGTGTGTAACTTACTGGAGGGGGGGACTTGCGATTAGCGTAGTTAACCAGAACTAACGGGAATTAATAGGGACACTCGAAATTGATTGTTGAGATAACCCCTTCCCTCGGGATGCTGTTTTGGAGGTGGGGTATGGTGGTCTTGGATTTACAAGCGAACACAAACTGGAAAGTACGATGTAATCTACGTAAGAAGAAGTACTCGTCCAACTGACAGGGGCACTTCGGAAAAATTCCCGATATAGACCAGTGCGTCTTGGCATTGGGGCTGGCGAATAAATCGAAGAGTGTAGGTGGTTGCACCAGTTTCGGGACGTACTGTACGTAGCATTAAACTGCTTTTGATTTGCAGTGTAGCCAACATCAATCTGCCCATGCTTCAAAATTCTAGAAGGCAACCTACTGGTCAGGCACCTTGCGGAAGTTGGGATGTCCCACTCGGGACATACCCTGGCACCAGAGCAATAGCCAACAGCTCTCGCTTTCTGAACCCCTAGTTCTTCACGAATTCACTTGATAGTTGGCTCCACAACAGGATCAACGTCCGCTGCTTAGTGTCTGGGTAACCAGGCTTGGTCAATCTTCCCGGAGTCCATGTCGCTCGGGTTGATTTGGGCGCCTTGGGACAAGATCAAGAACGACGACCCAGTAGCATTGTTTTCCATCTGAAATCAAGCGTCTGCCTCATCTACAGTCCTACAAGAATATATGTACGGCAATTTCATTGAGGATCTATTAGTGTAGAGATACATCAGGTCGAAAGCCTGCGGTCTAGTCTTGTCAACCAGAAAGAGTTGCATGCGTTGTCTTGCGGATTCTGGGTAGATTAGTTGGAAGCAAAAAATAACCCGATGCGTAGCACAGACAAGGTGGTAGTCACAGAAACCCATCGACAGTTGCCGAGCAGATTCATGCAAGAAATCTGCACCGTCAAATACGGGCTGGCATAAAGAGACATACTAAAGAGGGTGAAGAGATTCTCGATGCGTCCTGATGCCGAGTGTTGAATCGCCTCCAGGTCAAGGTGAACCGTGCAAGGGGTGTCATCCGCAACTGGCCAAACGAGAATAAAGTCAGCTCTTGTTCCCCGTGAAACAGCTCACCTGGTAATAGCCCGCTGGGCAGAACAAGCCTGGATTTACTGCCGATTGTTTCCAAGGCCTGAAGAGAAAGTCGCAAGTGGCGATACTACAAGCGCAAAAAGGCGACCAAGACTGTGTAGGCGGCATGAGACACTTTTGTTCCGGAAACCAACCGCGCAATAACAGATTTGGAGGGGAGGGGCGTTTATGATGGATGGCCTCTGTCGAATACAATCGAGCCGTTACTGGAGGATGGAGTGGTGTTGCACAAGAAGCGAAATAAGGCGAAACTAGCGAGACTGACACGACCAGAGACCGGAAAGAGTTGAGACAACCGAATTACAGCGTTTAGTGTGTGTGATGTGAAGAGATTCTGTTCCTTTCCCTTGCCGCTAGAAGAGTTTCCCGAGGAGCTTTTCGCCAGACAGAAAGCAGCCACAATCATGCGACGACCGAAGATTGACGACACAAGATGTTCCGAGGACAGTTGCAGAGTCAGGTCGCAGCACTGGTTGATGGCTCACCGATTCAAATCGACGAGACGAGACGCACTTTTTTTTGGAAACATAGGAAATAGGAAAAAAGACAAATGGCAACGACGCCCCCACCGTGGCCCCGTTGTTTTTCAAGACCCGCGATTAAACCATTCCGAAGAATACAGAGGGGAGGAATCAAAATGACAGCAAAGGGGAATTTGGGGAAGGGGAGCTGTAATCAGACGAAATAGCAATCATAAGATCAAACTACTCATTTCTGTCAGCAACCTACCTGCTGCCGTAGCGGTCATCGGGACGGCCCTCGTAAGAGCGGCCACCATTACCGCCGGCACCGCCACTATAGGCCTCGCGAGGCTCGCGGGGAGGTGCAGCATCGTAGCTGGCAGCGTTGGCATCGCGGTCGTAGTAGCCACGGTCACGACCACCGCCCTCACCACCACCACGGCGGTCATCGCGGCTGTAACGGTCCTCGCGACCACCATAGCGATCTCCACCACCGCCACCGCCACGGTAGCCACCATAGTCGTCACGATAATCTCCACCACCGCGGTAGTCACGACGTCCAGAGTCACGGCCACCGTAGTCGCCGCCGCCGCGGCGGTCATACGAGTCGTAACGGCCGTAGCGGTCATCGTCGCGACGACGCCAGCCACCACCTCCGTAGCCACCACGGCGGTCACCGTAGCGGTCATCACGGCGGGGAGGACCTCCGGGTCCACGGTCTGGGATGAATTCATGAGTATTTTTGATGGAACATCAAAGAAGGGGGAGATGGGAAAACTTACCGCGCTTGGGGGGTCCGAAGTACTTGCCAGGAGTCGGGGTACGAGGACGGCTGCGACGGGCCTTCTCGATGCTGAGAGTGCGGCCCTCGATGACCTCGCCCTGGAGGCCTTCCTTGGCGGCATCGGCCTGGTCGGCAGCGGCCATGTTGACGAAGCCAAAGCCACGGGACTCCTTGGTGTGGGGGTCGAGCATGATCGAGCAGTTGTCCACATCACCGTATTTCTCGAACAGGCGTGAGACGTCGGACTCGGTCAGACGAGGGTGAATGCCAGTCACGAAAAGGTTGGAGCCGGTGTTGATGGCACCCTCCTCATCGTCATCCAGAGGCTTACGAATCGCCGAGGGTCTGGGCCTTTGTTCATCAGATTTAGGGACTCGATCCCTGATGTATGGGGAAAGGGAGGAGAAAGCATACCGGTCGTCGGAGCGGCCATTTGGGGAGCGGCTGCGGGCACGGTCGCCTCGGGGCTCATCACGGGGAGAAGCGCTGCGGTCGCGCTCATCGCGCTCGTACCGGGGCTCGTCTATCGGCGGGCATCCCAAAGTCAGCAGCTGCATCATCCGGTAGTCGGTTGATGGTACTCACCGGCGTAGCGGCCGTTGTCGTTGTCGTAATCAGCCATAGTGGGAAGGGGGAAGCTGAAGGGCGATGGGAGGAGAAGGAGGAGAGGAGAGAGGAGAATCGATAAGATGCCGGAAAGGAATAATCTGCTGAGTCAGCAGGCTCGCGGGGACGTGGCCAGTTAGTTAAGGCAAAACAATCCATTCATTATAGGTTCATACAAAATAACTAACCCAGCCTAGACGCCACCTCCATCCTTACACCGAATACTGAATCCAAATTAACATGTCCATAGAAATAGCCGCCTGCTTCAACGTCGCCGCCGTCGGTTCCGATGCGACCTCGACGATGACTTCGCTTTGGCGACAAGTGTCTCTGGAGCAGCCGCGTCCATATCCACATCGTCATCCACCAAATCTTTGAGCTCGTCCTCGTCCAGCTCGCTCAGCTCCTCGCTCATGCCACGCATCACGTCTCGGCCCGTCCAGCGCTCCTCGTAGATCGTTGTACCGACTGGGTCAAATGGTTCCATGTACCATTGGATACCACCCTGCGCCAAGGGCAGCTGCTGGTCTTCGTCGTTCAGCGGTGGTGTCGGAAGTCTCTTAGGAGCGATGTAGGGTCGGACAGTGGGGTTCTTCTCGGGCTCTTCATCCGCAGTAGGAGGCTCTTCAGTGCCGGATGGCCCAGAGGGAGGCAACTCATCACCAACAGGCTGTACCTCCTCCTGCTCCTCGATTGCCGGCTCCGTCGTCTCTGCGGTGGGCTGTTCCTCAGCTGGTGCAACCCCTTTCGCCCCAGCCGCCTCTTGAGAGTCAGCGTTGGTGTCCGGCACTTGGTCCAGTTCCATTTCCTCAGCTGTGACGTCTGCGATTCGCTCAGTGTCACCTTCAGCGGGTTCAACGGAATCGCCTCGGCGAGACATCACACTGTGGTCAAAGATTACGTCCAGCTCCTTCAGCTCCTGCTCGAACGGTTTGCGGTTCAATTCGCTTTCCTTCCTGATCGCATCTTCCAAGGCAGGCTGTATAGCTTTGATGATCCGTTTTGCCAACTTCCGCTTTTCACGTTGCTCCAAGCTGAGTTCCGGAGCACGGCCACTGATCTGCGCCTGGAGTTCGGCGGTGTCGCCAGCGGGCTGAACGCCAATCTCAGATGTGAAAAGGTTCGCCAAGTCGGCGGAGAAGGTCGCGACAGATGGGTAAAACCGTTCTTGAAGCCGCTGGCGAATGGACTGCAGGCCGTACGCAAAGACACCTTTGCCATCGAGCCTGTCAATTCGGGTCAGTGTCAGATGCTTCAAAACAGAATAGAACAAGACTTACCCTTGGGCTTTCTCGAGAATCGGCCAGAGCAATGGGAACATAGGGAAATAAACAATATCGACAATGCTTCGAAGCATCTCGGCATCCTTCAACTTCTCCCTCTCGCGTTTCTTCACCTCATCACACAGCATCCGGAGTCGGTCAAGATCCTTGTACAGTCTCTCGCCGAACTCGATGCGACGGTTCAGGCGCTTGTATCCAGTGACGCCCATGGCGACGTAATCCCTTCGGGTCATCTCCATCGACGAAAAGGTCTCGAGCTGGAGCTGCAGTCTCTTGAGGAGGGCCGCTCCCCGCCGGGCTTCCCGCTTGAGAGTCCAATACTTGCACGCCTCCTCGGCGTACTGTTTCCGTTGACGCACCGTAAACCGCGCAAGGGTCGCCTGCACAGCGTTGAGAACGACCTGAGGAACCACAGGCGCACCAGATGGCAGCTTCCAGACCGTTCGTGGTGGCCCTTGAACACGCTTGCGCTTATTACCACTCACAGTCAAAGTGATGCGCGGAGTAAGAGCCTGTTGGTTTTCATCGTAGTGACCGCCAGCCGGGTGTGTTTCTAAGGAGAGGGCCTGAGCCTGGCTGTCGCCCCATCGTCTACCTTGCATAGTGTTGCGATAGTACTCAATCGCGTCAGCGGTCGCAATATCGGTACCATGCTCCAGTCGCCAATCTGGCGGGACATGCTTGTCACAGTAAGCTTTCAGAAGATGAGAATCCATGAGTCCATGGCCAATCTTCATCTTCAGGTAGAGTTGAGCCCGCCGTGCGCATGAAACATGGAACGCAACAAAACAATTCTTGTTGCTGCACTGAATCGAGGCACCCATCTTTTGCTTGCAAATGTAGCAAAGTAACTTCCAGCGGCTACGCGGCACCTTTTCAACGTCCGTCACAGGCTCCATGAGCGACGGATTTCCGATAGACACCTCAGGAATCCAAATAGCACAGAGAAGATGGGACCACTTCGATGATGTTGTCTGCTTGAAAGCGCCCTCGGTATTAGGACAGAAGATGCAGTTGGTGGTGCCTCGGCCAAGTAATTGGCATTTGCGACAGAGCCACTGGCCCTCCGGGATGAAGGGAACGCCATAACATTCCTGGTGCACGGCTAGGTCGCAGCCATCGCAGAACACAATGGCATTAGCATTCTCACAGTCACCATCGTCACAAATGGCGCATCTGCTGTCCTGTTCCTCTCCCGGTCCAACGGTCTCTCCGTTCACGGCCGCTGCGGAGCTGGAGCGCGGCCGATGCGTCTGTGGTGGCTTCGGATTAGGTTTAGGAATGCGCTTCTCAAGAGCGTGCCACTCCTTCTCGATTTTGGTCATGGTGATTTCGAAGATCGCCGGCTTGATGGGCTCCAGTTGATCCTCTCTTCGCTTGAGGTTGTAGTCTTCTAACCACTTCTCATCCTGCTCATCCATGTCATACTCCACTCGACCGACGGTGGTGTTGACATCGCCATCTGTCGTCGCAGGTTGAATAATATCCATGTCATCTTCTTGCGCTCCTTCGGTCATTCGGATGAAACGTCGGTCGTGACGAACAAACAAATCGCTTTCCTGATAGCCCACACTAGCCATCGTTCGATCAACATAGTTCTGTGTGCCGACACCCTTCCTTTCATAAAATGTAAAGGGGTCCTTGAGTCGAAACGAAGGCTTGGGTAGCGTCAACCTCTCTCGAGGATTCGGGCCCGGTGGCGGTATCACTTTTGGGCCTTGCTGAGCTATAAGCTGACTCAAGATGGCTTCGGGACGGCGTGGAGGGCGCCCTGGTCTACGCTTAAAGGGCATTGGAGATGCCATATCAGCAGACAGGCCCAGCGGCGTCCCTGAACCATCTTGGCTGGTGCTGGTGGTGGTAGCCAAAGACTCTAGACTCAAGGGCCCCGAGGGGTCAGGAGTATCGACATCCGCTGATGTGAAGACAGCCAGCTTGCCATCAATATCCAAGTCTGGATGGAATTCCTCCCAGCCACGTTCCTCGCGAGGCTTGTACCCATCTCCCTGTTGCAGCGCAAGGGCAGCAGCCGTGGACGAAGAGTAGCGAGCACGACTTGGGTTCTTTTCTCGTCTGGGACGCGTCACAGAGGGCGGCGTTGTCGGCACCGGCACAGGGGGAGGTGGAGGAAGCAGTGTCGGAGGAGGGGCTCGGACGGGATGAGGCTCGACCTCGCGCGGAGCAGGACGACTACGAGCGCTGGAGGAGTGCCGTCTGGGCGTGTTGTTCTTTTTCGGGGTGTCTTGGGGCTTGCTGACATCGATGAAGCGACCTCCTCCCCCGGGTCCGCCGGGGACATACCTGCGCTTCTTCGAAGGAGGCGCGCCGTCAGGGGAGTCGACCGCCGAGCGCGAGACTTTCGAGTGGGGTCTAGGCTTGCTTCCGGACAGTCTGCCCGGGAGGCTGCGTCGGGAGCTCGGCGCCATCGTGCATCGCAAGACTTGGGACCAGGCGGATGAGCTTCGGAGTTCTGGATTGCAGATCACCGCCTAGTCTGCGGAGAGGCCACGCAGGCGCGTCAGGGAGGGCTGAAACGCCACAAGCTGTCGAGGATGAAAAGGGTGTCCGGGGCGACCAAGCCAAGAAGGATAACAAAGACACCAAAGAGAGACCTTGAAAGGGAAACGGCGTGTGGGCGCAGCAGGACGAGAATGGATGGATGGGAAAGGCAAGAACGAGTGGTTTGTTATCTGACGGAGAGAAGCTCGGACCAGTTCATGCCTGAGGTGTCATTCCCCATACAAGTCCATAGGGCCATAGCTCCCTCTCTCCATCTCTCTCTCCGCTTCCCTCGAACTTGACCCTCGCTGCCTTCCCTGACCCCGCGAAAGCTTCTTACAGACCTCATTCTTACCACCAAATATCAGCATGAGCGGCTCCGGTGACGACAGGTACGTCTTCACCGGTCTCGTCACTGGCGCCGTACCCTAGACGAGCGCTCTCCAACTCCGACTCCGCTAACCTTCCCGCAGATGGCGTGGAGGACCTAGTCGCCAGTCGTCACAACGCCAGAACCGCGGCGGACAAGGTGGCCAGCGCGGTGGCAATGCCGCTTGGAGTGGCTCGGGTCCGGCGCAGGAACAGCATGTTCCCGTCCGTGGCTTCAATGCTGCCGAGACCAAGAGTGCTCTGAAGAGAGGTGAGGGAAGCTTTACAAGGAAGAACTAGTGGGGCTAGAGGGCTGACGATACTCTCTTTTGCCATTGATTACAGGTCCCGGAGGTTAGTTGGTCTCCTTCTCTCTGCAGCTTCCTAGGTCTAATCAAGGCCCACTCAGACCCAAAAGCAGCGTTTTACAAACCCAACGGGAAAGACTCGAACAACCAAGGATCTGGTGGACCTTGGGGCTCGAAAGGTACCCCCTCTACATTTTTCATGCTGGTTAGATGTTAATTGTTCATTCCTGCAGCAAACACAATGGCCAACGGCAAGGACTTCTTCGTCGAGCTCCGGAAACAGGTCGCAATCTTGCAGCGAGGCGGCACGCCGGCAGGCGGCTGATCATGATCGTAATATGATTGATGAAACGACATGATAGTTGTTATTACACAGTGTGCCGGAAGGGGTTTTGGATTGGATTGTATTGGATTGTCTTTTGAGAGCGGGAAAAAAAGAGGATTAGTTAAAACGGCACATTCATGGATACCCTTCGGAGGAGCTTCGACGGGAGGAACGGGCTCCTCAGTTGATACTCATATCGTTACATTGCACCGGCGTCTCTGTTGAGCTGTCTGCTCCTGGGAATTTGAGTGGGCCATCTTGAAAGTGTACAGTCACTCGTTGACAGGAGCATGGACTTTTTTGTTCTGGCTGTGCCATACACAAATCAATTTTGAAAATCAAACAATAATGGGGTATCTCTAGTAGTAGTATACAGGTCTATATCCGTCACACCGTTCCAGCTCGAATCCACCCACTTGGCCCTAGGATCCCACCATCGTCAGCCTGCGGATCGAGCGACCATTTCCGCAAAGCCCGACAACTGAGATCAGAGCTCCAGCCAGCTTCGAACATCTCAATGCCCGCCCACCCAATCATGGCCGCGTTGTCGGTGCACAGTGACGGTGGCGGAGCGACGATAGCAACATCTTCAAAGCCACGCGCATTCAAAAACGAACGGAGCACATGCATGAGGAATTTGTTTGCAGCGACACCGCCACTGACAACGAGAGACTTGACGTTTTCATCTTCGCCCTGGACCCTTGGCCGTAGGGCTTCGAGGGCGATAATCGTTCGTGACGCAAGGTGCTCAAAACAAACCCGCATTGCTTCCCGTCCCAGAGCAACACGCTCGTCATGCGACATGGTCTCACCTGTCTTGTTTCTCATAATTTTTCCAACCATGCTCGAGATAGATGAGAAGCTGAGCTGCAGTGTGCGCGTATTGGCAAATGGCGTCGTGACACTCCATCCCCAGGGACTCTGGTGCTTAACCACTTCCTCACCCCGATTCTTCGGTGGGCGGTAATCAAGAAAGTCGGCTTTGCCATTGGGAAAGACGAACTGTTCCAATATTTTGCCATACATGGTGTTGTTAGCTTCCTGGAGTAGGGCAGGTGGGAGAATCTCCCGTGCCGCTTTGTCGAGAGTTTCACCCATGGCGACGTCGTCGCTCGACGCCAAAATCGTGTGGTCTGTGAGGGATTTGGAATGGACCAGGATTGAATGCCCTCCCGATACAAGGATAGACAGGAACGGGAATTGAGGCGAGACAGTTCCTGTCTTTTCTAAGCTCGCGCTGGTTGTTCCCGCCAAACAAGAAACCAATCGAGGCGTCAGCAAATGCGCTTGCATATGATGCACCCCGACCATAGGAATTTGCCAGGCGACCGAGAGCGCTTTGCCCGTATCCAGTCCGACGGAGAGATTGGACCGCATTCCGGGCCCTCTGGTGGCTGATATGAAATCCGGCCGGCGGCGGAGTTTGTCGCCAACGGATATGGTTTGTTCTCCTGCATTTCCCGAAATGACAGGTAGATGTCTCATCGCTTTCTCGACTAGTTTTGCCATGCTCTCCTGGTGAGACTCGAGCGCGAGGATCGGGTGAATGCCCCGATGGGCTCGTGAATCCGCAGTCACGTTTTCTAGGAAATGGATCTTGGCCGTGTGTCCCGTGGCGCGCGCGCACTTTTCGATAATTGCGACTGAGGTATCGTCACTGTTAGAGAGATCCTGGTCAGCGCGGTCACATTTAGTTGGAGGTTTGATCTTACCACGACGTTTCAATAGCGAGTGTGAGCAGCCCATGGCGGCGTTGTGGGCTCAGAAGGACTCTTGACGCGCCCCTTGCCGACCTGCGAATCGCAGCAGGTGCTCTCGCGGCAAACATGGGTTGGGAAGTTGTCGATTCTTCAATGGAAGCAGTCGAGCCTAGGCGGCGAAAAGAAAGGTGCACGGGCCATATAACCCTCTCAGGTAGCCCTAATTGGCAAGTAAGTTCATAGCAGGTGCTCAATAATTCTTCCATCTACGACCGCTTGGTCTAATTCTCTGAATATATCCAGTAGTAATAACAATACTTCCAGTAGAGATATAGATCGAATCAAAACAACCAAGTTTCTCGCTGGATTTGCCGAAATATACAGTGCACGTGATGGCCACTAAGCCCGATCTGGTCTTGTTATGCCCCTGTTCAGCTTGGAATACTACATTCTCTTGCCTTCGACATCGTCATTACTTGAAAGATGTTATCATTGGGCATTTCTCGGGCCGGTTTAGGCCGAGCGGCCTCGTCAGTCGGCCGAACATACTCGACGAACTCGGCAAAGGGTCCATCTTCGAATCGGGGGAGAAACGTCGCACTCGCCAGCGTGATCAGCACTATGCCAGGCCTGTGGTGGTTCACAGCTACCGACGACAACATTCCACTTCTGAAGACTGCACCAGTGGATCATTGGGACGTGGAGCCAGGTCCCTCCAAAGACCAAGTGAGGCACATGATATCCAAGGGGGCATATTCTTTCCCTGCCAAAAGCGTTGCTGGGGTCAACAGGTACGACGGCACTCAATTGGGCTCCAATAGCCCGTGTGAAGATCGATTTACGCATGGCAAACTTCCTTCGCCGTGGAACGACGGCAGTCAATGGATGGCCTGGGCCATTTTCGATGGGCATGCAGGCTGGCAGACAGCAGACTTGCTGGAAAAGCAGCTCCTTCCTTTTGTGCGACACAGCTTGAACCAAGTAAAGCCATCTTTGAATGATGAATCTGTTTCGTCCGATGTGGTTCAGCGTGCGATCATAAAAGGGTTCTTGAACCTCGACGACTCGATTATCAAGACAGCGTTGCATACAGCTCAGAGCACAGAACCACTTCAAGAAAAAGTGAAGAAGCTAATGCCTGCTTTCGCGGGTTCCTGTGCTTTACTTTCCCTGTACGATCCGACCACTCGCTCGTTGCATGTAGCGTGCACTGGCGATTCACGAGCAGTGCTGGGGCAACAGCTACCCAACGGGACATGGGAAGCAATACCGTTGTCTGTGGATCAGACTGGCAGCAACCGAGAAGAAATTGCCCGGCTGTACCAGGAACATCCGGGCGAAAAAGAGATCGTCAAGCAGGGCCGCGTGCTAGGGCTGATGGTCTCGCGAGCCTTTGGCGATAGTCGGTGGAAGTGGCCATTGGACTTCCAGCAGGAGATGAAAGAAAGATTCTTCGGTCCATCACCGCTGACTCCGAGATATGACGTACGAACACCGCCATATCTGACCGCTGAGCCGGTCGTGACCACTACCAAGATTGACCCCGGACGGCCTTCGTTCTTGATCATGGCGTCGGATGGGCTGTGGGACTTGCTCTCTAACCAGCAGGCTGTTGATCTAGTAGGGAAATGGGTTGGGTCGAGGAAGAGCGTACCGGAGCCAAAGTATGAGGCATTTGATTTTGGTCAGGGAGTAAGTCAGAGGTTTGTGGAGGGGAGAACGACTGTTCAAGATGGTAATAGTGCAGTGCATCTGGTGCGCAATTCTCTCGGTGGGAACCACCACGAAATGGTTGCGGGTAGGCTTGCCTTTAGCCCTCCGTTCTCTCGGCATCCACGGGATGATATCACGGTGCAGGTAGTGTTTTTCAACACATCGGTTTAAAAGATGAATAGTGTACTGGACTCGATATGATTTAGATGAGACTAGGGCTACGGCATTTAAAACTACATACGAGGTTGACTACGAGTGATATAGGGTATGTATATCCCGGACTGTAACGACCGACTGGGTTAAATTAGGGTTGATATCAAGTTCATAAATCCGAGTCCCATCATCACGTCATAAAAATAATCATTTCATCAGCACACCGACACATAATTTCCTCTTCTCTGCTCCCGTGCACATGTAGAACACTGAGTGTAAGCTCATCCAGGTTGGTACCTTTGGGTGTGTCCTATGGAAACATCTTGTCTGCGAAACGGTCTGCAGCTGCGAATACACCACTCAACTCGAAGGGCAGTTTGTCGGTTCCCTTTGATTTCCTAACCCCATATGGTCCGCTGAGGAAGCATGTTGAGCTTTGATCCGTCACGGCGTTCTCCTCTGGTCTTTTGGCCTTCTAAATAATGCATGTTGCTGTTGCATGGTTACACAGCCCAGCGTCGCTCTTCGCGGGTCATCTTGGTGTGCTTGCCGTAGTACTCATCCGGGTTCTCAATAGGTGTCACGCAGTAGACGGTTGGAGTGCCTTTGAATTGGATGTTCTTTTGGGCGCTTGGTCGCGTCGCTGACTGCTTCTTGAGGATGCTTTTCGACGAGCAGTTGTTCGTGTATGAATAAGAAGGCACTTGCAGCGACGAGAATCTCTTGCTAGACGGGCTAGCTGCTGAGATTGGCGAGATGGGAGTGCGAGGAAGTGCACCCGGCGACTTGAGCGGTCGGGAAACAGTCTGCGCGGCGGTGATGCACAGGGACAGTTTGGGTTTGGCGGCGTACATTATGAAGATGGAGATGCACAGGAGGAAGATATTGACAGAAGATTAGGAATAACGATGTTGTTTTCTTGGAAAAAAAAAAGTGAACTTTGATCAACAAAGTCCACCTAGACGGTGTGTGTCGAGAAAAGATTAGGGACGTAGAGTCGAATCAAGAAGTAACAGCAAAAAAGATCGTCTGGACCAGCCGAGACGAAGCGCGGGACGAAAATAGAATGAAGAGAAAATAGAACAACCTCAAACAGTGCTGCCCCCAGAGCAGGGGCGAGGGCGGCTATATAGTGATGGCTGGGGCTGCTTAGCGCCGGGCTCATGCACCTTGGCCTATCACCATCACACCGATCACGCCCATCACTTGAGCTGCTGCATGGGGAGATGTGGGCTCTAGCCAATCACCGGAGCTAACTCACTACTTCTAGGTGATGGAGTTGGGAATATGCAGGGAGTGGGAGCACGTATACGGCATGATGTTAGGGCTCGGTCCCATCCGAGTGGGAGTGCTTCCTGCACGGGTCTGTTTCCAGAGGGTCATCTGACGATAATAAGGTTATCTATGAGTCTAGATCATATTATAAATCTCTCTTTCTACATATGGCACATCAGCATTTCTCTGGAACTGTGAAGTGTTGGTCTGCTGTGATATATATATCTCATCCCCGCGACCACTTCCCCACTATTATGCACTGACACTAAGAATACATAACTACAGCATAGAACCTGGAACATCACCCTGGGCACATCCCACTCTAGCATAGTGGTCCGATTCCCAAGTGCGCTAACCAAACAGGCAGGTTTACCCAACCGGGCCCGGCCGCGATGAGAGAAAGAATCGGAGGTGCTGCGGAGCACGAAATGCATGGAAGCCAATCACCTCCGAGTTCTCCAACTGGACCCCGCATGATCAGGTGCCTGGGGAGAATTCCCTCGCAGTGGGTACTGATACTTCTCACGCGACGGGCGGCCCCATACTGGAGTAAGTACCAGTACATCCATACTGGCTTGTGCCTGGTCCCGTGATGCCAGTCGGGCCGAGTCAGGTACAGTAAGAAATGTACCCTGAGTGGCGAGAAAAATTGTGACTGGGAACTGGACAGGGATCATCAGATCAATTGAACCGCGAGAGAATAATGATAAGAATAATCATCACAATCAAAACAGTAGCCGTATAGATGCTGGAATTAATTCTGTGGAGATGGCCCCATTGATGATCGGTGAGAAGAAAACAGTCGGGCTAGTCGCCGAATGGTCGGACCCAGGGGGGCAAAGAGCAGCTGGCCTCTTCCGCAATCGAAAATTCTTTCCTTGATCTCGACCTCAACTACAGTCACCCCAATTCATTCATCTCACTTCTCTTCCCTTTCCTCCCAGATCCCCTGCATGGTCGCTTGATTGCTCCGTCCCTGCACTCGGTGATCTCTGCCACAATGAGCAGTGTCAAGGAATCCGTCAAGGAGAAATTGGTCGGCTCCACGACTGAGCCGTACCAGCTGTCCCACCAGGCCCGCTCCAATTTCATGCGCCATGCCCAGAAAGATGAGAATGGCGAGCTGTACATGGGCAAGGAGGACTTTATCAATGCCATTGCTCCCAAGCAAGAGGACTATGTGAGTCAATCGCCCGTAGAGAAGCAACAACACCGCTGACGCGGAGGTCATTGCAGCACAAAATCAGGCGCGACCAGTATGCCATCCTGTTCAACGTCGCCGACCGCCGAAGAACCGGCAAACTCAACCTCGCCGACTGGGCCACCTTCGAGAACCTCCTGGCGAAGCCCGATGCCGAGTACGAGATCGCCTTCCGCCTATTCGACCTCGATGGGACCGGCACCGTCAAGTGGGATACCGTGCAAGGGCTGTACAATTTGAGCAAGAGCTCCGACAGCATCCCCTTCGATTGGAACTCCGAATGGGCCTCGCTGTACACCGGCCGCACCAAGTCTCGCCACGACATGACCTACCCCCAATTTTCCCAGATGCTGCGCGGCCTCCAGGGTGAGCGCATCCGGCAAGCCTTCCACATCTTCGACAAGGATGGGGATGGCTATATCGAGCCCGAGGACTTTCAGCGCATCATCCTGGAGACCTCCCAACACAAGCTGTCGGACCATGTGTTGGAGAATCTGCCCACGCTGTGCAACATCTCGACCAGCAACAAGATTTCCTATGCCAACGTCCGTGCCTTCCAGAACATCATGCGCGAGATGGACCTTATCGACCTGATTGTGCGCGAAGCCACCGTGAAGAGCGGCGACGGCAAGATCACTCGCTCGGACTTCCTCAATGAGGCCGCTCGCGCGACCCGCTTCTCTCTCTTCACCCCCATGGAGGCCGATATCCTGTTTCATTTCGCCGGTCTGGATGCGCCGTCCGGAAGACTGTCTCTGAATGACTTCGCCAAGGTCATTGATGCATCGTGGCGCATCCCCGTCGGCGTTGCGGGCCAGGCCGGACAGGAGGCCGCGGCCAAGGCTAAGTCGTTCCTTCACGGCTTGCTGGAATCGGCACACCACTTCGCCCTGGGCAGTATAGCGGGTGCGTTCGGTGCTTTCATGGTCTACCCGATCGATCTGGTCAAGACCCGGTTGCAAAACCAGCGCTCCACCCGGGTTGGCGAGCGACTGTACAACAACTCCCTTGATTGCGCCAGAAAGGTTATTCGGAACGAGGGTTTCACTGGATTGTATTCTGGAGTGATCCCGCAGCTGATTGGTGTGGCGCCTGAGAAAGCCATCAAGCTGACGGTCAACGATCTGGTTCGAGGCGCGCTTACGGACAAGGACACTAAGAGGATCTGGTATCCCGCGGAAGTCCTGGCCGGTGGTACTGCAGGAGCGTGTCAAGTGGTGAGTTTTATTGTATCACAAATTTTATTTTAGCAATCTCTAACATCGTCTAGGTCTTCACCAATCCTCTTGAGATTGTCAAGATTCGTCTGCAGGTGCAGGGCGAGATTGCAAAGAACGTCGAGGGTGCTCCTCGCCGGTCAGCCCTGTGGATCGTGCAGAATCTTGGTCTGATGGGCTTATACAAGGGAGCCAGCGCTTGTCTCCTGCGTGATGTGCCTTTCTCCGCCATCTACTTCCCTACCTACTCGCATCTGAAAACGGGCATGTTCGGCGAGTCCCCCACGCACAAGCTGGGTGTTCTCCAGCTTTTGACTGCCGGTGCCATCGCCGGTATGCCGGCTGCCTACCTGACCACCCCGTGCGATGTGATCAAGACCCGTCTGCAAGTCGAGGCCCGGAAGGGCGAGACCAAGTACAACGGCCTGCGCCACTGCGCCACCACCGTGTGGAAGGAGGAAGGCATCAGGGCCTTCTTCAAGGGCGGTCCTGCCCGTATCATGCGTTCTTCGCCTCAGTTCGGCTTCACTCTCGCCGCCTACGAGGTTCTGCAGAAGGCGCTGCCCCTGCCGGGCGGCGAGGAAGACGTGACCCCCAGCGGAAACCTCGAGCCCGGTGTCGGCATGCAGCAAGCCAAGGCTCCTCTACCTTACCTACGGTCTCGGAACGCGCTCAAGCTCATCCTCGATCTGGAACCAAACCTTGGCCGAGTGCAGGTCCCTCGCGTTGAGAACTGGCCGAAGTTTCTGCAGAGCAGTTCCAAGCAGTGATTTTCCTCCCCGCCCTTCATTTTCCTTATGTTTATAGCGATTTTTCTTGGACCATTTGGTTTTCGGTTGATTTAGCACGAGAAGTTTTTTTTCTTTCATTTCTTCCATATTTTGTTTTTCCTATACGAGGATTTGGATGTTGGCAAAAAGACACGCACACACTCACCCCTGCATGATTCCTTTCTGGCATCTTTTGTCATCTCTTTTGTCCTTCCTTGAGAAGTTCCTCTTCGGAGCTACATGTGTGCATTGTATCAACAGCGGATAGATTTGGATGGACTTGTGCGGGAGAAAAATAGAGGATGCCCCTTTGGCCTGCGTTGGCTAAACCCCTGGATGTCATTTGCTGTTGTTATCTCGCACTGGTTCCTGGATGGTCTCGCTGGTTGTTGGTCTGTGTTCTGTACAATATCGCGCCTAGATCTAGAACGATAGACAGATTTCATTACGTTTCTGTTGGGAGAGCTCCTTGGTTTTCGTTTTGAAGGTGACGACGGAGTTATTGAGATATGTCTTGAAGGAAAATCCACTGGTAAATTTTAGAATAGTAGTATGACATTGAATTTGGAGATATCTGTACACGGAGTGGATTTTGGTTTGATAGATACAATAGTTTCATCCAACCACGGGTTACATGGACGGGGGTTTGCTCAAAGGTAACCACTCCTAAGACCAGAGGAGTGGTATCCTAGACTTCCTCAGACGCTTGTACCTGGATGAGAGAGCTCATAAGAGCAGTGCGGGATTTGGTGTAAAAGACTCTGCCGTATGCTTGCAAAGTGGCAGGTATCTGGTACTATAGGCCTTGCACAATTGTTGTAATAAAGCCCAAGAGGAAGACCCCATTTGATCTCGTATAGTTGCACGGTAGCCCGCCAGAGTGCGCCTTAAAAGAAATTTGTTTTCCGCGTTGATTGGTTCTTGCTCTGGTCGCCTAGATTAGCGGTGGTAGGTGCCACAGAGTCCTTTTCTTGGGCTTTCGGTGACTGGCTTTGCTTTTGTGATGATTCGGACTTGGAGTTCTTTTGGTGCCAGAGAGAATCCTCTTCCTCAATCTCACGGAGCACTAGAGTGAATCAAACATCAATACAATGCGCAGGTTTGACCCAGCAGAGGACCAGGAGCTAGCATACCCTCTTCCCATTCTCGTTCTTTCGCCTCATCGCCAGTACCCAACAACTTCTCCACATCGACCGTCTCCCCCCGCTTAACCTTCTCAATCACCTCCCGCAGGAGCTCAATCTTCGCATCTGTCGTCCGGCGATAGGCCGCATAGTCGTTCTTCAGACTCATCATGCGGATGGCCTGCGACCCGATGAGAGTGAAGATGATAATGTAGAAGGTGGCCGGGTTCCATTCGGTGGACTTGTTGTCTTTCGCTGCGTGCTCCT